CAACAACGCCGTCTGAGTTTGTTCTGCGGCGTTCCATGGGTAAATATGCGAAATAAATATGGTTCTTGGAATGAAACATGAGTGGTCTTTAATTGTCATTATCGATTGATATGTGGGGTTTAACATCCCAAAACCACCATAAGATTATGAGAGACGCCGTAGTGGAGGGTTCCGGAAATTTCGACCACCTGGAGTTCTTTAACGTGCGCCCAAATCTGAGCACACGGGCCTACAGCGTTTCCGCCTCCATCGCAAATGCAGCCGCCGCAGCCGGGATTCAATCCCGCGACCTGCGGATCAGCAGCCGTGTACTTTAGCACTATAGACCACCGCGGCGGGGCTAATTGCCGTTATCACCGTAAACTTACGTGTCCGTGAAGGGACAATGACGCTGCACGTCTGAGTCAGGTAAGCGTACTGGCACCACCCCCTTCCTGGCACCCCTGAGCGCGCGCCTATGGTGATGTCGGGCAGATCTGGGGAGAAGCTGTGGCGAAACTTGCTACCCCCCCCCCCCCTTCCCACGTTCTTGTGAAAAAAGAACCCTGACCATTCATGTAGCCTTATCCGACGAAAAACGAAACAAACCTATGTTGTGTGACAACCTATAGCAACGCCTCCTTGCGTCACAGTGTGCGTGCGAAAGTCCCGTCTTCTCTGGTACACGTGGCCGGACCTTGTTACTCATCGAGCCACCTGGCACGAGCTCTGGCCTGCGCAACACTGCACGGACCTTGTACTCGGATGTAGTGCGTCCTTCGGTGAAGCAAGGGGCGTTGCGTATAGGGACGTGCAGACACATTAGTTAAATTCATGCACCGTCCTTGAACGTATACAGAGGCGGGCGTGTACTTTGCTCGCCTTTGTCACATAGCGTGCTGGCGCAAGGTATGGAGGCGGCTTCGCCGGAAATGCCGAGAGTTCTTTTCGATGAATCGGCGTCGGCTATACTGCACGAGTTGTCTCCCATGCATATCACGTCTCCTCGATGCGCTTTTGCGAAACAAAGAGCGAGGCATTCTGTCGTCTAACTTTTTTTCCCCCTTTGCTTTTCTTTTTCCACAGCTCGTAAAACCATACGAGCGACGACGGCTCTGCGCGTGCAATGCGTGCACCGCGAAATGTGCATGGTTGAATAGCGTTCAAGAGAGGAAGGGTCGAGCTAAAGGTTAGACAAACCTTAAGAACATCAAGCGGACCTCCCGCGGGCATTTCTCGATTTGCAGCTGTCCGCACTTCAATTGCACATCGGTCTTCATCATCATCATCATCAGCCGGACTACGTCCACTGCAGGACAAAGGCGTCTCCCATGTTCCGCCAGTCAACCCGGTCCTGCATCTTGCTGCTGCCAATTTATACGCGCAAACTTCTTAATCTCATCTGCCCACCTATAACCTTCTGTCTCCCCCTAAGCGGCTTGCCTTCTCTGGGAATCCAGTCAGTTACCCTTAATGACCAGCAGTTATCCTGTCTACGCGCTACATGCCCGGCCCATGTCCATTTCCTCTTCTTGATTTCAACTATGATAGACTTAACCCCCATTTGTTCCCTAATCCACTCTGCTCTTTTCTTGTCTCTTAAGGTTACACCTACCATTTTCTTTCCGTTGCTCGCTGCGTCTTCCTCAATTTAACCTGAACCCTCTTTGTAAGTCTCCAGGTTTCTGGAGACTTACAAGACTGGAGTCTGGAGACATCGGTCTTCACTCTGCCGTAAAAATTTCCTGTTTTCCGATCACAGATATTGATTCTATTTGTCTGCTCCATTTCAAAACTAGGAACCTTTGCGAATGATATTGGGCCGGTCGAGAAATTTTTTCAGCCAATCTAAACATTAGGTGTATACGCCCCCTTCCTGGTTCTCGGCTTCCTAAACACTTACCTGCCGCGACTTGGCCGAGTAAGAGTAATGAAATTTTCCCATATATCTATCCGTGTGCTTTGCATGGTTTCTCCCCGACGGCTGCAAAGTCTTCTTATGCCGCAGGCAATGGCTTTTCAATCGGCACAGAGCCCTTATATAGTACCAACAATGTGACTCCCACGAGGTGGTCGCCGTATATCTAATTTCAGAGCCGCATTTCTCCGAGTTTACGAGCCGCTGCGGCGATCGTGCAAGTGCGTGACTTGAATAACTACATCTTCCTCTTCTCTGATAGTTAACTCTAGAAAGAGACGAAAAGCGTTTGGTAATTGATCCCAACCGAGCTGCTATATGTCTCGTCTGCCCGGCGCTCTTGGTTACGATTTCGATGCTTAACATGTCCCGTTGCAGTCGTGTACTTTGGGACCCTCGTCTGTATATTTTATTCCCTGTAACATCCTTTTATGACATGATAATAAACTGATTGATTGATTGATTGAAATAACATGCAAATAACCAAGAGGCCACGGTAAATAAATATCTCTGTTTTGAGCGGTAACATTCGTGCTCCTAACCCGAGATATGCCATCGGTGATTGTATCGCAGCACGTAGTGTGTTCTGCGATGGCTTTATATGTTGGATACGCATCGGTTGTTGTTCTACCTTTTACCGCGGTGTGTCGGTGAATGTGGTTTACGTTACGAAAAAGAAAGCCCCTGCTTTAGAAAATTAAGAGAACATATACAAAGGGGATGCAACGTTTGAATCAACGTCCAAGCCTCCTCCCCTTTCGTTACCGCTGGTCCAAAACATTTACATATCCGATTACCGGCTTAACTAATTAACATATACTAGGAATAGGAACATATTTCTGCAGCGCATTACACCGGGGCCCACATGCACACATTGTTATATATATATATATATATATATATATATATATATATATATATATATATATATATATATATATATATATATATATATATATATATATATATATATATATATATATATATATAACTTTGCCGTATCACAGGAATGCTTAATAGCAATATATATCGTCTGCCAACACCTGTAAAACTTCTTATCCATCACCTCGCTATTTCACACATCGGTTACGCTCACCACACTTACTACAAAAGAAAATCCTACGTATAATAGTAACCGTAACACACCAATATCACACTGAGGACCTCTTCAGGCAGAACAAAATCCCCACTATCTTTTTCTTCTACGATCGTTTCCTACTTCGTGTCGCTATAGCTACACTATGTAAATTCAGAAAACAGCGTATTCAAGGAGAAAGCTTGTCTGCATAAACACACAGCTACCTCTACCACCCGTCACAGTGAGGGAAGGAAGGAAAATAGGAGGAAACGAACGGCAGGGAGGTTAACCAGTCTATAGGCAGCCGATTTGCTACCCTGCGCATGGGATGGAGCTGGGGGAGATGAAAGATAGAGAGGAGAGAGGGAAGAGAGATAAACACAGTACATTAAGCAGCACACGCGCGCACACTCAGTCATAGTCCCGTCTTGTCCTTCGTGGTGTGTGACATTGCTGTTACAGATGGCTTGTTCAAGTCCGTGTCGCGTATGAATTTCAACAGTGCTTTTGTCGCCTTCTGCTGCAATGTCTTCTCTCGGGCACTTGAAAGGATAGTGTCCACATACATCTTGCTGTTGTCGATGCGCGCAAGACACAGTGAAGTGTGGTCTATACACCAATCCCGAACAAATTATGCCATGCAAATGTTAAAAAAATGAACAAATTACCCAGATTGCTTAATTCACTTGAAAATGCTGGTTTTAACAACACATAAACATAACACGGTCTCAAGTAATTTCACTTATTCAGTCACTCACTTAGTTGTTTTTTTTTTCTTGCTAGAAGTTACCACTGCCTTTGCGAAAGAGTTTGCTAGATCATGCAATCAGTTCGCTTTCTCCGAAAGAGATGGTTTCCTCACGCGCACCTATATTTATATAGTGTACATAATATTGTATTTTTTCTTGTTTTTTTCCCCTTTTGCATTATGTCATTCTTACTCATTGTTGATGCAATCCTGAATGCTAACACGAGCACGTTACTTTTGCCACCTCCGCCACGTGCTGCCACCATTGAGAACGGGGGGGGGGGGGGGGGGCTAAGGGTTTGTGAAGCAGCCCAGAGCAGCTTTTCCTTGGCGTCCACCATTGTAGAACAATTTTTACAATGGAAATAGAGTAATAAAAATAAATAAATATATGTAGTATACGTTGCAGGGCCAAAACCTTGCGCAACTAAACTTTGCATGAACAGTAATTCTAATTTTTGTGTGCCCCCATTGCCCCTTCCCCACACCTTCGTCTATAGAAAAGAGAAGCGAAGAAGCAAACGATATCATTAAGTTCTAAGTGTATTGTCGCCGCTACGATATACTTCGAAAAAGGTTACTAGTTATGCCATTTCTGAAAATAGGCGTTAGATTAACGGCGGAAACGGCGCTAAGCTTTGGTGCCTCAGTTTTGGGACATTGCCACAGGGATGCTTTCAATGCCGTTTGCGATTATATTCAGGCAACCAAGCATACCATTGTGATCTTCAATCAAAAAATTATTTATTACTCCCAGGGCAGAGTGAAGTAAACGCAGCTGAGTGGTAATCGTAACACCTCAAAGCTCAAAATTGCTTAACTTGATTTTTTTTCCGTTTGCTCTGTTTATGTTTTTTTACATTAGTCTTATTTAATACCAATTCATTACACATAGTTAAAATGATCACAGAAAAACTGCACTACACTTTCTTGGCTAATCCCCCTGAGTGGGTATGGGCCATCATCCCGGGGAAACAAAACAAAACAAAGTGTTCCGACTCAGACTCGGTGGAGGTGAAATCTACTGCTCTGACATCTCTGGTCTACGCACATGAGAACCGTCCTCCATTCCTTATAGCCCACATCCGCAAACAAGCTTCGAGTCATCATTCAAATGTGATGTAGTTCTCTTTGTTGCAACGGAACATGTTGTGGTAGTAGTGTCTGCGCCTAGAACCGCGGTGTACACAACGCATTGACCCACAATCGGTGGTTTTATACGTGCTTGGTTGTCTACGACTTCTCGCTCATTCACTCTCTCTCTCTCGCATTCGCAGGGAGGGTGCTGCAGATGGCCCGCAAGGGTCGGGCCTCGCTGCAGCACATCCGCTTCCCCATCCACATCGCCAGCGGGCGGCCACGCGCCGCCAACGCCACCGCGCGGAGCTACAGCGTCCGCTACGCGCGGCTCCGGCTGCGCATGATGAGCCGGCGGCCCACGCTGGTGCGCATCTACCAGCTGCTGGAGCCCGGCTGTCCCTCGTGCGACCGGCGGCTCATCAACATCCGGCGACTGTCCCGCAAGGGCCGCCACCGGATGGACGTCGCCGAAGCGGTCCAGTCCTGGATCGACCGGCCCGACTCGAACCACGGCCTGGACATCGAGTGCAAGCCGGCGTGCCGGCTGTCGCGCGACTCCGCGCTGGACGTGGAAGTGGCCGAGGTCCTGAACCGGTCTCACCGCAGCTACCGCAACGGGCCCGCGGGCGTGCTGCTGCAGCACCACCGCGCCATCGACTGCTCGCACGGGCCGGACAACCAGACGGACCTGTGCTGCCGCCACTCGCTCAAGGTGTCCTTCGCCGAGATCGGCTGGCACTGGGTGGCCGAGCCCAAGGAGTTCGACGCGTACATGTGCAAGGGACGGTGCCCCAACGACAACCGGAACTTCAACAGCACGCACGCGCTCGTCCAGAGTCTGATGAGCGAGCGCGCCGACGTGCCGAGCCCGTGCTGCGCGCCCAAGTCGCTCAAGGGACTGAGCCTGTTGTACCAGGACGGGCCCGACTCGGACCTCTATACCGTGTCTATGCAGCAGGGCATGGTGGTCGAGGAATGCGCCTGCCTCTAGAGAGCGGGACGAGCCGCCCACTCCGCGGGGCGCGAACCAAAGATTACTGTGCGCGTGAAGCCACGGGATATGCTTACATCTGGGCAAGGACGCGGCGGGCCCTGGCCGCGACGGCGAACGATGGCGCAAAGAGCAGCTGAACGCTTGCGGGCGCATTGCAGATGTGCGTTGGCAGCCGGAAGGTACGCTAGTCCTTGTCAGGCTTAGCTCATAAGATAGACTAACGTACTAACATTTAGGATCTATAGACATACGCGAGCCGATTGGGCACCAATGGGGATATTGACAAAAAGGTAACTGTCGTCCATCTATCTTTTCTTGTCGAGTCCATTGTGCACCGGACGCGAGTTTAACAGTCGGATAATACGCTAGTCCTTGTTAGGCTTAATTTCGAAGAGATACAAACGTACTTCATTTCTGGACGTGAACACAATGGACACCTCAGAGGATACGAACAAGAGGCAACCGTTACTCGTCAGCATTCTTATCAAAATCAAGGTGGGGGCCGACAGACGGAAACACGTAGTGGGATAAGCAGAATGAACAGAGGAAAAACTTCAGGCGTTTCGATAGGAGGACGCTTTTTTGTCAAAGGCCTTTGGCAAAGTTAGGTCATCTTATCGAAACACCAGCTAGCTTGTCTGAAGCACTTCCTTTGTTCATTCCGCTTATCCCACTTCTTTGTGGGGTGTCCCACCACGCACACATTTCTTTTTAATAGACAACCAACAAAAAGTCACGTCATTTTCGAGTGCTTGTCTCAAAGGCGTATGAAATGCAATGCAGGCGGAGCTATACATGTCAGTCGTGAGAAAGCGTTACCTTGTTTTCAATGCAATGCTCTTATGGATCATGTTCGGAGATTGCGATGTAGATCACCTTCAGAAGGGCTCGATTGCCGCATAACTAGAGTATTAGTAAAAGCCAGTCATCGGTCTAACGAAAAGCGTATGTCTGCCGGTCAGCCTAAGCCTCGCTGCCAGGGTTCGCCTCGCTTTGCCAAAGAACAACCTTGTTGTCGTCATTGTCATTCCCAGTGTGTACAATCGAAGGACTGTGGAGACAAATCCAACAACCTAAAGAAGAGATAAGCAAATGTCAGCGCACCAGGGTACGGTGTCATGTTCCTCCCGAGGCGCATTTCCTATCAAAGCCTCCTAGTTTCTTCCTCAAACGCTTTTTTTTTTTTCTAGTTGCGCGCGTCGCGCGGCCGTTCTTCTAGTGTTCAAAATGACCTGTGATAAAGCGCCGTCTGCCTGGGACGTCGCGACGGGACGTTAGGACGCGCGCGACTTTTTTCTTTTTAGGCAACGGATTCTTCTTGGTGAAGAGGGGCCTCTATTCCTAAACACCGCCTGCTCGTGCGCTGTGCAATTTCTCGCGACATCTGCATGCCGTACTTGGCGGAAGTGCGACGTCGTAAAAGCATACGCTAATGTATGCCCTTTCAGTCATCGTGTTTTCATCGACGTTTACGGCTCCCCCCTCCCGCCCCAAATAAACAAGCACAACACTCCATCTCGCCAGTTCAACGCAGTGGGGCGCGAGCGCGTTCAGTTCTGGACCAATTAGGAAAGGCCACGCGATGACGTACATCTGCACTATGAGTCACCGCGCCATCTGGTGTCGTCGTCTGCCACCGTCGCTCTGCAGTGCTTCCTCTCGAAAAACTACTGACGTTTCGTTCCAAAGCTGCTTTTATCTCCACCTCCCAACCTCACAGGTTTGCGAGCACTGCTTAGAAAGATATTCAAAAGTGGAACACCATCATCGTGTACAAGATCGCACAGGACGGCTTTTCTCGCTCCTTTGGCAGTAATTGCACCACTGCGTAGATCTCGCGAGATGGTGTAATGTGCACAGGGGAGTTTCGACGTTCATGCTACTGCGTCGTGGCGTCACGAGTGAAGTCAACGAGGTGACACCAAGCGAAGATACCAGAAACGAAAGTGTATTGGATCATATGGAGGCACTTTAAACCCCCGTTTTCTCAGTGTGTTATATAAAGTATGCGAGAAAAAAAGTGTCTATGTTGTTTTCCTGAAGACTGTGTGTGCCAATAAAATAAACCACAAGCATGTTGAACAGGTGTTGACTGACATTAATCAAGAGACAAAAGAAATACGCATTTTAATAAAGTAAAAGCTAGTTAATTCGAATTTCACGGGACTTCGAAATCCGCTAGTGTGAAACAGCGTTCCGAAACCCAGACACGCAATTGGCCGATTTTGCGGGAATTAGCAGACCGTCGCAGCCATCTGGAAGCGTCAAAGCAAAACACAAACGAATGCGTTTAATAGTTGGTGTGCTTATTAACAGGCACTACAGTGTGCCCACTCCTAGTGGTGCTGAATCAAGAGGGGGGGGGGGGGTAGGGGCGATCGCCCTGCCCCCCAAATTCTGTGTCAGCAAACCCCCGCCCCCATCGCTTGTAGTTTACCTTCTATCACCAACTAGGACAAATGAGTGAAACCATTGTGAGCTCACATTAACAGTATTTATGCTATGAAGGGTTTTTTTTTTCTGCTAAAAACAAAAGAATCATGACCACGCTTCCCTTTGCAACGTTAATTCAGGCGACCACCCCCTTTCAAATATGAGTGGCTGGATCTGCCCTTGACTGCTAGAGTAGCTGCGCTGGAGTAGCTGAAGCAGCGCATAGATCCGCCATCTTGCCTGGTTAACAACCATAGTTTCGCGGCCAAGCCACGCTCTGTTTTACCTAACCTAACCTAACCTAACCTAGCCTAACCTAACCTAACCTAACCTAAAAGTTCGACGCCGATCGACAAAGCGTATCGCCGGTCGACCTGCCTGGCGTGTCAACGACCGGCGAAGGAAGAAGAAACACTTGCTTTCGGGACTGTGCCACAGGAGTTCAAAGGCATTTTTAGTCTGTTCGGTAACGCAAACGCGCAGCGTAGTGCCACAGAACACTTATAAACTGCCATTGGTAATGCCGAACGTGCCGCACAACATGCAGCGCCCCTGCCGCATGGTGATGTGGCGCCAGCTATGGAAGATAGGCAACAACTCCCAAACCCAAAATATAGGTCGTTCGAGATTCAAGAATCGCCCCCACTAGGCCTACAACATTATTTCAGTACGTTTAAAAAAAAATGGTGCCAAATTCACGGAAGTACTTTCTTGTTGAAGCTTAAAGACATGAATCTAAAGTAAATAGAAGTACCAGTACGTAGTTAACGAGCTACAGAGCGCACGACGCACACCTGATCGATTCCACGTGAACGGGGGTACACTTCTAGTACACTCAAACGGGGGTGCTCTTCTGGACACCATGGAGGAAGGAAAAAAAACGGTTTTCCCGCCTCCATGTTGGACACTATCCCATTCCGCCATATTGCAAAAGTTCGTAATGGCGGCATTTTAAGCCAATAAGAGAGGTGTAGCAGCTCACTTGGCCAATTAGCATCGATCAATGGCGGAATCTGACAACATGGCGGGATTCGACAATGTCCACCACGGAGGAAGAAAAGGTGATGTCCACAACAGCACCCCGGCAACTGCTTTCGGCGCTTTGGCTTATGCACTACCTTCTCCGCAGTGCATGGTTGCTAGAGGCGTCCGAGAACAAAATAAGTAACTTTCAAAGGGGGAAAAGGAAGAAATATGCGCAGTTTCGTTACTGCCTCTCTCTCATTGGAGGGCACCTCCACAGTTCTGCGCAGGGGATGGGGGCAAGGAGCGAATAAAAAAGGATAGGGAGGAATTAAAGGTATAGAGAAAGAGAGAGGCGCAGGGACTGCCACATACGGAAGAAGAAGATAGCAAAGATGGACACGGTCGCAGAAGTCCGAGAACGGGGCACCACTCAGCGAGAGCTCCTGTCGCCATCAGGGGATGGCGTAGGGCGAGCCGGTAAGCCAGGGCTGCGCTGTTGTCGGAGATCGCGGGGGCACAACCAGTCGGCACGAAATTCAGCGAGCGAGTCAAATGCGCTACTCTACTACCTAAACGTGGCATAAACAGCGACTCTGCACACTCCCGACATCTGGGCCAATGGCGCGTCCGAATTTCAATACATGGAGCCCGTGGGGAGTTTCGCCACTCGTATGATAAATAAAGCCGATGAACAGCGAAGATGTTTAAATGGACAATAATATGGTTTGGATTGGCAAACTGCACTCTGAGAACTAATACCATATGTTTCACTATCATTAGTTCATTATTAGTGGAGAAAATGAAGGCTGAAGATTCGTTTTTAAGTTTCACACCAAAATATCCACACATGACGTAACAAATTGCAAAATATACTCTTTTCGTATTTTCGCGACATTGACTCGATAGAATTTTCTAAAACATCGTATCCTAGGTCTATGGGACCCACAGATGACGATGTACTTCCTTCTTATCGTTAGACGCTTTGTAGGATCCAGTAGACGCCTTCCAAATTTATGACATCACCGTGCTTGGTGCTGGGAATCTCAAGGTGGCGTCTCCAGCTGCATTTTCTTTTCGTGCATTTTCTCACTCAACAAGCACCGTGTCGCGGCAAGAGTGGTGTTTTCAAGATTCTTAAATTGTACTTTGGTATTAAGCGAAAAAAAATAATCGTTTTGCTCTTTAGTTCCGCTTTGAGCTAGCCGTAATTTGTGAGTGCGCTGTTTAGGAGAAAACCATCATCATAAATAAATGGGCAAGTGTCACAGAACTTGAGTACATCCCACTACTCAGACTAATCACGCCACCTATAGGCAGATTCTTTTTCTGTCATCTTCCATATGAATCGACACGGCAGAAATAAAGATTTGATTTTCACCACTGGCCGACCAAAAAGAAGACGACGACAATTAGCTCTACAAATGGTTGCAAAACAATGGCAGCGAGCCAAAGACCCCCTTACCCTAAGTACACACGAGGGAACACAAGGGAACAGGAAGGGTAACAGCGGCTGCAAGAAGACCTCGAAGGTATCGACGGTCTATGCAGCGACAACTCGCCTGTAGATCTTTAACAGATGCGAATGCTTGGGTTCAGCTTTTTTTTTTCTTTGGACCCTAGACATCCATAATGTCTGTGCGGTTTAACTGGAACCTCTCTGCACCGAGAATAAACGTAAAAACAACTTAGCGTTACCAAGGGGATGCCTAGAAAGGACCCAGAAGCAACCTAGAAAAAAAACCTGCATTACCTGCTAAGGCCTAAAGAAACCTGTAGGTAGCCATGGTGATGTAGTTACGCTGTTTCAAGCCTTGTGCGGACTAGCGCAAGTTTCACCCTTCTTTTTAACAATGTTTACTGATCCTCCAAAACATTCATAAGTTCGTGCCCGGATGCAAAGGGCTGGTCTAAAGTTCCCAGGCCACTATCACATGTGTACCCATGGAAGCATGGCCTGAAAACTTTTGACACCCCTCCCCCCCTGTACCTGGAAACCATATCCACAACCCTGTGCTCCAGAAAAGAATACTATGGCAAATCGCCAAAGTAACCTGCTGCTCAATAAAGAAGAAAAACATCCATAAGGGCAGGTTCTTTGTACCGTATATCAGGCAAAACAAAATGGCAAGTACACCGGATAGAGAAGCATTTGCATAAGTGGGCCACAACAGGAAATCTACAACAGGCAAAGCCATAAACAATGGCATAGGCAAAGTGATAAGGACGAGTAGGAGGTAGAATAAACACTCTAAAAAATGAGCAGTTTCTAATGGCCCAACAGAGGAGGCCACTGTTGGGCCACTAAAGCTGCTCGTTTTTACACGAGGGAAAAACTAAGGTGAACAAAAAAACAGGCAAGTGAGCAAACTGTGCACAAAAACTTTAGCAGCCCCTATCACTTCCTGCGAATGTTGAATGAGAAGACAGGAAACGTGGATATAATGAAAAACACATATGTACATCCTTTATTGTATATTTACAGAGGAGACTAGCAGCTGGATTTCCTTGGCTATGATCCGCATTAAATCACAAGAGACACACGCTGAAGTTTGAGGCAGACTTCAGGGGATTGCCTAAACGATGCAAGCGACAATTAAAAGTGCAGGGAACTATATCTCTAGTAGGCGCGCTGTGCCCTTCTGTTCATGTAGATCTGGTGCACAGATGCTGCCAGTGTCACTGAAAAAGACAGAAGATTGTCTCAAACACTGTCTGGAATTCCTCCCGACATTGCACTAGTGTTAAATATTCCGATTCATACAGAGCAGGAAATGTGAAGTCCCAAACGGGGGACATGAAGGTACAAAGGCCTAAAACAAGGGGACCGGAAAGACGGGATATGAAGATACAAGACCCAGAAAGAAAGACTTGTTCTTTCTGGTGCAATCTTTGCCGAATTTCAAAAACCATGATAGTTAATGTTGCAATATCGTTACTCAATTATACATTCTTGTTTATTTTTTTTAACTGCTTGATGAATCGGTTAAATTTATTATGATCTCCAAGGGCCATAACTCCACAGCTATGTGCAAGAATAGGGGCAATAGAAGTAAGTAGCTTTATATATATTAAAAAGTTTTATGTTTAGTCTTTGGGGCTATTTTAATGTTAAGGTATTCGCAAGGAACGAATAGGCGTACACTAGTCCGCATGTAACCACCTGCAACGGTGGTTTCACTGCAGTAAAGGGGTGCTAAGCCGTGAAAGCACCTATTCAGAAAAGATTCGCTCTGCCGCGAAGCCTCCCTTCTAATTTAAAAGGGTTCTGCGACATTTATTAAACATGGTCAAAAAATGTTGCTGATCAGTAGTTGAGGCTACCGGGAATACACAAGGCAAATGTTATAGCGCAGCACGCGACCTGCCATTCTCAATAAATATTCAGAGCTACAAATTTCTCTCACTTCCCTGGACAAATTTTTGGACACTACAAGCTCAAAAATCACGTGTCACAGCCATTGGCTGAATTGAGATTGGGGCGCTCGGTCGTTACTGGGCGCAATCACACTGAAAGGCTGCGTATACGAAGAAAAAATAAAAGAGAGAAAAAGTGCTCGAGCTCACGCGGCGCGCGTGATTTCTTTTTTTTTTTTACTCATGCCATCACTCCCTGCTTAGCTTCCAGCTCTTTAGTCGGAACGAGAAGAGAGAATGCAATTGCAGTGTGCGACAAATTTTTGGAACTCCGCTCGTGCTAGACATTCTAAAAATTTTGCGGTAGTAAATTTCTTAGGCAAGAAACTTCCTTACTGGCTCCATGGTTATTCAAAAAAGTGGTGCCCCTTTTAAAGAATATATTACCCTCAAATAAATTCATAATTTTAATAAGCCTAAATGCTTGCTATCAGGGCTTATATGCTCTAAGTAAAATAAATTTTAAAATGTTACATATTTTACAAGTTATCACTCACATCCCACCGAAACTCGTATCCTGCTACTACTCAAGATTGTTTAGACTTCCTCTGAATTAAAAAAAAAAAAAGAAGTGACATTTGCATAGAGCCCCTCATTCAACTAAAAATAACATTGTGCAGGTAAGTTAGGTCATAATAAATATTCCTATTCTTTTTATATGTCATACGCACTATTTGAATTCGATTAGAAATTATTCAACTAAAATCACTATTCACTTCGAACCGAAAATTCACTATTCCCACCAGCCTTTGAATGACGTGTTTCTGTGGTCAGTAGTCGCGAGGTATGACCCCTGCAAATAAATAGCACAAGCGACCATTGTATGCAATGGTCCCTTTTACTGATTTTATGTAGCTCGCTCCGCCCATCTTGCAAGCACCAAGCGCGTATTCATTCTCGGCTGCCTCGACTCGCTCATGTCCGCAGATGCTGCTTCGGATTTCCCATGAATAAACGCTGCGATGACGGAAACCTCTCCCTACTCTCACTCCATTCCCTACCAATTAAGCTGAGACTGCATTATGTCGTGCAGTACCATGTAGCTTGTGCACGTGTTGTTTGCAAAGGTGTTATAGATGGTTTTCAAGTAGGAGAGGGACATAAACACAGCATCCATGCTATACACAATGCCTTGTCACTAGCTAAAAAAATTGCTCCAAGCTGTAAAACGCTCAGGGAATTCTTCTGCCTCTCGGCAACTCAGGGTGTTCTTACACTTGAATGACTTCTTCAAGCATGTGAATACATAAGCATTTGTTTGATCTGCAATGAGCAATGTAAATTATTCACTGCAGTCCACACTATTAAGAAAAATGTGTACATGACTTCCACACGTTTTTTATTATGAGAACGACCTTACTGCAGCGGTCGTGTTATACGTAAGTTATAATCACTTACAACAACAACAACAAAAAACTGAAAGCACCGTGCGAGAGTTTTTCTTTTTGCTCCAAGTTTTTAGAGAAAGATACATTTTCATTTGCTGAGAGGTGGGTGGGTAGCAGAAATTAAGATGTGTTTTGCAGATATTAACATATTTACTCCCGAATGCAGAGATGTTACTTGGCTCGCGATTTCGACTTGACTTGAGCAAGTCGGCGTGAAGCAAGCAGCGGACTTCAAAACGCCCAAGTCAGCCTTTGCGTCTCATAGATGTTCAGGCTGTCTTGCTTGGTCAAGTCAAGAACGAGCTTCAAAGCAGAAACTCCCTGCTCGCCTGCTAACGAGGGTAATAATGAAGCTGTTCGCGTAGGGCATGTGTTACAGCAAAAAAAGACCATACGTTTTAAAATAACTATAAAAACGAAGGACCACAAGCATATTCTTGCCATCTTACGGCTAACGAGCGGCACGTGGTGCCTGCCGCCACAGCGATGCGCGATGTTGCTTCTGTAAAGCTTCCATTGCCCGCTGGTTTTGGTGGCCACCCAAATGCGGCGCGTTTTTTCACGGTTGCTTGTTTGGAGGCGAAACAAGCATCGCGTTGGGTTCTTCGTCGTTTTTTTTTTTCTCAATCGAATGCCATGGCGTGTATTTGTGTTGACCTAGCTCACGAGGTAACGCGATTTTCATGGTATTTGCCTTTCTGTTCGCCTGGGGACATGCTTGTAGTGGGCTAGGTTGCAGTTATATATGAAAAAAAAAAAAAAAAAACAAGTTCTGGGAACAAATGTGATTCGTATCTTTTGTTGAGCTTGGTAAACAAGAGAAAAAGCGGGGGCCAGGGCATTGCCCTCAGCAGAATTTTGTCTCGCGGGGTGTAGCAGTGTCTCGCTGCATGATGAAGAAGGGGATCAAAAAACCCCTGATAGGGGCACCTCTTTTTTATGTGTGTGTGTAATTTTACGTAGCGTTGTGCTACAAGCGATGCCTTTCTGAGCGAGAAACAGTGCCCTAGACGGGACGAAAGAATAGACGAGGCACACGAACACAGCACTGAGTCAATTTTTTTTTTTTTTTACCGAAAGAGACGAAAAATGTCGTCGTGTTATAGAAAAACAGAAATAGCCTTTGCCGTTACGGAACACTTCGGCGTTGTCGACACCGGGGCTATTAATACGCACGTGTGTGTAGTCGACACAACCTGTAACGCAAGGGAACTCAGCCACTTCATAACAGTCCGCCGGCCGCGGAAAGCGCACCAGCATCGCGTACAGGTGCTTTGCGATGAGTAGCGTAACTTTTCCGACTGCATGGCACCATGTCTACTACGGAATGCGGACGAAATTTCTGGTGACTGGTTGGAATGTGCCAGCGCTGTAAAACCTCAGAGCCATCAGTGGCTGTAACACTGGATGCACGGGCTGTCTTCGGTTGTCCCCACTTTCACCGAGCGGCAACATAACGAGCAGCTGCCCCACGGCGTTCTTCATGAATTTGTAGCTAGCGTGGAATTGTTGCTCGTCGTACAACTCCATCGGATTTCCGTGGTCACGTAAAGTGGTTCCAAGAATCTTCGGCAGGCAGTGTGCCTCAAAAAATGCTACGCTTATGGCAAGGCAAGCAAACTCAAAAGCGGCCACCTTTGATGATTGATAGATATGTGGGGTTTAACGTCCCAAAACCACTATATGATTATGAGAGACGCCGTAGTGGAGGGCTCCGGAAATTTAGACCACCTGGGGTTCTTTAACGTGCACCCAAATCTGAGCACACGTGCCTACAACATTTCCGCCTCCATCGGAAATGCAGCCGCCAGCGGCCACCTTTCACGCGACATCCATTTGTAAGGTGACCATGTTGGAATAACGCGTGAAGTCGCTTTCAAGCTAGCCCCGCAGCTGACTTGAAACTTGTCCTGATTTCGACCGAGCCAAGTCGCCTTGAAGCCATCCGCAAGTTCGAGAATGATTTATGGCGACCGGCAAGACTGTCTTGAGTCAAGAACGAGTCAAGTACGATTCAAGTAACATCTCTGCATTCGGGGGTTAGGCTTAACAACAATACTACAAAAACTTGATTCAATGACCAAGACTCAAAAATCATAGAATTGAATTGCACTTAGAGAACATAAAAATTGCACCCACAACGTTTGAACGCAGTGCATGCACGTGTTTTTTTCTCTGTGTCAAGTTCGCGCTTTTTTATTCTTCTAGAAAGTTCTGCCTTCACTTAATACAATAGCGAAAAATCGGCTGTACCAACATGGTGCCAGCTTGCCTGCAGGTTACCCCAGTTTTCGCAGGCATATCTTGCTATAAAGAAGGTGACGTCTTTCAGCGAAAAACCTCGTTTGTGCTCTGGAGCAAGGCATCCACATGTTAGACATTCAAGCTCTTGACCATTTTAAGCGCAAAGAGGGCGAACAACAGCCCCCTGCCTGCGCTGCAGGTGTTTGGGAGGGCACCGACTAGCCGACAACATTTGTTAATCAACAATGCAGCATTAGCACCTCTATTCGCTGTGCGGAGCTACTGCCTACGAAGAATGAAAATAACGTGTGCAAGGCGAAAATTCTGTCAGATATGCAGAGGATGAAAATGCTTCTACTCTGCTACTAAGAAAACAACAAAAACAAAACAAAATAAGAGTCTGACAATGCTAAGCAAAAGTTATTGCACACTTAATCACAATAAGCAGCGCTGCTTAATAACACAACGAAGTAAGTAAAAAATACATAAATGCCACAGCTATGAATCAGAGTAAAATATCTACAGTCGGTGCTTTAAGGAGATCCCCATGACGACGAACTTACGTAGCCGCAGACAAAAAAAAAAAAAGAAATAGGGGAGTGGGGAAGGGTTCAGCTGTCAAGGTATTGTTAGGTGCCGGTCACCAGGCATTATGCCACGTCTATTTGCAAAGCAGTTAGGGATAAGAGTCAATGGAGAGTACCTTAGTAACCTGCGCTTCGCCGATGACATTGCATTGCTGAGTAACTCGGGGGACGAATTGCAACTCATGATTACGGAGTTAGACAAGGAGAGCAGAAAAGTGGGTCTTCAAATTAATCTGCTGAAAACGAAAGTAATGTACAACAACCTCGGCAAAGAGCAGCGCTTCGAGATAGGTAATAGTGCACTTGAAGTTGTAAAAGACTATGTCTACTTAGGGCAGGTAATAACCGCAGAGCCGAACCACGAGATTGAAGTAACTAGAAGAATAAGAATGGGGTGGAGCACATTCGGCAAGCACTCTCAAATTATGACAGGTAGATTGCCACTATCCCTCAAGAGGAAGGTATATAACAGCTGTATCTTGCCGGTACTTAGCTACGGAGCAGAAACCTGGAGACTTACAAAGAGGGTTCAGCTTAAATTGAGGACGACGCAGCGAGCAATGGAAAGAAAAATGGTAGGTGTAACCTTAAGAGACAAGAAGAGAGCAGAGTGGATTAGGGAACAAACGGGGGTTAAGGATATCATAGCTGAAATCAAGAAGAAGAAATGGACATGGGCAGGGCATGTAGCGCGTAGACAGGATAACCGCTGGTCATTAAGGGTAACTGACTGGATTCCCAGAGAAGGGAAGCGGGTTAGGGGGAGACAGAAGGTTAGGTGGGCAGATGAGATTAAGAAGTTTGCGGGTATAAATTGGAAGCAGCAAGCACAGGACCGGGTTAACTGGCGGAACATGGGAGAGGCCTTTGTCCTGCAGTGGACGTAGTCAGGCTGATAATGATGATTTGCAAAACGTAAGTTGAAATCAACATACAGTGTACAGAAGCCTGCACGGGCGTTCAGCCTATGTAAATCTCCAAGATAGAGCACGACGGCAAGGAAGCGAAGCGATTGTGGAAAGCACAAAGCAAAACCCGCGAGGCTAGGCCCACTTTCGACAAGACGATTACGCCAAAAAACAAATATATGCTTGAACCGGGTACTCACCGACATACAAGCAAGCCGCAATCCAGCAGTTGTACGCCGCCTGAGTGTACCGCCGGTTGGCCTCGGTCAGAAACTCGTGCTTCTTCATGTGTTCCGCCTCGATTCCCAGGTCTTCCGCGAAGGCCACGCTGTGCGTGAATAAGAATATGCCCATAATGACCTGAAAGACGCGAGAGAAGGGTCATTTAACGGCGCGATTTTTTATGGACAGCGCCGAGTCTACTAGCAGTCATATGACTTGGTGCATCGGACGAGCAACCACCGCTCCGTTTCTATGGCCGTTCCCGTTCTTCTAGACGGCGCAGAAATCACGCGAGACACGAAGTACTGAAACTCACCAGCATTATGATGCCCCATACGCTCAATATGGAGCAGCACATGGAAAACTTGGGCCCACAAATTCGAATCATAGCTTGTTTTGGCCTTGGCGCAGGGCGGACGTCTACTTTCAGATAGGCTTGCGAATTGGCTGGCGTCGAGAGTAGCAGTGAAACTATCGTTAGCCGCACCACAGCCTCCTAGATTTCTTTTGCCTGCCAGATTATTGGTGGTCACTTGGGAAGCGGCCGTCGTATGTATGGTCGTGTGAACTATGGTAGTGGCGCTACTTCAGTAGGAGTGTTTTCAAACAAGTTTTTTACGTTCTTAGAGCTTGTGTGCAACAAAAATGACGTTAAAAAGCTTTAAAAAAACGTAAGCGTAATTAGAATTAACCCTACGTAAGTGACGCCGCCACAGATGACAAGTGTTTTGCGCTCATTCAACAGGCAAGCCCTTCAATACAAGGCATAGCCTCCAGCAAATGTCAAAATTGCTGTTCTCAAAGGCCGAGTACAAAAATTTTTATTCCTACGTAGGTAGCGCCGTTTTAGATGACGAGTGTTTCGCGCTCATCTGGCAGGCAAAAAAAAGTCTAGGAGGCTGTGGCCGCTTTAGCGCCCTCTAGACAATGTAAAAAAGTATGACTAGTTTTATTGTTAATTCTTGGTTACGTGATGTAGTTCATTATAAACTGAAGCCTATAGATTGTTAATTGCTTGGTCAAGGTTGTTTATTAAGATCTTAAGTTGTAGTAGAAACAGTATGAAGCTCACATACTGTTCACCAGACTCTGGCTGTCCACAACTGCTTTCTTACGTTGATTTTGGGCAAATAATTCATAACAATAGAATATGTTCTAACTGATCAGTTCATATTAAAACCCTATAAGCCACGTTTTGGTTCAGCTGTCGCATTTTCACCGATTTAAAGCAGACGCGCATTGCTTGACACGCGACCACTGCGTTTGAGAGTATCTCACCACTGCTGTGTGCTTTCAAGATGGTTGACAGTCTCGGTGAGTCGCCGTTTCTTCTTGCTGTTTTGCGCGTCAAGAAAACTGTCACCCGTCGTAACGATCGCGTCGTATCGTCGATCGCTACCTTTGATGTCTCATAAACGCGTTCACTCGTTCGCTGTCGAGTTCCCGCATTTCGTGAGTCGATGTGCAGCAGATGATCCGACGGTATGCGCGGTACGCCCACAATGTCGAGTTTGTCGGCGTGAGAGTTTATAAATAACTTATTTGTTGGTGCGCGAAAAAACAACAACAACAACAAAGCAGATGTTTCGGCGATTGCAATTTCTCGGTATCTAGTTGTATTTATATGAACTTTGTTGCTCTAGAAATGCCCAAACGCATTTCTACGCCACGGAAGATGTTCGGTGCAGTTGTGAATGGAAACTGGTCGGCCCATCTAGCATGCTCCGAGAGCGGAGAAGAGAAACTAACAAACAACAAAGCTGAGTAGAGTAACGCAGACTCTGTCGTCTCCTGCAAGAGCTCGCGTTGCCCAACAGTAGGATCGCGTCTGTCGTTGACACGACACAGTAAGTTAGTAACTCGTTTTGTTTTACTGTATCGCAGCAGTAGTGTTCACCCCACCTCCCTCCCCCCTCAAGTCTTGCTTATGACTCACTACGATTACTACGAAGAGTAGCGCTTGTGTCAACCCCGCTTTGTCTTATCGGAAGTCGCAAACGGCGGCAGTAGTCATGCCTCCGTTTCGTGCGTGATGACCTGCGAGCTACCGCAGTTGAGCGTTACGTTGTCTGTCAGTTTGGTGTGAGCGATACGTGGTTGCTTCTAGTTCGGCCTCCTGTGGCCGGCGTGCTTATACATATCGCGTCGTGCGTTTCAAGGGCGCAGCTGATTGAATTTAATGGTCGAGCGGGCAAAACACGTAAACGTTCCGAGCGAATCTCGTTCTTCAACTTTAGCGTAGCCGGTGAAGTGCGTCGCGCTTTTACTCAATATTGCGAAACCGTTCGGGGAAACCGCACGCTTTTCTTGCTATGGGTTCCTATGGTAAGTGGCCATTTTTTGCTAAGGACGCAACGAATGAACAACGTGCAGAAATATTTTTACGGCTTTGTTTAAAGTTAAATCAATAGGTAAGCGCTTTGCAGTATAGTTGTAATCGTTCTGTGGAATGGGGGGCGTGATTTTTCATTGTTAATGTGCCTTGGTGGCTGGCCGCTGCTTGCAACCGCCGCGCAGTTTTTACTCACTAAACGCCGTGTGGTTGTCAATTAGACAGTTGATGCAAGTGTGATTGATGTAGAAGCTTATTGCTTGCCAATGTACTTGTTGGAAACTTCGCCGTTCTGGGCATAGTGGAACTGAAGTTGTCAATCTTAAATGGCATGTTATGTAGAAAATTTTGAGAAACCTGTTGTCAGTTAATTTTCTGATTTGAATTAACCAAGAATCCCATACAGTAATGATGTATAACATCATCAATCAATTAGTGGTTAAAAGCTTCAGAAATTAGATTAACTTCACCGACAAAAATACACCACGGCTGCCATGCGCCTCCGTTCTTCAAAACAGTTCTTGAGAGATATCAGCGTTGAAGTTCGCCTCTGCCGTTTTGTTACAAAAATGAACAACATATCTGGTGGATGAGTATATTAGAAGTTGAGTTGTACAGGGGAAGTGTACCTCGGCATTCTTGCATTCTGATCAACCATAGCGTTAGGTTGCATAAAAGTGTTTTTGATGCATTTTGCCTGAATGTGAAGCATTTTACAATTATTAGGCTGTGCACATGCATTTCATATTGCTTGCAAATGATATCTTATGGTAGGCTGAAAAATGATTATGCTATCTGTAATATGTACTGATAAGCGAGTTGTGATCTTTTGAAGAAGCAGCGCACAGGAGGATACAAAAACGCACACACAATGGAGGCAAACACAGCACTTATGTTGGCGTCCTTTATGTGTGCGTGTTTTTGTATCCTCCTGTGCTCTGCTTCTTCAAAAGATATGTTATCTTGTTGTTTGTTTAACTCAGAGACAGCAGTCATTTGATTGTAGTCGCTATATGAATGTGTGTTTTACGTTGAATAGATGCTAATCAAAGTTTCATGCAGATTTTATCTACTTAGCTGTGTGTGTCTACATCGGAGTGCTAGTATTCTCACCAGAACTAAAAAGATGGGCAGTAAGTTACAAATCTGCAGGAGAAAGTTTATTTGGAAACACTTGGGATATGTGAGGAATCATTGTTGTAGCTTTTATATTTCACTTAAAAAAGCTGTTCTCACTCTCTTAAACGTCTGCACATGTTTTGTGAAAGAACACTGCAAAGCTTTATTTTGTTAGTACTTTTTACCGGGCTGGTTCGTATATTATAATGCTCTTTCCTTGTGATTCTACGTTCTTTTTGTGGTGTTTTAGGGTTTGCTCTTGCAAGTAGTCTGCAGAATCATGTGCGCAAAATGTAAGATTATGTTTCCCATGTTCTGTCGCGTCATGTGTGGCGTTATTTTGTGGTGTTTTAGGCATCTAAAATTTTTTCTCTATTTTGTTTGCTCTTGCAAGTATGCAGAATCATGTGCAGAATGTAAGATTATGTTTCTTGTGCTCTTTCGCGTCATGTGTGGATGACTATCACAAAAGTGTGATGCACATTACGAAAATTGTTCCCATTCTATAGTCAACACCCGGGCGAATGCCAAACGGATCGCAAACATCGAAAACTGCTTTGGGAGCTCCGGCCAGGTATGACGCTTTCTTGCATCTTTGCTCTGTGCGTATTTCGCGGACTTATATTGCTTTGATTTCCCGGGGACATTTAACATAACTGAAGGTCAAGTTATCCAGAATTTCGAGCTAAGTCGCCCCGCCGCGGTGGTCTAGTGGCTAAGGTACTCGGCTGCTGACCCGCAGGTTGCGGGTTCGAATCCCGGCTGCGGCGGCTGCATTTCCGATGGAGGCGGAAATGTTGTAGGCCCGTGTGCTCAGATTTGGGTGTACGTTAAAGAACCCCAGGTGGTCGAAGCTTTCGGAGCCCTCCACTACGGCGTCTATCATAATAATTGGTGGTTTTGGGACGTTAAACCCCACATATCAATCAATCGAGCTAAGTCGAGGGACAGAAGGCCCATAGAAGCTCACAGTGTATATTGAAACCATGAGTGAAGAGTCTTCGTTAGTCAAGCAGTAGCCAAGCCTTGAAGTACGGGCTGTCAACATGTGCGCTAGCATAAATATCAGGCTTACGTTTCCACTGATTACAGCTGATGCCTTGTGGATCTCGCCCTGTCGGATGTGTTTGCTAGCAATGCTTCAGGTTAGAGAACTAAAAAATTTAAACGGCTTTAAAATTTTGAAATGGAAGGCTGGATGATAATAAAGCACTTGTGATTGCTGGAAACTAAACTAGGGTAAATATTTTCATGGTATTGGACATTGTGAGCAAAGTTCTGGTGACCGTGGTTCAGATGTGTCCAATCTGGTGGACAACTTTTCGGACTTCTAGGTTTTGCAGTAGATGGCCTATACTTATAAATAAGCACATGCATTGCCATTGTGGGTTTGTTCTTAACAGTTACTCCTTTCCTTTCTTCAGCCGCTAGCTTCCCATGGCCGCGTGCTTGTTGGGGAGGGCGTCCTCACAAAGATGTGCCGGAAGAAACAGAAACCGAGGCAGTTTTTTCTCTTCAACGACATACTCGTCTACGGCAACATCTTGATCAACAAGAAGAAAGTGAGCGCTCCGTTTTTTTTCTCTCATAGCTGTTAGCGTGAGTGGGTGCAGGTTTCCACTCTGTGGCTATGGCCGAGTTTTACAGTGATGTCTTTGCCTAATACGTGCTGTGCTAGCAGTAGGCATTTGCCAAAACACCACTGGCCGAACTGGCGGATCAAGGGATCCTGCTTTGAGTTAGGTATAAAGGTGTATGCGTGTGCATTGCAAATCTGGTGGCAGATTCATGATATCACATGATCTTGCTAGCGAATCGTACAGACCTGCGTGTGTAGACTTCGCCTGATTTGATTGGTGGACCTCATGTAGTCTACACTGCCATGGAGCAAGCGTCTTACGAGGAATGTCTGCGCAAACTGGACCGGTAACGTAAACGGCATTGCCGTGCTGAAGACGCAATGTTGTAATCTCGTGAAGTGAAGGCCAAGTGCCAGATAAGAGCTGGTGATTTCGAACTAAAAGCTCGCAAAGCTGAGGCAATGGCACAACAAAAGATTTGATAGACGGCTTGCAAAATTTGCGAAAACCCCTTGTTTCAGAAGGTACTCGTTCAGAGGTATGTGTGCAACTGCTCGATCATGCAGTCTTGCTTGAACGGTGGACAAAAAGCGGTGCTCTGTGTTGGTTTTGTTTTGGTATGTCCCATGCTGGCAGAACCATTACAACTCCTGCAAAATTTAAAATGTGCATTTCTTCCGAACAGTACAACAAGCAGCACATTATACCATTGGAAGAGGTGAAGCTGGACAACCTAGGGGACGATGGGAGTAAGTGAAGAATTTATTACTGTTTACACACATATTAGTATATCAATTATGTTGTCTTTTTAGAAGCTTTACGGTCTTATGACGTGACCTTTGCCTTACCTGCCAGTGTGCCTTACCTTGGTGTAGTTTTGTTGCCGTTGATTTTCTAACCGTGAACCCAAACTTCATATTATGCATGCTGCCCTTGGGTCAGCGCTTGAACGAGATCTTCTATATGGTCGATCTTCATGCGGTTTTGCACAAACTTTTCGCAATGACATGTGAAAGCATAGGCTAGGCCTAATCAGCAGTGGTTTGCTTTTCGGTAATGCTTTTATTTTGCTCAAGTTGTGGTTGGCAAGTGCTCTGGGCAGTCGCACCACACAAGTTCACGAGTTGCATTTATTGTGCGTTGGGTATTATCACAAAGCGGCTGACAACGTCGCAGAGGGTCTTGACCGTTCAGTGTCGCAACATTTCAGCCGGGCTGAAGAATGGCTGGCTCATCAGGACCCCAACCAAGTCCTTCGCCGTGTATGCAGCAACCGCGACGGAGAAGACTGAGTGGATGGCGCACATCAACAAATGTGTTGAAGACACCATAAGGAAAAGTATGTAAACTTTCCCTTGCTGCTGCTTGAACCTTTTTATTAATGTGCTTTGTGTCTTTTACCTGTGAGAATTTTACCTGTGTTGCTGTGCCATCACACAGGGTTATTGCAATAAAAGAAAACTTTTGGGAAATCCTTGAAAAATTCGTAGAAGAATGGGGAAGCTTCGCTCTGGCTGCTTTTAATCAGAGAAATTGTTGCCTGTAGTCATTATAGTGAAGCTACATAGCAGAATTAAGAGGGAGCTGTTCAAAACTTACCTCATGCAGTCTGCAAGTAATACCTTTTTTTTCTTATTTTGCAAGTGTGAACTTAGCCATTTGAATGACACTCACACCTCATAATAAGAAACTAGCATCTGCCCCCAAAATGCTTTGTTATAACCGATAATTTGTTATATCCGAATTCGTTATATTGAAGTTAGAGTGTATTATGAAACATATGTTTCAGCTTAGCTTCATGGTGGTTCACAGATAATTTGTAGTTGCCACTGAAAATTTTTGGCTTGCTGTACAACATGACTAGCTGTAAACCACCACGTTTTCTTTGCACCTGAACCTGCTAGTGTCATGAACAGGGAGAAAATTTTGTTACAACCAGGTGGTATTAAGCTCTAGAAGGGGCAACTTGAGTAACGCCAATTTAGTGCTCTGCTGATGTTGCCAACACTCGTATGCTTACTGTAGCACAACTGACATGGTACATCGCTGCATGTGTGTATTATCTTGTATATTTAGTATGCAATTGCTCACAGTGAACTGTTTCAGCATTGCAAAAAGACCTTTATTTTCTCGGTAGTCATTAATTGACCACAGAAAAAAATGCGCTTCTCATGGGACATGTATACTTGATGGCAGAAAGTGGAAATAAATGGTAAACACCAGCTGCAATGATCCAATTCCGGACTGCACGAAAAGCCTCGTTCCTGATAGCGTTTACGCGAAAGAGCTGCGGTAGTGAGACGGGAAGTAGATAGGAAATAGGATGACTCGATGCATCACAGAAAGCTGCCAAACTACCGTGAAATCCCGAGCAAGTGCCCCGTTCCTTCTTCCTGAAATATTGAATATGAGGTCTCTTATTCCCTCTCACCGTTTTTTATTCACAGTTTTTATTCGCCCTACAACGTTGAATAAAAACCCGTCTTGAATTTTGATCCATGACCGAGCAAGCCCTTCCACTCCCTCACCCAAATCTTGTGCAATTATCCTTCACCATAAAAGAGGGGAGAGGTAGAGGGGTCTGCTTGGGATTTTACGATGGCACTTTTCTGTGGGGAAACTAGAAAACGGCGCTACCACACCACTTTCTGGAAGAAACTCGGGAGAACTGCGTGGCCTAGAACGTGTGGATTAGGAGCTGAAATGTCTCAAGATGTGGAAGGATGTTAAAAGGGTGCTTGTCCTCATCAGCGTTCTTGTGTTCTGTTTTGTGCGTGGACAGCTGGGAAGTACCCTACCAAGGAGCACGCTGCCGTGTGGGTTCCCGACGCGGAGGCTGGTTACTGTATGCACTGTCGAAAGACCCAGTTCACCATGCTCAACCGTAGGGTACGTTCCGACTCTTTTGTGAACCATCTTCTCCTTCAGTACTCGCTACTTTACAAGTGGGTGGCTGGATTGATTGTTCTGCTGTGGGTGTTTTGTTTCCTAGACAAAACAGGTTATGGTATCAAGAAAAATAGCGCCGAGCTCACTGATATGTGTCCTCTGCATTGTAATGGCATTTGTGCTGTCAGCTGTTTTCCTATGTTTTTTTCTGCTGTCAATGTTAGGAATGGATTGCACGTAAGAGCTGAACGATAAAAATATGTACATGTGCTTTTTGTTTTCATACCCGCAGTGTGGCAGAGAACCGAAATGGGAGACATTCTTAGGAGGTTGTAAAAAGAAATTTAATGGAATCAAGTGACATAAATCGGGGATTATAGCTTTTTCTCATGTGTATTTGGCCGCAAGCACTGCACACTTATCTGCTTTACTACTTAAATGCATTGCTGTAATGTTTAGGGCAGTATGTCATTGCTAGAAAACAAATGTAAAAGTCCTTGAAGACACTGAATTATGTGCATGGTGGCCATTGCATAGGGCCATGTTACTGGTGCCCATAAAGACATGGACAGCTACATGGCATTCAATGGCAATGACAGTTGGGTGGATCCACGAACCCATTATGGGACATTACGTGGAAGCATAGCCGCATCCATACTTTGCCGCTTGACTCAGCACTCCATTGTACTGCCAGGTCTACCTCTGCTTCGTCGCACGCTTGACCTGTCTTTGTCGTACCTGTTTCAGCACCACTGCCGCAAGTGTGGTACCGTGGTCTGCGGCCCGTGCTCTAACCGCAAGTTCCTGCTGCCAGCACAGTCCAGCAAGCCCTTGCGGGTGTGCCTCACGTGCTACGACGCTTTGTCTAGGGCATCCATCCTGGAGTCGACCACGGGCGGCATGGCGAGAGGTGAGTGGGTGCTTTTTATAAAGATGCATTCTCTACCCCGTGCCATCGTTGTTTTAGTAGTAGTAGTAGTAGTAGTAGTAGTAGTAGTAGTAGTAGTAGTAGTAGTAGTAGGCATGTTGCAGCTGATGTGGTATGAGGGGTGAGAGTGAGGCATGAGAGAAAGGGGAAAAAGACTGCCCCGCGACAACAGTGGCAAGAGAGGCTCGTTTAGAAGGTGTGAAGCTGAGGAGCATCGTACGCTCACTTGGGTGGGGAGGGAGCGTACGACGATGCTTGAACAAACCTTCTTGGTGAGGCAGGGTCGCGAAACCGGGCATGTCTGGAATTTCGGATGTCCGGGAAATCGGACGCAGACCGTATCAATGGTCTAAGCAGGTCATATCGTACTACACCTAAGAATAATAGGTATTTACTTACTTACGTTGGGCACTGCATCGTTTTTTGTTGGAAACACAATGTACAAGTGAAATTCAGTCACATGCACTCAAACCTCAGTATAACGGATTTGGATATAATGAAATATCGGATTTAACGAAGTAAATGAAAACTAGTCTCGCAATAGATTTCGTGTTAAGAATAAACCATTATAACGATTTCTCAGATATAACGAACTTATTTTGATGTAAGATGCAAGTTTGTTATAATGAGGTTCGAGTGTATAGCACAAAAAAAAAAGGGAATTGAAAAGAAAAGTCACTTCCTACAAAAATCAATTTCACAGGCTTCCAAAGCATAGTTTCTTCCTGGCGTCAGATACAAATAGTGAAAAATGTTTTTGCGCTTAACATTAGAAAATGAAGATTTGGATTGGTGCTGTGGGTGATTGAAAGTTCAGCACTGGCCTTCAAACTATTGAATTATTCCCCATCTTTCACAGTAGTCTAGACGTGCTTTGTCATGTGAATATTTGCTCTATTTCGTTCGTGGCCCGCCAGCTTGGCTTCTGACGGGAATGGCAACACTCTTTGTTTTGTTCTGCAGGTTCAATCGCCTCAGTTCATTCTTGCTTGTCTGTGTGATTTTCGACCGACTTTTCAAGCAAAGGTTGTTATAACTCAGATTTTGTATGTATTCGGTAGTGTTTGTGTGCATTTGATATTTTCGGGGTCTGTGAAAAAAGGATAAAGCGCTGTGCCTACGATTCACGGTGTTTGGCTGTCCGCTCAAGAGGTTTCTTCCCTGAACATTGCAGTTCAACAAAAGGTGGACAAGCCGGTTACTGGGGCAGACTCTTCCGGGGACGATGACTCCGACTACGACGACGACGACAACCGGCAGTCGACGGACAATGGGCTGTCCAAGGACATGGATGGCCTCACTTTCGACGAGAAGGTGCCTTTGCGATCCCAGTCTTCTGTTTTCTTTCTTTTAGTTTAGGAGCACCTGATTTCGAATTTATTTACTTATTCCCTCGTTTAGATATAAAGCAAGTTCAATTATAGAGTTAGATACATTAATACCGACACTAGCAAAACACTGTAATTTTAAAGAAGACCCAGTCTTCCGTGCATTGATTGTGGAAATGGCTAATAAAGGATGCCATGTGTAGCGAGAGTGTGGTTGCTGGCGGTAAGTATACTTAGTCAGAGCAGGCTAATAAGGCGGTAATGGGGGCTAGTCAGTACGTCTTCATGCTTGTTATGCGCTGCAGAGTAGGGAAAAAATAAAACAGCGACAAGACAGAGTGACGCACAATTGTTTTTTTTGGTCTCTGTTTTGTTTTAGTTACTCTGCAGCGCATCACAAACATGAAGATGTAGTCAGAGCAGCTATCACTTTAGGGAGATCATTCCGCAGTGTTATTACGCTTGTGGCAAACTGTATGTTTAAACTGAATGCACATGTTCTGCCAAAGATACTCGTCTAACTGCGACAATTTTGCAAGTGTGTCGACGCGTGATCCAGCGTGTGCAATTGGGAAGGGCACGGCTTTATGCAGAGGACGTACATACGAGCAAATCTTTAACTGTCGTTCATCATTCATCAGCGGCAGTTCTTCCTGTGTATTTTTGTCATACAACTTGATTAAGGTTAAAAAAAAAAAAAGGCGAGGACAAGTGTATGTCCATAAAGCACATCTCCACGAAGCAATTTTTTGTAACTTTGTTGCACGATGTGGCGCTGAGAGACAAAAAAGTGGCCGTTGGGTAGCAGGATTTGACTTTCGATAGAAGCGAGTGGTAACCTGTGAAATATGTTACATTTTAATATTTCATATACTTAGAGCATATAAGCTGGTATAACAAGTTTCTAAATTAAAAAAAATGGTGAATCGATGTGAGGGCAATATATTAATTTAGCCTTGAACTGAGACTTCGTGGCAGTGCAAATTTTTGCCTGGATAGCTGTTTTCACGGCCTAACATTCCGTCATTGCAGTAATGTTGCTTTTACAATGAGTTACATGCATAATAATATATGTCTGAAGGAGGTGCTTTCACTGCTTTGCATTGTTTCACTGTAGTGAAAACACGTTTAGAGAGATGACATGCGGTTTAATATATTCGTCCATTTCGAACGCTTGGACATTTTTCGCAATAATTTCCAATCGTAGTGAATTCGAATGCCATAATATTGTAATGTTTGAATATTCGAACTAGCCTATGTATTTTGACATTGAAGTTGATTTTGGCACTGGGCACCTACTGACATTGACATTGCGACATCAAGCTGCAGTGTCGATTGTGGCGATTCACGCACTAGTGTGGACAGCTGTGATGATGTGTGGTACCAAAATATTCAAGATGGCCTCCCGTGCCTCACAAGCAGAGCTACACTGTAGTTAGATCGTAGAAACGTCGCGACATCTTGTGTGAGCACTTGGCGAGAAGTTCGTACCATGTTGTGCGGTCAGCACACAGTAGAAACTGAATCCATCTCTTAAGAACACACTGTAGTAGCTTAGGGATGCATTTATGCTTACTGGTACATTTTCTATGCTCAAGAGGGCTTGGATTTTCGTTTGACATGAGAGAAACAGAAAATATTCGCCTCGGTATCACTTGAGGCCCTAAGAAGTGCAGGTCGCTTGCTCGTTCAAGGGTGAACTTCAATGTACGCTTCTTTTCCTCGCAGCCCACGTTCTACGGAGACATGATGGAAGCCAAGAGCCCCGAAGTGGAACTCGCCGAAGAAGCCAAAGCAGTGCCAGCGTCACCCGAGCAGAAAGAGTCGAACAGCTTGCAAGACGCGTCGCCCACGTACGAGAACGCGAAAAGGGAAGCCCCCGCGGTGGATTCCATGGCAGGGGGAGAGCCCCACCCCGACGGACACTGAGGGCACCAGTTTACTCTTCGAATGCCGCAGTCCCACACGCTCTAGGCTTATTTCTTGCCCAAGAAGGTGCTTTCTCCACTGTTCGGGTCACTCGTGCACTTGTTGCCGTGGTGCTGGTTTCGCGTGTTTGTGCGGCTGCCTTTATTCGATATGGGTCGTCCAGGGTTTGGAATTTTTTTTGTTTGTCCCCCCGAGATATCTGCGAAGTCACACGGTAAAACTGTCCCATTTTACGAAAGCGTAGTGTTGCTCTCACGCAACGCAATGCTCGTTTTTAAGGCTGCATTTTTTGCAGTCTAGATAGGGAGTGCATGTAGCACACGAGATGCTGAGCCATTCATGTACATCTGGGATTCCTAGCTTTTTCAGGTGCTTCTGGTTTGATTCACAATAAGGTGCTTCTGTCTTATGGTTTTGAGTAATATGAAAGCAGTGCATCTGCAGATATTGCTGCATGTTATTATTTGCACAGCATGAAACGCAACAAGGACCCTCCCATGTGTGCTGTTACTCGGAGAGTGCCTTGTTGTGTTGCTATAAATGCCGCAGTAAACATTGTGGTCCGAGTGTGCGGGCGAGCATTACGAAAGGATGTGCACTATCCATAAATTGATGCATTTCATTCTGTTTCACTTACGTCTTATATTTTCAAGATATGCTGCATGAACTGAGGGCCCAGCCTGGTTTAAAGCTCTTCATACTTTGTTGCATTCTTCAAATGTCCATAAGATGGGACCACTTTGCAGTGTGACTGTACACAATAGTTGCACGTGGTACACGAATCGGCGGCGGTGAAAGCTTGTTCTAAAGACCATTAGAAGCCAAATGGCGAGGAATCGGCATGGCATGGTGCAATAGAGGTAGTATGACGCTGCCTGTTCCTAGCAAGACTAAAGCAGTATTGGCATCCTTTAGCATGGCAAGAATGTATGTACTGGAAGTCACATTTAGGACTGCTAATGAAGTCCTCCAATTTTGAAATCATTATACAATACAATAACGCACCAATGCTTGGGACAGCACTTTTTTTTTTCACACAAGAAAGGTGTGGAAATATCTTGGCAATGATTATCTTGTCGCATCTAAACTGCAATTAGAGCTCCGAGCTAATATTTTGTAGCATTGCTTTTTCTTGCTTTTGGTCCCTCTTCAGCGGTCAGAGAGATGATCTTCTCGCGTTACTGACAGGATCTGGCAATTGCGAGCAATGAACGATGATGCTAGCTTGCAATCCTGTTGAACAAAATGCTGCCCTCTACCCACTGTCAGCATAGCGTCACAGGATGTAGCTGCTTGTTCTAATTTTCGCATCCAAGTCTTCCACTATTTCGATACAGGTTCTACCTTGTGCGAATGAAAACTCCCTTGTCATAGTGCTCATTTAGTTGCAAAGGCTATGTGAAGCTTGTTCGACAGCCGACGGTGTGTGTAATGTACTGCATACGAGACGGACAGCGTGCTGTCGTGTCGGGCACAACTACGCACCGGAGCTAGTTTGTTGCCAACCACAGTACTAAGTGCCTGCTTTCGGAGCAGAACTTCATGAGGACATGACGAGGCCTACGGGGACTTTGCTGGCCCCCAGTGTTAAACAGGTTGCATGTGTGAAGAGATTTTTTCACGCTTTCGATGTGTCTTTAGCAACGTGCTTTCCGGCTGGAACTTTAGGAAGTGCAGCTATGACTAAGTTGCCAATTGAATATCCACTTCTGTAATCAGAGTAAGATTGTTTTCTTGTTTTGTTCCTGAATGCATATGAGTTCCTTTGTAAAATTATGCTTTCTGTTAGTGCGCAGATGCAACGCTCGTTTCGCTTTACAGGGCCACATATAAAAAAATTTCAGACCTAAAAGAGTGTCCTTGCAAGGCTGGCGCTTGCTTATGTTCAATCAGGCTTGGACATCATGGGGATGTCTAGGCCGTGAAAGCTTCTAGTACTGAAAACTGCATCGTGTGGAGTGAAGGCCTCGGAGAGGTCAGTCGCACGGGTTTGTGCTTTCGCTTATCTTCCAGGCCAACTTTTTCGTATTAAGGAGATTTGCCATATGTTTGTTTTCCTGTTAGATTTTACTTTTCAGTGCTTTGTTATAATTTAGTGGAGGCATTCAAATCATGTTTTATCAGTTTCGTGCAAAAACGTGCTACCTTCTTAATGTATTAGGTTTTTTTTACTATATATTTGCTAAATGATGCTAACAAGAACAAGTTTCTCTGTTCCTTTTTATCAAGCTTTGATTTGACTAAAATATGATAATGTGACACTGCACTAAAGAATGTGTCAGAAAAAAAATTTTTAGGCAAGGAAAGATGATCGAAAATTTTTTTGGAATTATGCAATCCGAACATGTTTAACCTAGAAGTAGAGCTAATATTTGATAAGCAGTAATAGTGTGCCCTGATTCATTACAACATCACTAGACATCGTCACAACTTGTGTATCATTTGCGACGCATCCGGTATCTTAGGCAAGCATTCTGAACTGGTAGCTTTAGGGGATACCTCAGCTTGATGTATATACTTCAATGGGCTTTACGGTATTCTCTGTGCCGGCTTGACCATTTAGTTATCCACTATGATAACCAGAAGAGGTGACCAACCAAGAATGTGGCTTTGCTAGTACATTACGCTAAATCTATTATGTGGAAACCCAACTTCAAGGCGGGTAAACATAGTAGGACCCTCGTAGAGTTTTTCTCCAAGTGCCTTTTGCTGCGAGGGAATGGACACTTGTAATATGCTTGCTAGTAGGAAGATATTAACACAGGTTTTTGATAGCACAGCACTTTTGTATGTATGTGTTTGAGTGAATGTGGTGTAAATAGCAACAGAAAATTTTTTACTAGTGTGACCACAGGGAAGATCGATCGTTTTGTGGGTCAACTTTTTTTTTCTCCAACCACATAACTGTTGATCTAATAAAATCGTAAATGGGTCTTACAAAGGTATCCGAGTTGTTATTGCATGCAATTTGCACACCTATGGCAGACTTCGTGCAAAATCGCAGCTGCTCTTGCTTGAGTTAATAAAGACTGTTTGGTTTTAAATATGATGTACTCAAAGATCTAGCACAGTTCAAAGTTTACATTCATATCTAATGTGCGTTTGTGACGGCTGAAAAAATAGCTGGATAGAATGTTTACATGTGCAGCAGCAAGGTTTTTGACACTAGAGTGCTGCAGTGTTCGTCTTACAGCGAAAGCTATTGTTCACAACAACGGCCGTTTTTGTGCCGCAGTTGTACACCACCAGTGTCCAGAACTGCTATTGCACAAAATGAGCAAAACAAAACAAATAACCTGAAAAGAACGGGTTTCAAAACCAGGCCCTCTGCATGGCATCCCAGTATTCAACCACGGAGCCATGCTGGTGCTTGAAAACCCTTTGCAAACAGAACCTATGCAGACCTCTTGTCGGTGTAAGGAATCGTGTAAACTTGTGTAACAGTGTTTTTGATGATTAGCGGCTTGGCATCGCATAACTCAAAATGCGTAACAACTGGGTCATTGTATGCTTCCAACCCATTATGAAAGGCTTGACCATAATTATTGACCATCAGCAACAGCATATAAAAGGGCACGTAATGCCTTACAGGTGCGTAGCGGGTACCATGCTACTCTGAAGTACGTATAATGTAGCGGCTGCTCCCCTACTTGACAAAAATTTTGACCTATGGCATAGTGGATGCCATTGCAAGTGTACCTGCAGTAGTTGCCCTGAGCTGTTTAAAAAGGCTCCAGAAAGGCCGCTCTTCCAACTTTCACTGTGATTGTGCTCCGTGTTCTGTGCAGGCCTGGTGCTTTTTTTTTTAAATCTGTGTTCTCACACTCTTGGATGTAACGACTGAAGCGTCCACTTTTGTTGAATGATCCTTCGATGGCAGGTTTTTAATCTTGAAACTAATAAACCGTACTTTTTTCACGTATAAATTAAGTCGCACAGGTTGCTAAAACTTAAACTTGACATTGTTCTGCCCTGCAGCATCTTTAGCCTTCCTCGGGTCCATTTTGTACTTCTTCAGCAGCATGTCATGCGGTATTTGTATTCCCCGAGAACTGAGAAAACAGGTGTAACGGTAAAAGGTCACGGGGTTCAGTTCGATGCCATAGGTTTCGGAGTGTTCAAACGTCTTCTGTGCACTCCTGAGGTCGTCTGCATCACCTGGAAGGAGAGAAGTGCAAGTTGTGGGACATTCTCCAACGGAAGTTGTACAAATGTGTGAAACAGTGGCTGGCCTACTTTTGTACAATTCGACACTTCAGTTGTTGGGCCAGTTTCTTCCTTGCTTAAAAGGGGCCCTGCAACACTTTTTGAGCATGGTCGGAAAACGCTACAGATTGGTAGTCGAGACTCCCGAGACCACGCGAGCCGAATACTGTAGTACAACACGCGGCCCGAAATTCACGCTCTTGACAAATGAGGCTACAAGCTCAAAAATCACCCGTCACTGCCATTGTATCAGCCGTTGGCTGATTTGAGCATGGCATGCTTTGTCGTTACTGGAAGTCACTGCGGGCGGCCGCGACTTGTCCAAGCGTGCGTGCGTAATTGCACTGACAAGCCATGTATCGAAGAAAAAAAGAAAAAGTGCTCTAGGTCAGGATTTTTGTTTCTGGCGCATTTTCTTTTCCCATGGGATCCCTTCCTCCTTAGCTTCCAGAGCTTTTATCGGGACGAGAGCATGCAATTGCTGCGTGCAACAAATCTTTACGACTCGGCTTGTACTGGACAGATTCTAAAAATATTTGCGGCGGTGAATTCGTGAGGTGAGGTAATAAGCTTTAATCCATTTACGGCTACTTATAAAAGAACTGCAGGGCCCCTTTAAGGGTTGTTACCGATAGTCTAGGATTTATTAAGACTTTAAATTTTGATAATGGGGCTATTTATTCATTTCATTGCTTGGAGCTGTTGAACACATTTGGTTACACAGTCTTGCAAGATGTAACTGCCCTTAGCGCCCCAAAAGCTTTTTGAACTTCCTGTTCTGACGTATAAAAAGAAAATAGATTACCTTCTCATTTCATCCCTCCATGGCAGTTGCATTGTGCTCTAAATATATTTACTGCAATTGCAGACAGTAGTGGAAACATAAAAGGGATACTTTCGCAGGGTTCATAAGATTGAACCCAGCAAGCTAACTTTTCCCCCCAATATCTTTTGCAGACAAGCAAGAACTATGTGCTTACGTGTAGTCGTAAAGTGGATAAGAGATTGTATTGAAACCCTGTATGTAACTTTCACCAGAAAATGGACGTTATATGTACATGGTGGCACTCTCGCACCGAAGGTCAACAGACATCTAAACATAATCTTCGAGTTGTACAGCGCAAGTTGGGCGATGATGCAAGGACCAGACTGCACACAAAGCTCTGCACGCTGTTTGGTCCTCTGTATGTTGTACACTGTTTTGTGTCGAACCCCTGTGCTACACAACCTCAAGCAAGCCCAAATTTCCAGCGACCATAATGCACAATATCTCGGCAAACAACAATTCCTAGGCTATTGGACGTCTTCACGATTCTGTACGGCAATACGTAGCTCAATGTTTAAAGACGCTCATGTACAAACACTGCAGCAGGGCAACTCTGGCGATCGACTCACAGTAGAACTCGAGGAGAAAGCTGAGCACGAGGCCGCAACACTCCGGCATGCCCATGCAGAGCACGACGTTGAGCAACCTCTGCACCATGTCCACGTCGCACCTGTCGACGGCGTACGAGATCACCGAGCTGACTTTCTTCTCGAAGAAAGGCTTGGCCCGGGGACGCAGGCGAGCCACCTCGACCAGTTCGGAGGCCGCGGCGTGATAGCGTCGCCTCTCGCTCAGGAAGAACACCTTCCACACGTTGGACAGCGGATGGAAGTAGCCGCGGTCGGCTAGCCTCTCGCACATGCGAGCCAGAAGCGTCGCTTCCTCGACCATGTCGTTCTTCACCAGGTGCGCGGCGAGGAACGTGAGCAGGGAGCATATTTTGACGCGGTGAGCCCTGTGGGCCACGAAGAGCGCCTCGAACTTGAGTATCGCCTCGGCCGCGCGACCCGAGCGCGAGAGCGCTTCGGCGTCGTAGTGTTCGAATCGGAGCGCGTCGGCGGAGACGATCGGGTAGACGGTGTCCACGACGTCGCGCACCTTTCGTACTCCTTCCACGTCGCCCTCTCGGGCCAGCGCCGAAATAAGCACCGTAGCCGTCTTGGAGCTCGGATACCTCCGTTGGTCGGCCCCGAACGACTTCACGATCAGCGCCAGGGCGTCCGCGAGTCTTAGCGCACTGATCAGCTGCAGCAACTGGGCGTCAAGCGTCACGTCACAAGATTCGTGCGCCAAGTCACAGTGAGCTCTTCTCTTTGCCCTGCTGGGCGCGTTATCCGAGTTCGTGCCTCTGTGGGAGTGTGCGAGTCGAACACACAGCGCCCACTTTGCGCGGTCGATGAGGGGACCGTTGACAGCAGTCGCTTCGTAGTTGATTTGCTTGATAATCATGTAAATCGATCTAACGAGTAACATTGCTGCTCTTTATCGCGGGAGATCGTCAGGAACGCTTACTGCGCATCAAATAAACACGGCAACCAAGAACGTAAACAACGAAAGCCATTGCTAGCAGACTGACCACGCTTTTCGTGTTGAGTAGGCTGACGATCTGCAGCCGTAGTTGACATTCGTAACTGTCATCGCCAATTACACTTTTATCAACTATCGCACAATATTAAAAACCAAAAAATTATAACTAATAGTTTAAATTGTATTTTTGAATAGTTGGTAAAGTTTTGTTGTTATATAGTTAATATTTATTTACGTCAGATGCGGTATTGACAAAGACGAGTGAAACGGTGTCAAACGTCAAGAGAGGGTAAAAAATGGCAAAGGAGTCGATGTGAACGTCGCATTTTAGCGTGTTTTATATTATTTAAATTCAACAATGAACTCGATCACCGACAGTCTCATCAGCTGGGTACGTAACGCGAACTGTAGTTATCGCAGTTGCATGCTTGTAATCGCTTTTCCTTCGTTACCTGGTCCCGCTGTTGAAGCTTGAACAGGGGGTGCCTGTGGCATACATCCTTGTTTAATATGGGCCAACACTGGTTGGCGTGTTCAACTTCTTTTAGGCTGACACCCGGCGCACGATGCTTACACAGTACCTCTCTTTTAAAATGCTTTCTCGTGGCATTCTGTGCAGCTTCAGACGTTCAACGTTTCTGCCCCGCACAAGACCGTCGATCAGCTGTCCGATGGAGTCGCGCTCGCTCAGGTGCTTCACAAAATGTAAGTTGATGCACCCAATTTCCTGGTGTGTGTACCGTTGCAGTAATCCGTAGGTGACCTCTTCTGCCGTGACGAACTCGGTTCTAGTTAGTACGGCGTTCACCTCTGCGGCGAATGCGGGAGGTTGATGTCACCGTGGCGCGCTTTCTACTGCACCGAACTAAAGAAGCGACGTCGCCCCCGATTGCCCTTTACGTTGACTTTGCGTGCCTGCGTGCTTCCTACACAGCGGGGTGTCTTAATGATCTATTTGTCGCAGTATCGTGAGTGGCAAGGCGGTAGAAGTACCGTATTAAACATATGTGTTCAAGTTCGTACGTAAACAAAGTCGCTTTCGCTCATTAAAGGTGAGCGGCAACCTGAACTCAATGGCTAATAACAACAGAATTAGTGACAAAACAATTACAAAAAATGTGAAGATAATGGAGACCGCGTGATTCGAACTTAATTTATATCAGGGATCATCGGAACATTTAGGTTCTATACATTAAATCTGTTAACCACTTTATGCTGTTATGAAACTAATTCTCGCAGTCATAAAAATCGCGGAACGGTAACCCGGTACTGTCAACATTACGGCGAGGAAAAAAAAAATACATAAGTGTTCATTTTTTGTAACTTCATACAATGCCCGAATTGTCTAAAAGTACGAAATTGTTTCCTTTTCCTGTAACACAACAGTGAACAACAGCATTTGAATACTAACATTCAGCTATTTACAAGTTTTATACATTGGCTAATAAGTATATTGGGGGCTTTTCGCTTTGAGGTTTCTTCCTATCATGATGTGTCGGCGGTGGGTCGATGTATCGTTCGACAACTCATTCATGTGTCGCATCCGTATCACAGATCCGTCCTTAATTGTGTGATAACTCAAACTATTAGTCTCTTATTGTGCTGATTTCTTCTATTCTAACATCACCACAGGACTCTCCAGTGGGTCTTGAAAAAATTTTACTAACGGCGTTTTACCGAAGGAAAAATCTTGCGAAGCCTGGTCTCGCAGCTCATCATCATAATTTATTGAGCCCTTAAAAGCCTTATACAAGGCATTACATACAGGGGGGAGCAAACAGATATCATTAGGACGTGTCGTTTTACAATTGCAGTGCTTAAAAAATACCAGTGAAGCAAATATACATTGCACGGCATTGAACACAAAAATAAAGCAAATTATGAAAGTTAAGAATTATTACGTGCGGTTGGTTGCTAGACGCGAACACAGCTGAGACAGCCTCACGAGCCCGCCTGCAGTTTCTGAAGGCAACCGATTGTTTTCTCTCTCTCTCTCTTACTGCAGTGTTCTCCTTTCTCTGCATAGGGTAGAAAACTGAACATAGCCTAGCTAACCTCCTCTCTAATTTGCATTTGCTACACGAGCTGGGGTAATAGACTACGTCGTCAAAGCATGTGCATGTTTCACTTCGTCTCCCACAGCGACCCCGACTTCTTCGACTCGTCCTGGCTGTCGAAAGTCAAAACTGACGTGGGAAGCAACTGGCGGCTCAAAGTGAGTCCTTGCTCGCAATCTTCAGTGCAGTAATTCCGCAGAGGCGTTTGAAACGAATGTCCACATTTTCCTTTCAAACCTTTCAGTTCAGCAACCTGAAGAAGATTCTCAAGGCGATCATCGACTACTACAATGAGGTACGTCAGCCTACCAGATGCGGAAGCGACAGCACTTGGTTATGTGAAAGAAAGCCCTTAACGAATTGTTGAAGAAAGCCCGTTCAGGCGTTACCTGTGAAGAACTTTCTGTTAATGTGTATAATTTGCACAGCATTATTCAAAGGTTCTCAATAATACATTGGAACGAAGTTAATGTCATAATAGCTTCATTTGTGTGTTTCATAGTGATTAATCGTAATTAAGTTTCAACTATATCTCTATTTATCTGGGAGTCGTTCATGTTGTTTCTGAATGCGAAGCGTTTCTTTGCATAGTGGAAACAGTTTTGGCATCTATTTATCTACATATCTATCAATTTACCTATCTAACCACCTCTTTCTGGGTGGCACATACAGGTGATTGACACTTAGTATCTGCACAGGAATGGTGAGAACACTCATGGGTAATTTTAACCCATGAGCGTTAAGAAAAAGCTGGCATTGGCTGCATTGACCTAATGAATTGAACCCCAGCATTCTCTGCGGCAGCCATGTATTCTACCACATGCCAGGTCTTGGAACTAGTTTTCCCAAACCTTAATGTTTGGGGAACGTCAGTGGTGGTTGCAGTGCTGGCTATTTCAATTTATAAACATTATATATGTACTCCTATGATACAGCCGTCAGGTCTGGTTAATGTCAATTGTAATTATGTTCCATGCACAGAAGTGGATTTAGTAGCAGTGTCCAGAGCTACCATCCTCGCGAGCAGCAGCGCTTTATATCAGCTTATTACTTCTGGTGTCGCTAAAACTCATGTTCCTGTTGGCACCATTGCACAAGTGTAAACAACTGGTTATATGAACATCTGCAACTGTTCAAGACACGTCTGTGCATGCAACATTTGTACGTATATTTAGTGTCATTTCAGAATGTGCCGCTCGATAAAAAAATACAACAGGGTAACCTTCCCTCTGTAGGCTTCGCATAACGTCGATTCCGAAGGTACGTGGAATCTGCAGAGTTTTTCCATAAGTAAAATCAAACCTCAGTATAGGAATATAGTGAAATCACGTTTTGGTTATATTAATGTGCAGGTGACAGCACATCGAAAGTGGTAGGGGCCTCAGTGAAGTGGTGATATGCAACGATACTCTGCAAAATTAAGTTATATGAAGATGCATTTCTTATGCAAGAGATTGAATTTATCAAGAACCTCAATTTAATTCTCTTTGTGACTAGTTGATATAACTAGTATAAGCACATTGTCTACAAAGTGCTTAAAAGGTCTAAGAAGATCTTTGTTTCTTCAGGTTCTGTTCCAGCAAATCACAGAGTTCCGCTTCCCAGATGTCGGTGCCATTGCAGAGAGGGGAAGCCGTGACGAAATGGGACGCCTCCTGCAGCTGATCCTCGGATGTGCTGTAAACTGCTCCAGGAAACAGGGTTGGTTGGCCTTTCAACTCAGATTGTTGGGATTGCTGACACAATACTCAGTAACAAGTTCTCTTGGCAGTGCTGTGAAAGCTACATAATCGAAACACATGCCTTCTTGCAGACTAGATTCAGTGACGTAATTTTTTTGACAATTTTCTCATTTCTCTTTCTCACATAAGTGCTGCTTTACTTATTACTAGACTAAAACAGTTACTAGAAGTGACTAATCAATGTGAACTTGGTCTTACATAACTACAGTTATTTCATGTAGTATAAGGAGCCCTTACATGACTTTGAAGCATGGGGGTCATGGCATCTTAACCAAGTAGCTCAACTGCTCAACTGTAAGATGGTTGTAGGAATTGTGCGTTGCATAAGCCTCATAAAGCTAGTGGTAGATTAAGCTACCACTTCTTCAGTATTTTCTTCAGTATTTTTTGGCAAATTTGATTATTGTGAACTGAGTATTCATATGTGGAACCTTTAGGTTCTTTTGAATTTTATCGGGTGTTGCTTCATCCCCCTGTTTCACCTTTGCCTGCTTAACGCCCGAGAATCATTTCGTATAGTCGGTCACGTCTGGGCTCGACTGCGAATGATCGATTGATGGGAATGCACGAATCGGGTTGGTCTTCAGAAATTGAAGCAGATGAGGATGTTGAACAAGCAGTTGTTGCCAGCTCGTGATAGTTCAAATGACGAGGTACCACAGTTCCTGTCTGCGGCATTGACAAAAGTGTTCCTTATAGCTTTCGCCTGTACAGCGAACGTGTCTGTGTGGTGGCATTTTTCAGTTGCCACCATGTGGTGACACTAAGCTGTCCAAGTCCAGTCTTTGCAAGGAATATATTTTTTTTTTCACGAACGAATGCCTGTTCATGTTTATTTCTTAAAAATTTATGTACGTAGTGTTTCCGAGAAATACATAGATAGACATGGACGAAAAAATTCAAGCTTTCTGGAAAGTTTTTTGAGGAGCGGAGTAGTGGTGTGCTTGAAATATTTTTTCCAGTATTTTCAGAGAAAGACGCCTGTTATTATGCAGCTAAAAGCAATTGATTATTTTGCAGCTTGTACAAACACGATATGTAAACAACCTAGCGCAGCATGGTTTTACTAGGTACAATCACGTACTGCTGGCATGTGTTATCCCTTTTCTCGTAGACTGCAATTCGTAAAATTTGATGCCTCCTCTACGTAGTGCTCGTTTATTAATATATGGCTGATCGGTAAAATTAATTAAAAGTCTTGTTACTTGTTTGGGCAATGGCGTGCACATTGTTTGTAATGTACGGTATTTGCCAGTGTTGTTGCAGTGATCAATGTGCAATTGTGAAACACAACCTTTTGGCCTGCCATTCATTGAGCTTTTCCAATGAAGTGGTACTTACCTCTCATATGATGCTACATTTTAAGCACAAAAAGCTGGCTTGAAACTTGTTAGTTTCTTTTCATCATTACGAAGACATCAAAATTACGTACGTGTAGTGCCTAAAGCTTTACTGTTTCATTCCAGAATACATACAAGTCATTATGGGTCTTGAGGAGGCTGTCCAGCATGTTGTCATGAAAGCTATCCAGGAGGTTTGTAACTATATGTTTTTATTTGTTTTTTTCAATAATCATAGCACTTCAAGCATTCATAGAACAGTGAAGGAACTGTTATTAAGCACCTTCACTATTTCTGCAGCATACCTTACATGCTTAACATGCAAGGAAGCATGACTAATACTTGTGTGTATTTTGTAAATGAAGTTATTGTCTCAAACACATCATGGCTTACCAAGCACTGATAGGGCCTCAAAAGGTGTGCATCTGCTTTATTAAACTTTTGCTTGCAGTATTTTCTTTATAATAAGTTAAGTCCCACCAGTTGGACCAACATTGTGATGTATTTTATGGTGCAAAATAGTTGAGCGTAATGCAAAGGCTTTCAATTTGGCTATACTGGTGTCAAGTTGCCTTTTCATTCACAATAATTCACGATTCCTGTTACTCAGGGGTTCTCCAAGTGGGTTCCGCAGAACCTAAGGGTTTCGTAGGCCCCTTCTCGGGGTTCCGCGAGCCACTGATAAATTTTCCCTGGCTATGGACTCGCCCACTCAACTCACTTAGATGGCGATCCCGAGGGGTGATCAATCTAGGGAACCTCCATCATTCACGCCCGATTGTGTATTAGGACATTCGGACATACCCTCTGGATCTATATACAGCACTTGTAATACTACTGCTTCTACAAAGTGCTTGGTGTCATCAACATGCATTGCTAAAGACATCTTAAATATAATATGCATGGCACAAAATAAGCACATCTACTCCTCTTGATCACTGAAAGCTGTTCAATGCACCATTTAAAGTGCTGGGGCTATGTTGAGTGCTATTTGGTGCGGTTGCGATTATCGTATGATCTTGGCTTCCCAATGACAGCTCATAACGAAGGAAAGCCCGAGCAGCTACACTGGCGACAACTTTGACCTCAACGAGCAGTTGAAGAAGGCACTGGATGAGCTGCACGCAACTGCACAGGCAAAAGAACAGATCACGCAACGTTGCCACGAGTTGGACATGCAGGTAAGCTGAAAGCAAGTTGCGTGCAAGGACTATTGGAAGTTCTCTCTGCAGTGGCTCATTCTGCCGCTAAGTGGTTTTAGAGGGCTTTGGCTCCTCGTAGCTGTGACTATTATCGGGGATAAACATAGAATACTTCAGTGATTGTATAGTTGTTATAGACATTAAAGAGAAGGTTTTTTTTTATGTTAGTAAATTACTTTTCAACACTTCCAGTATCACCACACCACTAGATGTTTGGTAAAAGAGAGAAAGTGCAAAAATAAAAAGCAGTTGATGACATCACCTTGAAATTGCAGTATTAAACATCATGACTTCAAATATTTTGATGGCATATGCTAGGTGATGTGATTTTCACGAAATTTCTTTATCTAGTGCCTTTAAAATGGGCAGCTTATACAGACCAGCTTCTGTCAACTTTTAAATCAGTTATGCGCAGAGGAAGTACCCTTTTTGTCTACATTGGCCGCCTTGCAACCTAATCCTGCCAGCCGAGTCACTCGGTATACGGAGACTAGTCATGTACGACGTACTAGCACTAACTATGGATTTGAAACGCTACATTACCGTCTTCCAAGTGTGATGAACAAATTGAAATTAACAGTTGATAATTGCATGTATTGCCTAAAACTCATATGTGAAATTGGATGTACTGATTATGTTGGTCATGAATGTTTGATAATTTCTGTTATAGTTACTTATACCCCTGTCACACGTGCACTTAAAAGTATTTTAAGTAAGCGGTCTTTTTCCCGAAAAGGAGTTCCTGATAGCAGACACACGGCACAGAGCGAACTCCTTTTCAGAAGCGGTCTTTTTCGTAAACGGCGTTCGTCGATCTCTTTTACGGCTCCGAATGAGTAGCCTCGAAACCAGTGGGCGCCAGCAATTTTCGAGTGGTGGGAAAAAAAGAGCTAATGCTTATTTTTCTGTCACCAAAACTCTTTGTAAAAACAAATTTCATATCCTGCAGAAGGTGTAATGAACTCTTTTAATGGTTATTTCCTTTTCTACTCTCGTAAGCAGCTACAACGCGTCGGCAATATCACGTGGTGACGCTCGATCTTGCGCTGCTTTATCCTCTCCTTGGCGGCTTTTGCAGCGTCTGCCTCGCGTTTCAGAGCGAGAAGGCAGGCCATGAGGCTTGCGATCCTCGCTTTTTCTCCCGTACGGTCGCCCATAACGTGTCGAGAGCAGTCGAGAGCAGCGAAAAACAAATACGGTAAATAAAAGCACAGTGGTGCCAGACGGACTTGTGCACGTCGCTAGTTATGGGAATGCTTCCTTATCTAGTGCAAAAAACACTCACATTGGTGTTTCTTCATCTCTTATTCTTAAATTTATTTGAAGAAACGAGCAGTGCAACAAGTCTTTAATTTGTACATCGTGATACATCGTTTAATTTTCATTGCTTCTCTTTTAACTGCTAGCGCCACGCCTTCGCTAGCGTCTTCGAACGAAAACACTTAAAGGAGATTGTTGCTGCCGTGTGTCTGCGCCGCAAACACCTCTTTGTTAAAAGTCTTTCAACTTCGTAAAAGACTGCTTACTTAAAAGACTTTTTGCGCGCCCGTGTGGCACAGGCATTAGTTTCATTCGTTAATACATTGATTTGTTATGAATAGTCTTGTTATGAACTGATTTATTAGAAATTTCAGAGATGTTGTTTTATTATTTGCTGCCATGGGCCACATGCACATTCTTTTTCTATTGTGGCTTTTCACTGCCTGTAATATTTTGTAATTCTGTAACTTATTTTTTTCTGGACGAAGGGGCCAGTCAAGCTGTGACATGCAACTTTTTTTCTTTGCACCAAACCGTCTATCAATGTGTTTTTCATCTACTTGTTGAGGGTTTTAGTGATCACAAACTCGACTTTACTCAGTCACTGCTGTGTTTGCACACAAGAAATAATGATTTCTCGTCGCAGTGTCAACATGTCCTAGCGTTAGCACAAGACCTTACTGGCCTGGCCTCTCCGTGTACACAGCTTAACTTTTGTACAGCTTGTTGCACAGGTTGCAGAAAGTAGCATGTAACTTGATTCTTATAAAAGAAGTTACGCCATTTCCCTCTAAAGGAAAACGTGTAGATGCGAAGTAGCGGGCACTAGTGCTCACACTGGAGGTCTGGCTGACTCTGGCACTCTTCGCGGCGTTGCACATGAGAGAAACCTGTGGAGGCGCAACGCACGCAGTGGTGGACCAGTGTTTCCTACTAGAACATGCCAGTCGTTGCTAATGGGCAATGCGAGACAGAAAACTCCGATTGGACTCGGAGACCCACTGTCCGCTTTTAGTCAATGTGCATGCTGCGAATTTTTCTCGTTCAACAATGCACAGGAGAAATCTCCCACCGGCACTATTTTGAAAGTCAGGATTCAGTGCCTATATATTCGGGGTGGCCAGTGAATGGTTTTGCAGTGTGAGCAGTTTTTTTTTTTTTTTTTTTTCAATCTGGAAGTTTGCTAGCAGACGCTGTCTGCGTTGGGGTTGTGAGGCGAGAGAGGGGGAGAATATGTATGCACAATGGGTGTTTAATCGCCGCGAGGAGGATTGCGTACCCTAGAGAGAGGAGGGGGGAGCGAGCTTAGGTTAGCACACACTTCCTGCGTCCGTGTTGTGAGGCGAAAGAGGGGTATCGTAGGAGAAGAGGGGGAGGGGGAGCATGCACAGTAAGGGTGGTCACGCCGCACGCCAAGTTGAGCTCGACCCTAACCTGCTTCGCATCTAAAAGTGTTTTCATAACGTTGAAATTTCTTGTTGTGCGTTACTTTACATTTGCCATGTGTAGTCTATGGCTGTGTGGTAACCTCACGAGGGCTCTTACCTGGACTGGTAACGTGTTCTTCAGGTTACGATGCTTCAAGACGAGAAGGTGAGCTTGATGCAGGAAAACGAGAAGCTGATGGAGAAACTGAACCACGTTGAAAACCTGGAGGACCCCAGGTTTGTTGAGCAGATTTTTCTTTCTACGTCTGCATCCCTCTGGATTTGTACACGTGAGAGCTTTTGGGCTAAGCTTTAAGGGAGGATGGAAGGTCTTTAAAACATTTTCTCTTGAATTATCCTGGTGTCATGAAAATTACCATGTGTGTGTATCACTGAATGGAGATTTCAATCCTGCTAGTAGATTTCAAATCTCATTTAGAAAAGAAGTAATGCCAAACTCCCACATCATAAATGGTTAGTTTCTCATTGGTCTTTATGTTGACTCACTATAAAAAAGTTTGTTTTCAAAACTACATGGTTCCTTTAAAAGGTCTATCTCAGAGGCTTAAGCAAACTAAATGTTAAAATGGCCATTTCTTTGATCAGAAATAATGATTAAATTGGGAAGGTAAAAGAGCTTCCACTAATTAGCTGGTATTTATCGCATAATTACAATTCTATCAAGGTTGAGAGAAAAAGAAAAGCTTTAGCCCGTAGTTCAAGTGCTGTGGAAAAGAATGATACCAAGTTTGTTTAAATATTTTCACAGAAACTTTTTCAGTACTTCCGTAAGGCAGATACACTTCACAAAAATAAGAATGCCAAGAAAATTGCGGTAAAAGTTTTAAAAACATTTGAAGTTTCTATCTATTAAGCTTTTAACAAAAAGAAATGGTATTCTAACATAATATAAGATTTTCCCAAAACATAATTTGGACTATAAATACCTGAAATTGCAATTTGCAAAAGTCAGCATTTTTTTACAATTTTGTGCTATATTAAGACACTCGTCCCAGCTTATTGTGACCGACAAAGCGACTTAGACTAGTGCCCTCATTTGTGTGTCATATTGTTAACGCTGTATGTGGCTCTCATCAGTACAGTTGTGACATACTTACCCGAAACACCGCTTTGACTTGAACTTGATTTATTTGCGCTTGCCACGGTGACTGAGGGCTTATGACGTTTAGTGGCCTTGTGCTGATAACGAGGTTGCGAGTTTCGGTTCGTGGTCATGGTGGCTGCATTTCAACGTTTAGAAGGCAAGAACACTTGTGTAATAGATGTAGTATACGTAGATGTGCGTTACAGATGCTCAGGCAGCTAAAGTTAGTGTGGGGTCCTTGACTATGGTGCCTCTCGTTCAGCCCAGTACACCTCCAAGACAATCAATCAATCAATCGATTAGCTACTTTCGTTACAGAGGCAGCACAGCGACACTGCAGCTTTATTAAAAAAAATTCACATAAGTGGGATTGCAAAAAGAAACGAAAGCATGGAAAGGAGCTCCATCTCCACCATTACATTTTGTCTTGCATTCTGTTTGACCTGAATCAAGTCAGCAAATGTTTCTCTTATATTTTGTATCAGTGCTTTGAGCTGATTTAATGAATCAACTAGTATGTAACAAATGCAAACACCTTCACTCGAAAACTGCTCTCGAAATTCGTTCTGTGCCCGGCCCATACTTTTGGTTCACGCTCGTGCATGACTTTTGTGGTCATCAACTGATAAGCATTTATCAGAGCAACGGCAGAAACTGCTGAAGACTCCATTGGTAATCAGCAGTAACAATGCACTTACTTAGTCCTCTGTTTTCCAACAATAAGTGTTATCTCGTGAGGTAGAAAAATGTACGCTTGCTTTTATTTCGGCGTTTTAAAGCTCCGTGAATGGAAGGCAGTTCATCGGTGCTTTCTCTCATGTCGTCTGAAACTTTCAGCACACCAGCGGGGAGACGCTATCAACAATCTCAACAACGGATAGACACACTACAGGCTGAAGTATTCAAACTGGAAACTGGTATGTGCACATCTGTCTACACGCCAGAATTATGCTGTTTTTAATTGCTAAACAGTGCAGGGCTAATGATATTTACCATCATGTTAGAGCTGTGTTATGTTAGTTCTAGTACATAATTTTTAATTGGTGTAGCTGCTTTGGGAACCATGTTGATTTTTTGTTTGTATTGATTGTGAAACAGCAAAAGATGAACTGCGAATCAAGGTGGAATTTCAAGAGAAGGAAATTCTGAATCTACAGGAAAAGGTGAGTTTTCTGTTTTTCTCACCTGTAGTGCCTAGAGTGGGCATTGAGCTTATTGTTTAATGAAGTCATAACATCTGGCTCGAGTTTACCTTAGGTTATGTAATTGAGGTATGTGCCGAGATTGTACACTAAAGTCAGACTAAATTTCTGGCTACCGTGCTGTCAAGTGCTGAGGAAAAGACAGCATTATTAAACAATGCAGAGATACGCTCAAGCCTATAACACCGAAAATTTCTCAATTATCACTTTGTTCATATCCAATTTCAAGGATATTTTACGGCTGCTGACTTCATTTATGTTTCTAATCTTGGGGCATAATGTTCACGTGTAAATGTGGTGCTTATACTCACGATTTAGGACAATGGACATAGTTTCCTTAATTTCACTCTAGCACTAAAATCGTCATGTTCACAATGTGAGGAAAAGTAGCTTGTCACCTCCTGATCCATTATTAAGACTTTTCAAGAACTCAATAAACCTGTATAACAAACTCGTGGCTTAAAACTACATTTTGTTTCTTGCAGTAACACGCGAGCATGGAGCAGATTAGCCATGTGCTGCATAGCAGGGGAGGCGGGGGAATTTCCGAATTTACATTTAAGGGAGCGCTGACACAAAAATTTGAGGGCGAGATAACTTGCGTGATAAGATTGTGTCTACACACGCACATTGTCTGCAAAATATCAACGGGTGATGTAGGCCAGGAAATATTTAAAATTATTTTAAAGGGCATGTTGTGCCACTGCTGACTTAACGCGCCTTTGGTTTTCGTGTAAACAACAGTACCAACCGACACTTGCGTCGCGAGTTAGTGTTGGCTGACAAGATCCTTACGAGCACTCTCTCCTAGTAGGCCTTAGCAATGGGAAAGGGGGGGCAGACTTGTAAGAGAGCACAAAGGCTGACATCATTGCCTGAGAAGGGCATTCTTGGAGTTCACGTATACTTCCAGCAGCTCAAAGGGGATCATAGGAGCACCCAGGGAGCCTTCGCTGAAAATAACTGTACCCGTGGTGCTCATGTGAACCTAGTTTTGTGGGCTGATATGGCCAGTTGTGTTTATGGGAAAACCATTCCGTATCCCACCTCACTTGCCGCTCTTTCAAACCAAAACTTCGACTGGGCACTGTACAACACACGGCTTTTTACCGTGATAAGTGGGTCGTTAGCTACTTATTGCAATAGAGACAAACAATGGGAATATTTTTTTGTGTCCTTACCCCTTTGATGCACGAAAATTTTTTGTTACCTGTTCTTATCTGGATTGGCTTCTCATCTCTTACCAGAATGAGGAGTTGCACAAAACGTTGAACGAAGCGCAGACATTGAAAGATGAGCTGGATGTTCTGAGGCATACATCGGACAAAGTGGTAAGGCTTCCCTGAAGTACTGTCGTTGCTTCGTCAATGCTTTCATGTTTTTTTGTGTGTGTGTGCATGTTATTGCATTATTGATGATGCACATTTTTCTTTTATCATTGCTTAGGAGCATTACGAAGCTGCAATTGAGACCTACAAAAAGAAATTGGGTAAGTAGATCTAATAATCTACAAAATTTATTGCACAATTCTATGCCAGTCTCTGCTTGTGAGATGAATTGGAGACTCAAACTTTTTTTTATAAAGAAGCTGTTCAAGCTCGTACTATCACTGCTTCGCGATTGCGGTTAAAAGAGGAGGAAACGCGTATAGGTATGCAGTGCATTGGTAAAAGAGGTGGAGAAGAGAACATGCATAGTAAAGTATAGCACACTCAAGCCTCACTATAACAAAGTTACATCTGGCAAGAAAATAAGATCTTTGTATAAAGAATTCGTTTTAAAAGTTATTCCTACCAGGTGTATCTATTGCATAAGTATTTTTCATTCACTTCGTTATAACCATTATTTCATTATATCCATGTTCGTTATGTTGAGGCTTGAGTCTAGAGTATAAGCAAGGAAGTGGCAAAGCCAAGTGAGGGTGAAGCATTGCATAGGCATGTATTGTATAGCAAGAGCAGGAAAGAGAAGCGACAGTGATGAGGAGAGAGGTGGATGAGAGGAGGAGGGAGACAGGGTGATGGCATAGCATGGCCTTGTATTGTGTGGTATAGCAGGGAGGTGGGAAAAGAAAGTTGGGGGAGGAGGAAGAGAGCAAAGCATAGCATACCCATGTATAGTGCTGCACGAGTGCCGCATAGCAAAGGGTGGGTAGTAGTGGCCGAATTTTACTCTAGAACTTCAATTACTTTCAAGAAAGTGTGTATATTGTGCGAGACCTACTTTCTACTCGTATAGTACTAGCGCTAAAAAATTTTTTATTGTGTGTTTACGTCTCCCAGTAACCACGATTACCGAAAAGAAAAGTACGATCAATGCACGTAGAGGAAGTGAGGGCGTTGTGTAAAAGAGTCCGAGTCGTCCCCTTGTGGCAAAGTTGAAAACAGGAAATTTTTTATTTTTTTTTCAGAGGACATGAGCGACCTCAAGAGGCAGCTCAAGTTATTGGAGGAGAAGAACACCTCGTACATGCAGACCAACATCGAACTAGAAGAGGTCGGTGTCCTTGTTTGGCTACTGAGCTCATCTCATATCATATGTTTGCCACGAACACTCTGTTCTTTCTCTTCTTTGTTCTTGTTTTATCTGTGCAAGATATGAGATGCCTTTTTCTTTGTTATTTATTTACTTATAATATAAGGACAGTCCTGAAGTATGCCTTGATCTGTTTTACACAGCCTATTCACGTATGGTACACTCATTAAACAGAGCCTGAGGGGACCGAGAAATATTATTGCAGGGAAGAAACTGTGTTCAGTTTAACAGTTCTGTTTGAGAAACTTGCTGTGCTGTGTAATTGAAGGGCTAAGACCAATCATATCAGAAGCAGTTGCTACCATCAGTTCTGTTTAAGAGACTTCTATTTGCAGAGTGTTTACTGTGTTGAATACGGGCCATAAAAATTTAGTTTATATAATTTGTATTTGTGTTGGATTAGTTGTTCAAATTTTATCATGTGCTGACTTTCTTTTAGTCTTTTAGCCTTTGTTTCAGGCTTGTAATGCACAGAATGACTATGCAGCAAGAGCACTTTGCACAAGGTTGCCTCTCACATTTCTGGGATTGTTTGTATCCCAATTATTTCTTACAAGTAAATTTTCAGTTAATCTTTCCCCTGTCTCTTCTACCTAATACACTCAAACTTCGATATAACGAAGCAGATATAACGCAACATTGGTTATAACTAAGTAAATAAAAAATCGTCTTGCAATAGATATAGTGTCAAAAACATACCTTTCTAATGAATTTTCGGATGTAATGAACTTGTTTTAATGTAAGATACAACCTTGTTGTAGTGAGATTTGAGTGTAGCTATATTTCCTTTATAAAACAAAAGACTGAGTTAGTTGGTAGGCATTCAGGTAGGGCATACTGTCTTTTATCAATTTCTTTCCTGTTCTTTTTTTTTTAATCGTCAGCTTAAAAATTGATCTGTGAGACAAAATAAAGGTAGACAACCTCTCTCGTATGGCCTCTTGACTCTCGCCAATGCATGTTTCGACGTGGGCTTGATTCATTTCGCAGGACGTGAAAAAGATGGCAGCGTTCAAGTCGCAGGCCGACCTGTACAAGAAGCAAACGCAGGAACTGCGGCTTCAGCTGGCCGACGAGACTCGCAAAGCCAACCGCGCCGAATTCGAGGCTAAGAAGCTGCACGAGAAGTTGGCTTCACTGCAAACCGAAAAGGAAGTATGTGTACTTCGTTTATTACATCTGGTGCAACGCTAAAGCCAGCAAGAGTTCTTGCAGTAGATGCATACAGTTTAAATTTTTTAAAAGACACTGCTCTTAAATTTTGAGTGATTCAAAAGCCGGTTCCTGCCTTAAACAATATGAACCTCTGTAACATCCATGTCTTCAAGTTCTTGTCCAAAATGAAGACACGCGAGGATGTTGCGTGCGTGTCTACCATGCCGTGACTGTAAGCATAAAATCTTACTTCGACTTGTGCTAGAGCAGCAGCCATAGTTGCGTGTCAGGGCTCGTGTATGGGTGTTAAGAAAAACACAGGTGACTGAGATTATTCCATGGTTCTGCCCTGCAGCATCCCTCACAAACGACTGCATACCTTTTGGAAGCCATACTTAGACGCAAATTTTTGTTTTAATAGATTTCTTGCTTCACTTCTCAGCAACTTGTTTTGTTTTAAAAAATTTCCTGTTTCACTTCTCTTCCCAGCGACTTGTTGCCGAACGAGACTCTTTGAAGGAAGGCTTGGAGGATCTGCGTTGTTCTCAACTCCAAAAAGGTGAGTTAACACTTATGCAATTTTTGAACTTGCGCGATCAAGCATCATTGTAGTGGGTAGAGTCATTGTGGCTAACAGCATGATTAACACGGGCGAAAGCGATAAGCGAACATGGCCCGGCACTCTGCCCTGTCCACTTCTTGTTTTTGTCCATGTGGATTCTGCTCTTAGCCATAATGAATCGGCTCCAACTTGCCTAGTATTCTATCCTAATTAGTGGGCAGAGTTTAAGTGACAAGCTGTCTAGACTAACATGAGTCTTTTTGCAGTGGCCCCATGTGAGAGAGAGAAAAAAAAAGAGGGAGGAGTCTGTTTAGGCATTCCAAGGTGGTGGCACCATCTCTCACTTCAGTAGTAACAGGTGCTTTTCGTCACAGGGGGGACAAACTTTGCGGACATTCCTGTTGTACCAAAGTGAACATTTTGAGAGTGCCATCACACCATGGTCGACAAGTACATTGAATTGCACAGAATGCCTTCAAACGTGGTATTAACTAAAGCAACTGCAAAATGCCATGTGTAAAATTATATGGAAAATCAGATGCTAGGTTAACTGTAACAGACCTTGATGTACCTTGCACTCCCCTTTATTTGACCCTTAGTTTGTCCGATTGTTTCGGACTTGAGACATGGCCATCTTTAAATTCCACAAGAACTGATAAACTGGAAAGATTTTACGGTGCAAAGCTGCTTACTTAGCCCAAGAAGGGGTAGATAAAAATTGCAGAAAAGTAAATTAGAAAGAAAAGGGTAAGCAAAAATTGTAAAGATAAGTGGCAAGCTCAAGTGAATGTTGCAGCTGGTAGGGAAGCCAGTGCTTGGTTAAACTTTAGCCTTAAAATATTTCCAAACTAGTTGGGCTATAGACACAGCTCAACTGCACTTACACTGCTTATTTAAGCTTTAGACTTACTAATAAAAGTACTGTAGCATTGATATTTGGCACAGGCCGGAACGCCAGCTGAAGAAGAGAAGGAAGAGTGTTGTTGCTGCTCGCGCTCGCTCCGCTTGACAGCTGGTCGGTTCTACCGCTACGTTTTCCACAAAGTAAACGTCTCTTCTGCTCACCACTAAAGGTGTACTATCAAGTCGTGGAGAGTGCTGGGTACCTTTTTCCATCCTGGAACTCCGCAACCGAACTCTACCTTCGCCATCAACAATGTCCATCGACGCTGCACAGCAGACGGCTCCTACATCTCCACCTGTCCACTGTCCCGGCGTCCCGAGAGAGCGAGATCCAGACATCTTCAACGGCACCGATGAGCAGGACGTCGAGGACTGGCTCTCTTCGTTCGAACGAGTAAGCGTCAACAACAGGTGGGACGAAAACGACAAACTGGGCCGCGTCCACTTTTACCTCAGAGGAGTAGCAGAGCTCTGGCTCAACAACCACGAAGCCGAGCTTACCGACTGGGCCACTTTCAAGACCACCTTCGCGGACGTGTTTGGCCGACCGACAGTGCGCAAGCTCCGTGCAGAACAGCGCTTGCGGGATCGCGCCCAACTGTCGGGAGAGGGTTTCACGTCCTACATTGAGGACGTCGTAGGCCTCTGCCGTCGCTTTGATCCTGACATGTCGGAAACCGCCAAGGTAAAACACATTATGAAGGGCATCGAGGACGATGCCTTCCACATGCTGGTGGCTAAAGACCCGCAAACAGTTTCGGAAGTCATCCAACACTGCCAAAGTTTCGATGAGTTGCGAAAACAGCGCATTTCAACGCGACGGCCTACTTTCGACATGACCAGCACGCCAGCATTGACCGTTGGTGCAATATCTCCAGAACAGACTGTATTGACCCCGCAAATCCAGCAATTTATCCGAGAGGAAGTGGCACGCCAGTTGTCCCTTGCCCCCTTGCTTCCCAGCAATACGCATGGGCTGACCTCGTCACTGCGCCAAACCATCGAAGAGCAAGTCTGCGAGGCACTTCCCCCCACGTACCAGCCACCACCTGTGTCCGCTCCCCTGACTTACGCTGACGTCGCGCGAAGGCAGGTACATGCGCCGTCAAACGTCGTCGACCCTGCCCACCAAGCGAACGCCTTCTACGCAACACACGTACCGGCAGGCTCGCATGTTCCCATTTACCGCCGTCCTTCAACGCTTCCCAACAACCCTTGGCGTACATCGGATAACAGACCTATCTGTTATTACTGTCGTCAGCCTGGCCATGTTGAGCGGTTCTGTCGCCGGCGCGTCCCTCACTCAGGCATTATTGATGGCACCTACGGCTACGCCCCCACAGAACCACCACAGACGCTGCCGTTCCATGCAGCTTCGGACACTTCTCCGCCGAGACGCCGCGCCTTCAACCCACGCCGATCGCCTTCCCCGCGCCGACGTTCGCCTTCACCAATGCTTCGGCGTGCACCACCTGCCCAAACGGAAAACTGACCATCGCAGTTCCGGAGGCAAGAACTGCGCCACCGTCGAACTCCACAAGGCCTCGTTCTCTACCGAATAATGAAATAACTGTCTTGATTGAAGGTATCCCCGTTCAAGCATTAATAGATACCGGAGCTGCCGTGTCTGTATTGAGTGAAGCATTGTGTCGCAAGTTAAGAAAAGTTACGATTCCGCTTTCTGGTCTCTCCCTTCGTACGGCAACAGCGCATCACGTGAACCCTTCTATGACGTGCACGGCTCGGTTAATCATCCAGGGCGTTCTGTACGTGGTTGAATTTATCGTGTTTCCGCACTGCTCACACGACGTCATATTAGGCTGGGACTTCCTTTCCACACATCATGCCGTTGTTGATTGTGCCCGGGCCGAACTAGAATTGTCATCGCTCTCCGACGACGATTATAATAAGCCTTCTATTTCTCGTGTTGTCGTCGCCGCGGAGACTGATATTCCACCTATGTCTTCTGTTATTGTGCCGATCTCGTGCGACCATGCCGCTTTTTCGGACGTCATGTTCACGCCGTCAGAAGACTTCACTTCTCGAAAAAACGTTCTTCTGCCTTTTGCTCTTCTGACGGTCGAAGCCACTTGCGCAAACATTTATGCCACGAATCTCCTTTCTGTACCAGTCACCCTATTCCGTGGCGAATGCATCGGCCGCCTTGAGGACATCGATTGTGTTTGCACCAGTCAACTGCCCTATCAAGCAAAAAGCCTTGAGATCGCCAGTGTTACTTCCGCTCTCACATCCGCCACCTCTTCCCTCGACGTCTTCCTTCCATCGATTGACCCTGACCTTCCTGTTGACCAACGAACTCAACTCTTGACACTTCTCGACCACTTCCGCTCATCGTTCGACTTCAAACAAACCAGTCTGGGCCGAACATCTGCAATTGTCCATCGTATTGACACTGGCACCCACGCACCATTGCGTCAGCGTCCATACCGGGTCTCCCACGCCGAACGCCAAATTATAGACGATCAAGTGTCTGATATGCTCAATCGTGGCGTTATACAGCCGTCTAACAGTCCGTGGGCCTCCCCGGTGGTACTGGTCAAAAAGAAGGACGGGGGCATCCGATTCTGTGTGGATTACAGGCGCCTTAACAAGATCACGCGCAAAGATGTTTATCCGCTCCCCAGAATTGACGACGCTCTCGACTGTTTGCAAGGTGCAGAATTCTTTTCTTCGCTGGATCTTCGATCGGGATACTGGCAGGTACCCATGGATGAAGCTGACCGCGCCAAGACTGCGTTTGTAACTCCGGACGGCTTGTACGAGTTTAACGTGATGCCGTTCGGCCTTTGTAACGCCCCAGCCACCTTCGAGCGTCTGATGGACAACATACTTCGAGGCCTTAAATGGCAGACGTGTCTTTGCTATTTGGACGACGTCGTCGTTTTTTCAAAAGACTTCGATACCCATCTTCTGCGCCTCGCAAGTGTCCTGCATTGCCTTACACATGCTGGGCTCCAACTAAATTTGAAAAAGTGCCATTTTGCCGCCCGGAAGCTCACCATCTTAGGGCATGTTGTCAGCAAGGACGGCGTTCTACCTGATCCTGGAAAACTCCGTGCTGTCGCCCAGTTTCCGAAGCCATCGACACTTAAGGAACTCCGGAGCTTTATCGGCTTATGTTCATACTTTCGCCGATTTGTCCGTAATTTTGCATCTGTCATGGCCCCTTTAACACGGCTACTTTCTGACACCGAGGGCATTTCGGCGTGGTCTTCCAATTGCGATAAGGCATTCGCGAAACTACGTCAATTGCTGACATCTCCACCGATTCTCCGTCACTTTGATCCTGATGCCCCTACAGAAATACACACCGACGCAAGTGGAGTCGGACTTGGCGCTATTCTTGCTCAACGCAAGTCTGGATACGACGAGTACGTCGTTTCTTATGCCAGTCGCACTCTTACTAGGGCTGAACAGAATTATTCAGTCACAGAAAAAGAATGTCTAGCCATCGTCTGGGCAATCACAAAATTTCGACCCTACGTCTATGGCCGTCCATTTGACGTCGTGACTGATCACCACGCCCTCTGCTGGTTATCGTCACTAAAAGACCCATCTGGCCGTCTCGCTCGTTGGGCGTTACGCCTCCAAGACTATGATATCCGTGTCGTCTACAGGTCAGGCCGCAAACATTCAGATGCCGACGCTCTCTCCCGCTCTCCACTTCCCCATGAACACGGAAGTACTTCTGTATCCAGCCTCGATGCTGTGGCACTTTCGTACGCGGACATGCCCTATGAACAGCGCCAAGACGCTTGGATAGCCTCTATGATACAGTTACTGTCTCAGCCGTCCCAAGTTACGCCCAATCGTTCACTGCAGCGCACAGCTCGACACTTTACCATCCGCGATGGACTCCTGTACCGTCGCAACTACCTTTCTGACGGCCGCAAGTGGTTGCTTGTGATTCCTCGCCACCTACGTGCCGACATTTGCGACTCTTTTCACGCGGATCCTCAATGCGGCCACGCCGGTGTGATAAAAACGTATGCACGTCTCCGGCTGCGGTACTATTGGCGCGGAATGTACCGCTTTGTCCGACAGTACGTGCGTTCGTGCTCCAAATGTCAACGCCGAAAAAGCCCACCACACATAGCCAATGGACAACTGCAGCCGTTGCCTTGCCCCTCCCGCCCTTTCGACCGCATCGGAATTGACTTGTACGGTCCCCTTCCCTATACGCCTAACGGGAACCGCTGGGTGATTGTCGCCATTGATCACTTGACACGCTATGCTGAAACTGCTGCGCTGCCAGAGGCCACATCACGTGAAGTTGGCTTATTTATCCTTCACAATCTCATTCTACGCCATGGCGCGCCTCGTGAGCTACTCAGTGACCGCGGCCGTACGTTCCTCTCCGAAGCGGTACAAGCCCTTCTTCGCGAATGCAACGTTGTGCATCGGACAACCAGCGCATACCATCCGCAAACGAATGGAATGACCGAACGGTTTAACCGCTCACTGGGCGACATGCTATCCATGTACGTGTCCGCTGATCACACCAACTGGGACCGCATACTGCCCTTTGTAACTTACGCTTACAACAGCGCCACTCAGTCTACGACAGGATTCTCTCCGTTCTTCCTCCTTTACGGCCGCGAACCTTCCTCATTCATGGACACCATTCTCTTGTATCATCCAGACGCTTCGGAATCCACAACTCTATCTGAAGTCGCCACCTATGCAGAAGAATGCAGGCAACTCGCGCGTTCCTTAACCGCCCAAGATCAAGCGTACCAGAAGAACCGTCACGACGAAAACCTGTCTTCGCAGTCATACTCGCCTGGCGCCTTGGTATGGCTTCGGGTTCCCTCATCTGTTCCTGGTCTTTCCACCAAGCTACTGCCGAAGTACGAAGGCCCCTACCGAGTCCTACGTCAGGCCTCACCGGTTAACTATATTGTTGAGCCGGTTCAACCATCAACAGACCGACGGCATCGAGGCCGCGAGACTGTTCACGTAGATCGATTGAAGCCGCACTACGACCCACCCGTCGTACCCGTTCCATAGGTCGCCAGGATGGCTCCTTTTCTGAGGGGGGAGTGATTTGTAGCATTGATATTTGGCACAGGCCGGAACGCCAGCTGAAGAAGAGAAGGAAGAGTGTTGTTGCTGCTCGCGCTCGCTCCGCTTGACAGCTGGTCGGTTCTACCGCTACGTTTTCCACAAAGTAAACGTCTCTTCTGCTCACCACTAAAGGTGTACTATCAGTACATTGTTTTAAACTGGAGTATTACCATAGGGCGAGTACCGATATTGGGACTTTCCATACACTGTTGTGATGTTTGTGTTTCCACCCAAAACTGACAGAAACGTACCTGTTGACCAGTATCTCTCCCTCAAAACTGACTGGGTTAAATGATTCTGTAAGAGATAAGGAAATATTTGTTGTTCTGTGCTATTATGCGTGTGCTATTTATCTATTTATATGGTGTGATGGTGGCAATTGGCTTCGTCTTTGGGGCACCATGTTCACTTTAGCCCAAACTTATGGTGAGTTCTGCGCGAGATATGGAGAAGGTTAGGAACTATTACTATTGTTTCTGCGCGAGTTGCAGTACCAGTTGCCGTGGTTAACCTGGGATCTGACTTCTTCCGCTTTTGCCACCCGCACAGAGAGCTCCCATGTGCAGAGTGGCGCCAAAGTCGTCGGAGCGATCTCGGACTCTGACATGCTCGAGACGGTTCCTCCCGAAATCAAGTGAGAAATACTTTTGCTCCAAGCTGCTTGCTTCAGCACACTGCAATATGGCAGTCTAGGAAAGCTGTAAATAGGGAAGTCATCGAGAGTATTAGGAGGAGCCTCAAAGCTACTTGTTAACTCGATACATGCACTAAGTTCAAGCAACCAATGACTCAAGAAAATGTTGAGTCGCCTCTCTCTATATGAACACTCGTAGTAGGCAAGTTTCAGCCTGTTCAACTAGAACCGCATGTCTGCTTGAAGCACAACAGGTGCCTCCACTTCTGTTCAAATATGTTCAAAAAGAAGTACACTTGCGAATTATGAAAAGGGAGTCCGTTCTGACTCCAAAAACAGAAACTCCCATTGACTATTTTGAAGCACATATGGTGCTCGTTCTCCAGTAGCCTACTCTGTGCGGCAAGTCGCCGTGATATGACGTACCGTAATTTGCAGGAATCTTTGCAGTGAAATATTGATGCTCGGTTCAGTTTACTGTTCAACTTTGCCACTTTTCGTCATCTGTGCTCGAAAATGCGTGCATGCATGATGTGCTTGTGGCAACCATTCTTGAAGTTGCATGCGCTATGGCGAAAATCTGAATACAACCTTGCATACTACCTTATGCACAGATGCTTGCTTTTCAGCTGTGCGGACTTTCGGATGTAAGTACTATGCAGTGTGCATGACCTCTCAGCAGGCTGTCAATGCAATTTTGCGGTGTAACTTGTTATTGTGGCTCATTGGCAGGTGCACTACTGGGGCTTGCATGGGCATCTTGGGGTTGTTTGTCTTTTGTCTTTTGTGGCTGCTCCCTCCTCTTTTTGCCGGCTGTTTCTAAGTCACCGTTGCTGTCACACTTTGTACGAGTGTCTTTTTTTCGTCATAGAGAGATGAATGAGCTCGTGCATGCGTGTCTCTATGGGCTGTCTTGCTTGTTGCATAAGCAACATATAGAAGGACCCTGAAATGGTTTTAATAATTGTGTACAATACTGCCGAGCCTAAGCATGGGCCTCTTGGATCAGTAAAGGTTTCTGGTTTGTCCGAACACTTTTCACCATTAGCGTGTTCCTGGAACACCAGGTGGAATCTGTGCATGTGTTCTACAAAACATAGACCTGTTTTCACTACAAGCAATCTACTCGTTGGATATGTCTTATGTTCTCAGCTTTATCTCGTCTATTGTACTCATGTCGGCGTGTTGCGACCATGCTGGTTGAACCTATTTACCGTAGCCGTAAACGTGTGGGGCCAGATAGTGGTGACATATAGCAGGGCCAAGATGAACCAGGCCAGCACAATTTCGTTATTGCAAAAATATGGTGCATTCTACTACTGTTTTGGCCTAAACTCTTTTCAGTTTCACAATTATTAATGACTTGCCTTATTAATATTTCTTTGCTCAAAAATACTCAACAAAAACAAACATGTCTGTAACGTTAGTTGCATGAAGCGTCACAAAGTGTTCGAGATCACTGTCCAGTAACCCAAGTATTCCATACAAACCTTTGCAGATACTGGAATACTGTACCTGCTAGAAACTTCTATTAAGATTTTGCCACAGCAGTGATTGAGTCTTATCTCAATTAAATACATTTTAAATGCTGTTATCAACATCAATAATTTGTTTATGAAAGTGCAAAAGTATATGTTTATGTAACCGTTTACCTATGGGAAGATAAAGCTCCACTAGAACATGTGTTCCAGTAGCAAATGCAATCGGCTAACACAGTAGCATTGAAAAGTATACTGACAAGATAAACATCTCTATGTATTAACAGGCCACTCTAAGTGCTGTGCATTAAGTTGGTAATTTATTACAAGGCTTCAAACATGTGCATTGGTATAGGTGGCAGTGGCACTGCCCCGCCGAGTTTTCAGCTGCCTGTCTTTTGGGACGTCACTTGCATATCCAATCTGATCGGCTTCTTGAGGCTTGTAATGGAGCGCAAAACAAGAGGGGCTGAATTTTCGGCAGTGCTTGGTGGAGCTGAGATCGGCCATACAAACACGGGTTGCCATACAAACACACGTTGCAACCTTTGCGGTTTACGATGGGGTCGCAGAGGATCGTAAAATGTCAAGCTTAGCAATGATTGGTCGATGAAGAAGTTGAGGAGAGAAAGACGACTAGGAAGTGGGGTAACCCTGAATCACTGTAGCTGCTTGACGCAGTGGGCTTTGCTTACGTAACGGTACAAATGACTTATGCTCATTGTACCTTAGCCCAGGCCCGTGGCCAGAAAGGGTGCCCTAGGAACCCCCCCCTAATTAGTATAGAAGGGGTGTTTTGCCAAGGACAAATAATAAAAATGGGTGTTTTTCAAGGCCATTCCCCCTATGGGCCTGCTCTAACCACTCGCTACATAGCATCACAGTACCGTTTCAGAGATACTTTAAGAATGCTACATTGGCATGATTGAAACAACTGTCTGTATGCTTGCCTTGGTATTGCCTGATTTTCATACCTACAATAAGAAAAACATAAAAACATTGATTCTTAGTGTGCAGAAATACCAATATTTTATGAGAACACATGATATTCATAATAAAACAAATAATGAAAGAAATACTGGAAATTACGAGAACACATGATATTCATAATAAAACAAATAATGAAAGAAATACCGGAAATACCATGTATTCCAGACTGAATATCACAAACATAATATTCAGTTTGGCATACATGGTATTTTCAGCATTTCTTGAACTTTATGACGATCATACAGTAAATGTTGCTCTGCAGTCTTTATTCAAAATAATGTTTGGCTGTGTTGTACTTGCTAATTTTAGCTTACCTTGTGTCCTCCTCTACAAGGGTATTCGGAGCATAAGTTCAAGTTCACAATGTTGGGGGAAAGAACACAAATTTGTACCTGATAATATATATATTCATAAATTTAGAAAATATTAATAATTAGTGTATACTTTTTCATATGGTAATAATTCCAACCTGGCTGAGTAGGTAACTTGTAATGAAGTCGTTTTGGTTGTTGTTGTTTTTTTCGCCATGGCTTCAGTAGTCTGTGAATTTTCGTGGTTGATTGTACACTTGCCCTTTTTGTGTGCGCTTGTTCGTACGAAACAAGATTGCGTTTTGCATGGTTTTAGGGAGAAACTCATCAGGCTTCAGCATGAGAACAAGATGCTGAAGCTGGAACGGAGCTCGAGCGAAGGCCAGCAGGTGACCTTGCTCAAGACCATGCTCGAGGATGCGCAGTCACGCCAGAATGACCTGGAGACTGAAGTCAGGTGCGCACTTTGCAGTGATCTCTGTTTTTGCTTTTTTTTCGGCGGTGCCTTTTACCGGATTAAAGTTTCCGCTGTTTAAATGTGCTTATGTGTGCACAGATTTTATGCACTGAGATGTCATTGTCAAGTTGTGGGAACTGCTACAAACTGGCTTCTTGGTAAACGTTCAATGAGGCAAGAAAGGTGCCAGCCTGTAGCGATAACAAGGGTAAAACGAGACATCTTAGGATGGAGACAATGTTGTAGACCAAGCGCAGCTCTTATGCACCTGTTCCTGCATTGAAAAGTGTCGGGAGTTGCCGGTGCAGGGAACGAGGGCGAAAGAGAGTGAATGCAGAGTGCAGCAGAAGATGAAAGATGGCAATTTGCGAGGAAAGCAACGAGGTGGAGGGAATGACAGTGGTGAGACGACACGTTCCAAGGAGGCCGCTCTGTGACAGCCACAGTAGCGCGCTGCGTTGTGCGTCGGCTTTTGTGGTGCACGCCTGACGGACAGATATCAAGGTCTTTCGATTAGTAGGGCAGTAGCGTTACTCTGTGGAAGTGTCACTTTCTTGGTTTGAAGAAAATTTGAATAGGGGCAAGGGTTTGAAGAAGTAGTAAGGCCCTAATGAGAAGTGGTAAAATAAGTTTTAAACTTTGTTGTACTTAGCTCATATAAGGCCTCTTAATGTCCTTTTAACTGTAAGGCAACGTCAAGAAAATATATTTATAGAAGGGCAGGTACGTATAGTGTGTACGTTTTAACTTTAAAGTGTGGCTTTGCAGCAGTGCGAATATTTTTAAAAAGGTGGTTTTTCAGTAGAGCAGATCAATGCTTCAGTGAAACCACCTGCTTAGGAGGTTACATGCGGTCAAATATACTATTCGTTCATGCTGAATAATTTGAGTCGAATTATTCGAAACACGGCATTCAAATTCATGTTGAAGTGAATCTGCATGCTGGAATCTCATTTGAATATTTGAAGTGCCTCAATATTCGCCCATTTTTATAGTGTAATCAGACTCTGCGAGTGAACTCTTTTTGCCATTTGTTGATGTCCGCTGGGTGTGCCGTGCAGACTGCTCAGCCAGCGCAACTTGGAGCTGGAGAGCCAGCTGGAGGATAGCCGCGAAGCGGCGTCAGCACACGAGGGGGCCGAGGCGCGACAGCAGCTAGCCCTTGCGCAGAGACGCTGCAAGGAGCTCGAGGGCCAGCTACGCGAGCGTGAGGCCAGTCTTGAGGCCATGGCGACACGCCTAGCCGAGTCCTGTGAGTATGCCCCCCTTCCACAGCTGTTAGAAGTCCTGTGCAGGCTTATTGAAGCTGGGAATTTTATAAAAATATAAGCTGGGGGGGGGGGGGGGGGCAGTGAAGAGATGATAGAACACACATTTTGTTTTTGTGACTTTTATTTCTGCAACAGTTGCTTTTTTTTTTCCAACCATGGTAAGTCAACTTTTCGCAGTGGTTTCACCCAGTTGTTCTTTAAATTTTTGCTGATTTTTGGAAATGTTCGACAGTAGAGTGAAGTGTTCATCAGGGCTCGGGTTCCGAATAGAAGAAGCACATAGGGTCCCTGGAGTGATCAACTTATCAGTTTTAAGGACAAGAACGTTTCTTTCCACAGGCGAGAACCAGTCCGAGTTGACAGAGCAGCTTGAGAAGAAAGCGGAAGAGACGAGGCTCATGGAGGAGCGATACCAAAAGTACCTCGAAAAGGCCAAGAATGTACGTAGTGAACTCATGACTATCATGTACTATCATTATGATAGTTGTGGAGTTGTATGTGCAATGTGATAGATTCAACACAACCTATATGGTGAAGACAAATACACTGTGCTGTGTTCATCGCTGTCATTAGGTACGTTGCTGTGCTGAAGTTAATGTGTTGTAGAGGTGGAAATATATGCGCTCCTCTTTATTAACACGATAACGTTAACACAGTTGTGTTGCGGTATTTTGTAGTTGGCACATGAGAGAAAAATTCCGATTGGTACAATGAATAGAAGCAGGTCAAAGCATGCTTGGGTTGATGCCGTGCTTCTCCAGGTAGCTCTTGTGAACAAATTGAAGTAACTGAGATGAAAATAAAACATCGATTAGGATGCGAATCTCACCCAGGCCTTCTTGTTGCGAGGTGAGTACACTACCCAGACAGCCACAACAGCTCGGTGACTGGAGCCGAGTGAGGAGGGAGTTAGCGGACGAGCGTGTTCCGCAGCGCTTCGTGACCTTCAGGCTTGCCCTTGCATCATGTTACTTCAAGTGGGCTTCACGAGCAGCAGTGGAGACTGCGTACGCATGCATTTCGATCAGATGGTGTCGCCCTCCTGTGATTTTGTTGTGAGGAGCCTGTGTTGCAGAAAACACCATTGCGTGGCGCTTTCGTTGGTGTAGTTTAAGAAGCCTCCAGTATTTTTTTTTTAATCTGATGGGGGTATGGGCATTACTTTGGCTTTTGATGTGTTTGCTTTTAATGCATGTAGTGGACCAAAGAAACTATTATGACTACACCACGATAAAAAAGAAGTTCTTGTTTTGATTTCTATTGCATAGTTCACTCAGCCATAGGTCTCAAGGCTATATATGTGCTTCAGTATGACTTGGGAACTTCGTCTTAATAGGGCACTGTGTTACGTTAGCATCTCTAATTTCCTTTTCAACAATTTATTATCACTTCAAACCTCCCATTTTCCTCTGAACTTGTCTTGTCTGGACCTTAAGGGTCATTGTGGCTCGACTGAGCGATTAAGCTGCGTGGATTTTGCGTTTGTTCACAGGTGATTCGCACGCTGGACACGCGGTCGCCGTCAAGTGCCGAGGTGGTCACCTTGCGTAACCAGCTTCAGGACAAGGCCAAGCACATCAGCCAGTTGCAGCAGGAGCTGGAGATGTTCAAGGCCCAGTGGGAAAAGGAGGAACGCCTGATCAGCACTGCCTTCTACAACTTTGTGAGTCACTGGCACTTTAAGCGCTGCCAACGTTTGTGCACTGTAACAAGTGTTAGGTAATTGGTGTGCCGTGTAACATGTGTAACATGCCGTATAACATGTAACATGCGGTATTGTGGGGTCTCGAAATGGCGAGCGAGCGCCACGCTCTTGGAGTGAACCGACATAGTAGACGCGGTCGGTACAAACCAAACAACAACACGTATTTATGTAACTAATCTAGAACGACGATATCGTCTGCCAAATCGATACATCAATCGTTATCAACACGCTAGGACATCCTTACAGAATTACGATATTACGATACATTCTATGACAAACACAATAACATGACAAACGCACAATAACATCACAAACACAATAACACAGCCGAGGCGGCGTCGCCAACGCTTGACTTACCACGAGAGCCCCCCACGCGCAGCCCGCGGTGCCACGCACCAAGGACCCACGCTAGAGACAGCCGTTCGCGGCAACCGCCATGCGCAAAAGAGACTTGCTCAGCTCTCGCCCGTCACCAAGGCTTGCCTTCCGCCAGGGGCACCGCCGGCGCTACATTATGATGATGATGATAGTGGTGATCAATGCGAACACAACGCCATCTACCGCCCGGTGTTTGTAACCCGAAATGCGGCTTTTGAGCGAGACACGTGCGCCACGCGGCGCAAACAACTTTACAGGGGTGTGTCAGCACCCCCACAGTATTTAAAATACAGTAGTCTTTCGTTAAACAAACCTCATTATACCAATTGCAAGAATGAAATGAATCTTGTCAGAAGCACACGCTCAATTTAAACAGCAGTTCCGTATTGTTTATTACATCTATATGGTTTTACATTTTGTAAGCCTCTGATAGGCATACTACGTTTTGCTTTACATTTTGTTAGCCTCTGATAGGCATACTACATTTTGCTGATGTATCTGCTGTATTTTGTTTTGTTTGTATTTATAGTCAGTGTTGTACATAATGAAGGTCAGGCACAACTGTCATGTCAAGCACAACTTCATTACAACCTACTACTTTAGCTGTATTATTTTCCAGCATTTAAGTTAGCGGTCGATTGCACTTGGATCAATATTTTTCACTTCAGTACAATCAGTGTAGATGTGCAGAATCCAACAAGTTCTGAACATCTCAGTGAATGAGAGAAGTTTGTTCTATAATTCCTTATTGATGTTGATTGTGCCCTGCAGTTTGTTCATTAAAGGGTCATTACATAGTCTATATGCATTAATGTGTATGGAGGTATTTTCCTGTCATGAATAAAAACCTTGTCTTGTTTTTGTATTTTTGATCTAATCATCAGCTGGAAAGTAATATCTACCTTTATATATCGTTGGCTTACTAGGGTCATCGGGAAAGTCCTCTAAAACCAAAACCATGGAGCGTAAGTTGCAAACTGCTAAAGTGGCAGCAGTGATTTATAGCAGATAAGCTTGCTGGCAAAGGTGTGAATGAAGCGTTGGGATTGAACGCAATTACATCGTGAAAACAACTTCTGGATTTTATTCTCCTTATTTTCTTTAGTAATGATTTAAAATGTGATCAAAAAAACGCGGTAAGCATTATTAGAAGCTGCCATTTCTATGTTAAAGCGTTATTATGAACTGCCATTTTCGTTTGTAGTATTACGGCTAGCAGGAAATTATATTTTTTTTCTTCTGTAAAGATAGTGTTTTCTATTTATGCACTGTGCCTTAGTGTCAGAAAGGTGGGTGTTCTTGTCGAAGTTGGGGTTAGGTGTATAAGTGGTAACCAGTATAGTCAAATCTACTATCTGACTACGGCAATTTCGAGCATTGAAATAACGCAAGTTTTGGCTCATAGAAATCTTTAAAAGTTAATCAGAATCACTGGCTGGAACTCAAATTTGTCAAAAAGTTGGGGCTGGCATCTGCAGCATTAGATTCAACTAAGGAGCTGCCGGTTCTCATTCCGCCTGAGTAATTTTAGCATAGCGACATCATGCTATAGTTGTAAATATTATAGAATAGCGGTCATTAAAGTTATTTCAATCAATCAATAGCAGCACTCAATTGTTCTAGTCCTAATGATCATTGCACATGTCATTGTTTTTGCTAGAGCTGGCAACAATCGCACAATTACATGCCGATGCGCGATCGCAAGGTCTGGAGCGTAAGTATTTGCAAGAAGTGCCTTAATGGCTCTTCACAACGTGTTGGATTACAATGTTTAATGACAACGAGTGAGCCGTATCGCCAGGGTTTTGACAGAAAACTTGTACACCTTGTCGTCGAAAGGTCCCTCCATGGGCACTGTCATAAGCCCCCTCTGGGCTGTTATTAACGTGCGTAATCCCACGAAAAGGCTGGGCCAAAGCTGTGACGTTGGCTTTTGTGCTCTTGAACAACTGCCCAAAAAGAAGGGAATCCTCCTCTTCGGTAAAAAGGTCTATATGTCCTCGTGAAGTCATAGTACTGTTGCAACAAAAGACATAATTGACCTTTCAGTGCCCATACAGGAATGTGACAGATATAGGACAAAGGGAATTTGTTATTTCTTGGTCACTCTCAAGATTTGTAATTGCTCTGCTGAGATATAATATCATGGGGAATTTCGCAATATTTTTATAGTGCTTCTAGTAGAGAGACATCTTTCAAGAGTTCGTGGCTGTAAGTTGTTTGGGAGTTGGAGATACTATATACCGAAGAATTTTTTGGGACATGTCAGATGCACTTAATGACTGCTGGTCGCATACTGCAGTTATCAGAAAGATATTTTCAAAAATGAACAGTGTTTGTTCTTAAGATGGCTCATTCATAATTGCCTCCCAGTTGCATTACAGTTAAAGCTCGTTAATTTGAATTTCACAAGACTGAGAGAAATGTCCAAAATAATCAAATGCAAAATTATACAAAGTATCACTGAATCAATTAGCGAGTGGCTATTACATCAATGCATTTTCATTTTCTTGATGAATGTATTAATCCAGGATATACAAGCTCCAGTTTTACCGCAGCTCAAGACACCTGTAGCCGTTACCGAAACGTGCTCCGAACCTACCCCTTCTTATGCACTGCCAGCATTAACACCATCATGCACATGCGACAACAATAAATTTTTTACCGTAAAAGTGGCCGGCAACTGATCGTTTGTCTATCACAATATACAGGCCGTAGCTGGAGCTCTCCATCTATAGCCACTTTCATTATGTTTGAGTTATTGTGCTCGCATTGGCCTAAGTCAGAACGGTGTAATTGGAGGATGTCATCGCTGTAAACGAAATCTTGGTTGCTGATGACATGATCATTGTGTTAATGCAATTCTGAAGGCACATTTGCGGCCTGCATCTCGAGTCAAAAAGAAACTGCTGAGCACTGCATCTGCTGCTCAATAAACCCGACTCGCTAATGCACAATCTATAGATGGCGACCACAGTAAGGAAACTGCTGCTTATCACAACCTGGACCCCAGACAGTGCCCACGCAGTTAGCGTGCGCCAAGAAAACTTGAATACAAAACAACTTTCCCACGGCCTCTGAAGCCTTGGTCACCCATGACGTGATCGCGTTAAGTTTGTGGATGGCGTCAACGGCTTTCTAAAGGGCTGTGGCCGTTTCGATTGTTTGCAAGCGCCGTTATTGCTCCTTTGCATTCCACATTGACGGTGCCCTTTCACTTGGTGTGCTCTAAGAATTGTCGAAATTAACCGAGGCTAAATAGGACCAATTTAATGAAAGTCTGATGTCATTAAACAATGAATATGCCTGCCAGTACCAGAGAACACGTTTAAATAACATATTTGCTGAATTAACAAGCTATTACTGTATGAAGAATGCCACCATTGCATAAAATACTTTTTCGTTGTGTTGAAGCCTGCATTGTGTTTGACCTGTTCCAGGCAGTGCTATATTGCGAGAACATCACCCACATTCCTATTTCCATCTTAAGTGCTCAAGCAATGCTATCTTTGTGCAATTATTGCTTCTTTTTTTTTTCAATATTTCATGACTGGCTCTTGGTATTGCAGGGAGCAAAGTCGCAGCAGAGGTCGGCTGAGGAGCGCATCGTCCAGTTGACCGGCGGCCAGTCTTTCCTGGCGAGGCAACGTCAGGCCACATCGAAGCGGCATAACGTGCCCGGCGTTCAGACGAGGTGAGCCTATTTTCAACTCCGCCAAAAATGAGCCGGTTGAATTAGCCTTTTGTCTTTGTGCTTGTGCCTGCATTGCATCCAGTTTTATGGCTCCTTAAAAGGTCCCTATGCAAACTCTGGAGGTATGAAAAATGGCAACGTTGTTCTCTCCTAGTGTTTCCCATCTTTTTCGGTACAATTTGTGACAACAGCGGTCTGTTTATGTGATTACGGTATTACCGGAATTACTAAAATACCGTATTGGTAATTCACAAAGGTTATAGATCAAGGTAGTCAAGGTTCGGGCTATGGAGTCTGTGGTTCCCTGCAGCTTAGTTGCGTAGCCAGAAATTTCAGATGTTTATCTATTGCTTGCTTTCCTTTTTCATTTACCGAAAATGCTGTAGGCCCGTGTGCTCCGGTTTAGGTGCACAATTATGGTGGTCGAAATTCCCGGAGCCCTCCACTACGGCGTCTCTCATTTTCAAACATTAAACCCTACATATCAAACGTAGTCAATCAACCTTTTCCAATTACTGTGCTAATTTGAACAAGTGAATAAAAAAACCTATAGTACTGTCTTTCCAACAAACCAGTTCACCTTCTTCAATGTGAGCAGCATGGTGCACATAGCTTAAATTGTTAAAATAAAAAATTGTCTGAATGTTTTAATTCAAATATGCAGCTACAGTAACGAAGACTTGTTTATTTCGTGATTTGCATTTTTCTGCTTATTCCAGTGGCACATTTTATTAACGAGCTGTAATTGTTATGGAATTTTGCTTGGAACAAATGACTGGGAAGGAGCAATGATTGGCGGCATCGAAAGCCAACAAAAATGTTTTCTGTGTAATCAAAAATAGCCTCAATACTTCTAGACCCGACAAAAAAAAAAAAAAAAAAAAAAAAAAAAAAGAAGAAGAAGAAGAAGAAGAAGAAGAAGAAGAAAACAGCGTACTTGGATCAATAGTTTCATTTACTGAAAGCAAAATGTGCCAGGTTGCAGTACTCAAATACAAAACCAACTGGATTAGTGTCAGTTGATTCGTTTAAGTGGCAATTTCATGTAAGGGGCTTTTTTTTGCATTTGCTTGAACATTGCATTGAAAGTGACTTGTTTTATCAAGTATTATCACTTGCATGTGTGCGGTCAGCATGCCATGCTAGTTTTGCATAAACTTGTGCTGCCGACATGCTTGTTATGTATTCGTGCCATGGCCCTGCATGACTGCTAGTGCATGACGACTTGCACTTTTGTTCCATAAACCATTATACTAATTTTTTTAACCCAGCAGCGTTCATTCCTACCTCGTGCATAAGATATGTGTGGCAAACTATCCGCTTCATTAAGTGTGCCCAATAAATACATGACCGGGTGTCCTTTTTTCATATGCCCTGTATGCTTGAGGTTGTTTACCAGTTCTGAACTAATATTTCATTCTTTGATTTTGATATATTATAAAGATATACAAAGCTATGAAAAAATAGTTGTAGAGTAACTTAAAATAACCTTACTGGAATGCCGGCAATGTTGTGATAGAACAAGTAGGTCTGTTTTGTTAATTGCACCCCCTTTTGATGTACTACTCTTTAATGTCATACAACTTGTGTAGTTGCCGCATTTAAAAATAAAAAAAAAAGATGTGCATGTTTTGTGCATTACAGTAGGCTTTCTGGCTGTCATATTTAGCTGCGCACATTTAATTTCTGCATCCCGACCACACCGCTTTTTTGTTTTTCTGTGCTTGCAGTGAATTCTTTGAGTAAGAATTCCATGATCCCGTGTGTCTCTTCGACGTAACTGGAGAGACAAAGAGAAAAAAAAAAGCATGACGAGGGGTGTCCGTGCTTGGCAGACCGCAGCGACCGCAAGTGCTTGGTTCCATCACGTGCCCTGTGCTCAGCATGAAGCCCTGGAGCTCGATCGCCACATACCTGCATCATCTTGTAGCTTTTAGTCTCCTACCATCTCTCTTTGTGTTCTCGCTACACCGTTTTTCTTTTCTGTATCATCGTTGCTTCTCTGTACATGGTGTGCTTGCTTGTACCAACATTCCAATGTTTTTGCATAATGACCGGTGCCTGTAGTTAGTGACAACCAAATAGCACAGTGGTGATACACAGCTGTCTAAGTGTAATTTGGGTAGGTGCGTTACCTTACCACTCAGTTGTAACCTGCACTTGTTTTTAGAGCATGAAAGCAAACCTCCAGCGGGGGCTGTCTATATACCAAGTCCCAATTCATAATGTCGATTTTTTTTTCGTGCTGTGGCCGTTGGAAAATTGTCATTATTGGAAGCCTAGCCTCGGATAGAGGCAAGGAGCGGCTGCTGGTTTGTAGTGTTTCAATGGTAACAAATTTATTCATTTCCCTAGCGGGAGAAAATCGTCACATTTGTACTTGTAACCAGAATGTGGCGAGGCGCTAAAATTGAAGGTAGCAGTGTATGCGACAATCAAGGGTGCTGCATATTTCATTTTCTGGCCACAAAGAACGAGCGTACGTTGCAAGTTTGTAAATACGGTATGTGAGCTCACTTAGTTCAAGGCATAGCAGAGGTGGCTTTTAAGTGTTGGCAGCTTTCGAAAGATGTCTTGTGAGTGCAGACCCAAGGTGGATAGCTGCAACATGGTTTTATGGATGAAGCTCATTCTTAATGCTTTGTTTATCACTGCGGTATGACTTGTTTTGGAATGTTTTACTGTTTTAGAACTCTTGCTAACCTTGTTTACAATAGACATATGCCAGCAGTGTGCCTGTTCTCACCTATGCGTCCTGCACACTACACTAAGGTTGTTTCTGGCAGCATTTTTGAAAGTGGTTGATATGTATTATAGTAGTATATGTTTGCTTCTTTAGAATGTATGCCCACACTAATGCACCAACAGCTGTTGTATGTCGATTTGAAAGGACGCTAATGAGCGCTAATTATGTTCATCTACAAATCGTAACATTAAATCACTGCTAATGTGCGAACCACATCATTTTGTAAAAGTGGCCTATGCCATCTTGTGCTTATATTGGTATTATGACTGTGGCCACCTGTATGAAATTTGCAGAGCATGTAACTATTAGATTTATAAAAAGAGAAGCTTTTTCATGTGAACCATGCACCGTAGCAGAGCCGTGTTAAGAGCATCACAGGTTGTAAGCATTTTTGTGCGAGCTGCACCTAATCTTTTTCTGCTGGAAGTACACGCTTCCATGGTGAATGCCCATAACATGTTTCAACCTGTCCACCCACTAAGGGCTTTAAAGAACCCCCAGACAAATCCCGAACATTTATTTTTACTACTTAGAGTAAATAGTGGATTGTGTTAGGAATAGAGGCAGAGACAGCGTTACAAAATTAGAAGAAAGCGTTAACATGACAGTTGTAGTTGCCACACTATCTAAGCGGCATTTAAACAAGTACCTACCCGGTGAGGCGAGCCAGGCAGAGCTGAACAATGAAAAGCAAGAACGAGTTGCAGCCATGTTGTCATTAATCAAACTTCTCGTAATCTGTCATTGTGGTATCATTTAAAAAAAATTCTTTTGGCTTCGCGTTTGTTGTGGACTTTTACCCAGACTATATATCAAATTCTTGACTTTAATGGTGGTTCGAGGGCCCTTCAAAGTATTTTTTATTAGAGAAAAATTGCTCACTTCCAAATGATATCACTCTTCAATGCTAGAATCTCCTGCATTCTCTACGAAGCATTTCAGGTGCTGTTTTGTAGCTGTGTGGTGATGGATCGTTCAGCATTAGGAAAACAAGGCAAGCCCCACCTTGCAGCCAACATTTTGGCAAAAATGTTCTCTCGTTCTCACCTTGTTTGCCCACTCCCAAGTTTTCACATCGTTGCGACTACTTTGCTAGCTCGTACAAATCTTTACGACATCTCTGGCAAAGTAACCATCTTTTGCGAGGCTTAGCTGTTTGAATGCAATTGGTTCTTGCTATGCTAGCTCACCAATTGCATTCGGTGCTGCAGTGGCTGTGAGCCCTACTCGAACAGAGAACCAAAATTACGGCGTCTGCAATCATTGTTTGCATGGCGGTGCTGGTTGAATGGGAAAACTATTAGTGGTGGCCATTAGGTGAACGCCCTGCTTTCATAAGAATATGCAGCCATTCAGATGGCATGTTTTTCTTATACACATTTGTGTGGGCACTTTCTGCACTTGCAAGACAGCATATGGCATCCAATTCGAGGTGGTACTTTTGTCCGCTACCCACAGAAGTAATCTCTTAGGTTATCCAAGGAGCTGTTAAGGGTATTATTAGTCTATGCTAAAAACTGCACGCTTTTACGTACACAATATTTTGGCATTTTGGGAAATGTTTACGATATTTTAGCAAGCACTGCCATTGTTTTTGTACTTTGATATGCAGTGTTTCATCTACCAAAGTGCAATTAAATGAATGACATGTCAAGGCAGTTTAATGATTTTTATCCATGTCGAGCTTCAGTTTACCTGTAATTTACGATTCACAAGGTCCTTTTATTGCTTTGCATCCGGTTTTATACTCTAGGAAATAACCTAGGCTTTGCCGATGGTGAAAAAGTGTTTTTTCATATATGTACATATTAAGTATTTATGCCGTGTTCGAACTTTTAGCTTCATTTGGTAGGGTGATTTGCCCGGTTATTGTGTGATATTTATAGAAAAATAAAGCTGTCAAAAACCTACTGGTGTTGTATGTCATGCTTGACCGCTTACGTGTGCATTTATTTGTAGAGTTATCATTGAAATTTTTTTTGTCTTTTTTCAGGACTCGGACTCAGCACTGAAGTTTGTCGTCGGTGTGTTTTCCTCGAAGTTGTTCATATTAGCTTTTCCGACAAGCTCTAGTCACGTTCAAAAAGTACAAACAAGTTAACATGAAGATGTCTATTGCCGTTCCGTTGGCGTCTCGACAAAAAAATGTCTGAGCCACTTGGTGTGCCATGAAAATTTTAGGTTGGAGCTTTTTATTTGCATTTCATTCGTTTCATAGCAAAATCAAACTTCACTTAATTGAATGTGTAAGCATTTTTCATGTATATACACACACACACATTCAGCTTGTCACTTGCGCACAAAGGATAGACGCAGAGGCTTACTTCCTTTATTTTAGGTCATCTTTGTACTTCTCGCACCGTTCTGCGAATTGTCATGTCAGAGCACAAAGTTAAAAGCGATTCGAGTTTGCTCACAGCAACCTGGTAGACCCACATGTTGAAGCAAGTTTTCAGCTGAAAAAACTCAATGCTGGTGAAAGGTTCTATCCTTCAGTTGAAAAACCTTACGAAAGAGTTTCTATCAAAGACACCAGACTAATGTGAAAGTTTTGGTAATACTGAAAAATGATCTCTGGTTAGTCACAGTAAATTGTGACCTATGATGCAAAAGGGTGTTGTTTTGCTGGCAAACACCGCGATATGCTCTCAAAACGTGTCGCAATGTTGAGGGTAGAGAGGATTGACAACTTTTACTACAAAGGGTTAGTCAATTTAAATCTAGACTTAAGTACATGGCTGTTCTTTGCCTTTTCACTCCATTGTCAGTATTTGAACATGCTACCTTGAGCTTAGCAGTGTAGCGCCGTGGTCATTAAACTATCACAGCAGGTGAAATAGAAATTAAAACCTCAAAGCATACTCAATGCAATTTAGCATTCTCACTGATTGGGTGCAGGGATCGTAACATCGGCAGCGGAACTTCGAACTTGATTATTCGAAATAAAGGGGCACATCAGGTGCATGCGTTGAAGCATGTGACTTAAGGCCTGCGTTTTACATATTGCTGAGCACTAGCTGTCATTTGCTTCAGCATGTAAATTTATTTTTATTTACAGAAATACTGCAGGCCGCCTGGCCCGTACAAGAAATTTTTAGAGCTGTTTTGAAAGTTCCTGTGTGTTTTTAGCAGTGATAGCTACACCATCCCGACCTTTTTCGACATAGTCAGATGGCCTCCCAAATTTGCCTACAAATCACCGAATGGGCTCACTTTCGTCGTGATACCTGTCGAACAAACTGCGTTAAGGAGACTCCTTCCACTACGTAGCATTTATGTAGTGTTTTTTTCCCAAAGCAGCTGCAAGTAACATCGTGGCTTTGTGGTAGGACACCTGCTTGGCACGCGAACGGCCCGAATTCGATTCTCAATGGGACCGGAAATTTTATTCATCATTTTATTTGCTTTTCTCGATTTTTCGCTCGCAACCAACGGTGCCGGCGAAATTTCTGCGACATGAGCTCTCAACGCTGTCACGATGAAGAGAAGGATAACAAGCAATAATACAAACAGAATCTGAAAGAAATGAAAGTAAAAGTAATACGGGTTGTGAAAAGGCAATACAAATAAATACCTGTGAATATAGTAACAGTCACAGAAATCATCAAATAAATGAAATGGAACCAATTATTATCCCCGGTAAAATAAACTGATTAGAAAGCAAGCCAGGAGGAGGCATTCGAGTGCGCTAGGACCTCGTGTTGAATTACAATGGCAGACTTCAAGCGCTGGGCCGGACTGCAAATGGAGCGCGCAGATCTGAGCAGGATCGCTCTCGCCAAATCTGTGATTGAAACGTGCGTGTCTAGATGGGAGCTGTTGGTGAGGGGACTAGGGAGGAAGCACGAGAGGTAGCGAGGGAGTGCAAAGCGTTTTCCGGACATTCATTGGTGATTGGATGAAAGGCGGGCGCACACTTGAACTTCCAGTCAAATCCGCCGATTTCGGCGGAGCAGAAATTCTTGCTCCACGGAGTAATCGGTGATCTGCGGCTGCTCTCAATCTGCCATTGAAACACACAACTCATGCTCCCAATCCGCCATTGGAATGTGATTACTCCACCCAAAGCAGAAAAACTTGATCTGGATCTGCCATTGGAATTGGACATCAGTTGGTCAGGAGAGAGATCATTCTAATCAGAAGTCGTTAGTGGAAAAAATGAAAATTTAAATATTTGTTTCGGCAAAATAGGGAGTTAAAGCAAACCAGTGCAATGAGTGCACCGTGATGAAAGTGGAGATAAGCATGATGGTGGGTCAAGCCACAGCTTCCGATTTAGCAAGGAATATAAAAATTTAAGGTGTTGATCGCTTCGCCTGGATTGCAATGAAAAAACCTGTTGGGATTCCATAAATGATGTAACAAAAAAACTGGGGGCCATATTAAGCAAAAATAAACCGCACAGCCTCTCGCTGGATTTTTTCAAGCGCGTTGACGTTGGTGTACGGGTCCCACATTAGAGAAGCGCATTCAAGCTTAGGCCCAATCAGGTGTTCGTAAGCCAAGCGTTTAACATGTGGTGGTGAATTTCTAAGCTTGTGATCCTACCCTCGTTACTCGAAATAAGTTGACATTTGCACTGTGCGTGCCCCGTCTCACCGTCATGCAGAACCAGTTAGCCCAACTGAGTGCGCTGACAAGAATCGTATTGTTCCACTACTTCATGAATGATTGCGGCCGAACGCAGTGGCAAGCAACATCCCTTTTGACCTACGTTGTCGTGCTTCACTAATGCTTCTTAGAGATAGTGTTGTGAAGAGTTGCTTGATAAAACAACCTTTACACCAGTAGGCACCGTAAGTGCTGCATTACTAAATGCTCGCGAATTCGTAAGTTGTCATTGGTGAGGAGGAGCTACATACATTCATGCAAGACTAAAATGTAGACTTAGGTCTGATGTTTACAAAGACTGGGCCATGTAACCAGGTTGTTCTGGGGCACACTCGAACAAAGCGTGCCAAAGAATTGAAGTTGCTTTCGGCGCTACAAGAGAGCGAATGGGCGACACATTACAAGTTCGTCAGTTATGTATCACGTTGCATTCCATTTTCTGATAATAAAGAAGGCGAGACGCTGAGAACACTTGCTGTCCTGAAGGTCGTATTGCTAGCGATCGACAATCACTTGTCGAACCGTGGCAATACAGGCAGTATTAAATTTCCAAATGAAGAGTCCTGCGGTATGAAGAAACCGACGGAACTGGAGTGGGCATGTTGAAGCGCGGTCCTCTGCGATGTGGTCAGTGCGTGGGCGTCGGTCGTGTTGGCTGTCGCCTGGAATGCCCCAAAATGTGCAGGTCAACTTTCCGGCCAACGCACGAAGCCATATAATGGTACTAAGTGCAATCGCAAGACGAAGAACACCAAAAAAAAAATGTGCAGAATTTCCACCAGATGTTTATTAACTGCACACACAAGTACCCTTACTTAGGCTTCTGTGTGTATGTGTGCAGGTATCTTATTAGTGTCAGGTGTAAGAAAGTGCAGTACCTGTCTTTTCTCGGTGTCCCTTGTCTTGTGAGTGCACTTCGTACTATAAATACTTTTAATAGCTCCAGGTATCAAAGATAAAATTTCATTTCTCTTTAGTTTATGAATGTGTATCCATACATATTTCAGTTGAACTGTACTGACTGCGTAATCACAGCTCTTACAGTCTTTAGAAGATTTTAGTTTTGATTAAGTACATTAAGTTGTTGAACCACTGTCAACCTAATTGACCTGATGTAATCCTGGGGGCAAGACTCCAGGAAAAGAGCGCCACGTCAAATTGTGAATTTTTGCTGTATTAAAGCATTACCGATCTAGTTTAATAAATCTGCGTAGGTAGTAAGGGTGTTTTCGCATTTCGTCTCCACTGAAACGCGACCGCCTAAGACTGGAATCGATCCCGCGTCTTTGAGCGATGACACGGCACCTTTTTGACACCTAATCCTCGTTGTTCCAGCAAGAGGTTACCGCGGTCTATAGCCGAGTTAAAAAAACTGCAGATACAGTTATCTTGTTTACAAGCGGGACAAAGACAAGAGCCAAGTCTTCTTCCATGCAAACCTACCGCAGAAGGTAGCGCCGCTGGGCTGTAATGAAGAGAGAAAGAAAGGCGAAACGTCCGGGTTATTTCTCAAGTCTCACGCGCAAACAAACAAAGCTCGGTCGACGAGCGCACGACTGTGGGCAAACCTTGCGTTCACTTGGCCCTGCTTGAGGAGCAGCTGTTTCTTCTGCTGTAGCTCCTCGAGAATCTTGCGGTTCTGAAGCTCTGGAAACGAAATTTGAGACAACGTGACTGGAGTCGGACATCTCCCCAAGAATGGCACGAGCGCGTGCCTCGATTATCGGATAAGCGTGAAGTTGAAAAAAAAACATTTTAATCTTGCGATACCTTGCCGGGCTGTCGGTGGTTGAAAAGCCATCTTGTGTTGTTGTTTTCGGTTTTGATGTCGCTGGCGAGTGCGTCTTTTTGAAAAGTGATGGTGACTTTGTTGGCCTAAAAACTCGCACAATACTACTGTGCGCGCGTTTGTCACCGACCACAGTCTTCAAATGACTTTATTGAACCTTGCAACTTATATTTAAACTTGCATCTAAAAGAAAAGTACTGTATTATTAGGTGAAAGCGGTTAATTGTAGAAGGCACTGATTGTAGACGGATGATGTGCTGCTAACCTTGGCGAGCGACTAGCGGGAGCGCGAAAATGTCCGCAAGTATGGAAACCGAGCAAAATGCCGAGCAAGACGGCGCTAACAACGCGGAAAAAGTGGAAAAGCTGTGCCGTTTTCCTTTGTCACGAGTCAAGAACATCATGAAACTCGACCCCGATGTTGGGCTCGCCAGTCAAGAGGCTGTGTTTCTCGTCGCGAAAGCTACGGTGAGTTTTAATCGCTTATTCGATGCGCGTAGAAATCTCGCGTGTTTGTACTGCGATGCACCCGCTATGATTGCAGGAACTGTTCGTTGCCTCCCTGGCGAAAGAAGCGTACACTTTCACGCGACAAGCGAAGAAGAAAACTATGCAAAAGAAGGACGTTGGTGCGTGTAAATGCTCCGTGTTTTTTTTTTTGTTTTTTCTTCATCGCGTGGTACGAGTTGGTGGAGTGTACTGCATGCTAAACTGAGTGTCGCCGATCGTTTTCACCTTTTGCAGATTCGTCTGTCGAAGCTGTCGAAGCGTTCGCTTTTTTGGAAGGTTCGTGCTCAAACCTATGCGCTGTTTAAGTCATTGGCAAGCTAGTAACAATGACAGTTGAAATTACGAGATTTGATGTTCTTTTCAGGGACTCTGGATTGATGGCCCGCCGCACGTACTGCTGTCTGTAGAAATGTACTTCTGTAAATAAATTACCTGTTTTTACCGCAATAAACAGTCTCCAGTGCGATTTTTTTAGCATTTCTCACCAATTTCGCAAACAAATATCCGATGTTTCCGAATTTCGATCATTCTCTTTTTTTTTCGTCTGCAGCCTATAAGAGGCAGTGTGAGCTGTGCGGATTGCCCGAGTCACATTCGCGTTGCATGCAGTGTTCCTTTGCAATAGTTAAATCTTATTGAAACCGTTTGTTGTGCATTGAATCCCCAACGCCATGCAAAGCACAACACTGTCAACTGTGGCAACGGCTGATAGACAGAATGAAATCACCACAAGTGACGACGACCCTTCGCAGGTATGCTTACGCCCGTTGACTTCTCGGTGCCCTCCTACACATGATTTTTTTCTCTTTTTTTTAACGCATTGTTAAGGTCATTCTCAGCCTCGCATGGTCATCGAGAAGGTTTGGAGCTGCCTATTATGACAGCAGCACTTGCAAAATGTACCTCATTCCTGACCAAGAAGATTTACCACCGGTACACTCTCTTTTGTTCTCCGGTACGTTCCGTTTGGGGACAACTTGGCTTGTGACGTTTTGTTTGTTTACTAATGTGACTTCATATGTTAAGTGCTGCGAGAAGTCAGGCCCTCTTGTGTTCTGCTGAGTGCCAAGTCCGACGAGAAACTGATGAAGGCCATCAACGATTTCTGTAAGTGCCAGCTTGGCTTTCACAGTGGCGTGCAGTGAGTACTTACGTGTCCGATTTCTCAGTGTCACCCGGCAAAGCTTCGTCGAACACGAGGTCCTACAACAAGGAGGTTGTTCGTACTCTTCCTTTCAAGGACTTTGGTGAGGCTAGTTTTTAAATTACAGTTACATTCGCTCGTGCCTAAATACCGTCTTTCCGTACTCCTAACAGCATACGAACCCAGCCGGCACAGGCTTCTGTATTTGACATTGCCCAACATGCCGAGTGGACTCTCTGACGAGGCACGCTATGTCTACATGGCATCGTTAATTGACTTCAATGCCACTGCCATGGTAAGACTTTGTAAGACTTTGTGTCTCTTCTCTCCTGTTCTCGTGTAAAAGTTGTGTGCTTCCTACCAAAATAGCAAGATTTTGTTTCTCGTGCAATTGTGGTGAGCGCCATAATCACTTTAAAAACAACTAGAATATTCTCAAGTGACGTGCAACCTTATATTGAAACTGAGTTGTCTGAATGCAGAAAAAATAGCGCTGCACATTACTGTTGCTGGTTAAAACTTATTACAAAGACAGCCAAGAAACTCTGCAATAAAATCATGAACAAATGCTTCTCTATGTAATGTATGTAATGTTGTAAACTTGTGATTCTAGTTGTACTTTTGTGTACATTGAGAAATAGCTAGTACTGGAGCCAAAAAAAGGCTTCATGTTCTTTCTTGTGACTTTTATTAATAAGCTGCGCCATTCAAATTGTGGGTTGATATAAAATGTAAGCACTAGCAAGTGATGGCCATTGGTTTTATATCGTCAAAATGACTTGGTGACTCTGACTTCCTGCAGGTGAACATGATGTTGCAAGTCCGATTCCCACCTAAACGGCCTCATTCTAGCATTTGTAAAGCGCAATAAGTGTTAATGTGCCGCATTACATATGTACCGCCAAAAACATGGTTATAAGGAGGGGAGGGGCTTTATGAGCCTTGGTTCGCTAATATGGATTAGTTGGCTCAATAGAAACTTTATGGTCTTGCTTGGACTCTTCCAGGTTAGGTCTGCTGGTGCCTTGATAAACTATCTTAGTCAATGCAAGCTTGACTGCCTCCAAAGCTCACAGGACAGCAATCTGATTCGAGGCATTGTGACATGCAGCTTGTGAGTACTTTAATTTTTTATTATGCTCACTTCATAGGAGTTATTGGGATTGTATCCCTCGACGTCGCAGAAATCTTCTTTGCATTCTGCATGGGGCCCCTGATTGAGGGATTCTGGGCTGTTATGGCAGTCAGTACAATAAATCGAATATCAGTTTTACCAACTTCCCATGGTCTGGGCTGTTATGGTTGTTACTAGACTAAATCGAATATCAATTTAATCAACTTCTCATGGCACTCTGTGTGAAAGCTCATGTGGTCGTAACTTTTCTTCAGTTCTGAAGACTTGCAAAAGTTAGACCCATAGCACCTGTGCTCCACGAGAAAGACCATCCGCACTTATTTGTGAAGCATACAGCAGTACATTTGAACCGTATGTAACATACAAAAGGCTGGAACTTTCATTGTAATATGAATGGTTTAATGGTAATATGGCAGGCAGTCACCTGAAAAAAAAAAAAAGCTAGAAGCCCTCATTCACTTTTCAGCATCGTCAGCTACTCAAAAGATGTTTTAGCCACTTATACAGCTGTGTCACATCTTAGCAATTGATAATTTCTAATGCACATCACACTATGCTCGCAAGGTTTTGAAGACATTGCACTGATGTTGTTTTGTCATGCGTGTCTGACGTGATAGAAATCTATCTAAACATGACGGGTTCAGAAGAAAACAGAGGCCAGAAGCGATAAGAGATTGTACTGAATTAGCATACAAAGGGAGGGAATAAGAGGAAAGAAATAGAGGGGGGCTTCTGCTTATGTTCTATTGGGCTTTTTTTCATGTTGACAAGTAAAGGTGTAGGAGGGGAGGTGTTGCACTCGATCATGATTCCGCTGGGGTTGAGAAAAATCATGCCAATGTAAGTCTCTAACAAGACATCACATGATGAGCAGCAACTGAACGCAAGATTTTATCTTCTTCAGTGGAGGTTGAGAGAGAGTGAGTAACGTGTGCACAAACAACGCTGTTAAGAAAAGCAGTTGCTTCCGCTTGTTGAAGCAGCAACATAGCCAGAAATTTTTTTCGGCTACTGTACTACGTACCTCCCCACCACTTTCAGGCTACGCCACTGTGTTGAAGCATCGGCTTCAGGAACATTACCTGTTCAACGATTTTCCATCGTTCATGCGAGAGAGTGTTCCATGCAAATTACTCGAAGAAGCTGTAATGTGCTAGTGTAAGCAGGCATACAGGTTCAGGAATGTGCCTAACGTTTAATTTTCTTGCTTTAAACACTTCTGATTTTTTGTAGATCAAATGCTTTGAAATGAATATTGCATTGTAAAAGCGACCGCTTGCAGTGGTGGTGTATTTTCATAGTCTTGTTGCCTTGCTGTTCTTTAGGGATTTAAAAGTGCTCTAAAATTTGTAAATCATCATAAAGTCGGATAGTCAGGGTGAACAGGGGAAGTGCCTCAGACAGGCTGGCCGACGTTTCGATAGGAGGACCTATCGTTGTCAGAGGCACCTTGTCATCCTTGGCGTGTTAGTTTTAAGTAACTGCTTAACTACTACTCACTACTAACCCCCTTGAGACTACTACTCACTGCTAACCCCCTTAAAACTAACACCCCAAAGATGACAAGGTGCCTTTGACAAAGATAGGTCCTTTTATCAAAACGTTGGTCAGCCTGTCTGAGGCACTTCCACTGTTCACCCTGACTATCCCACTACGTGTTTCCATCTGTTGGCTCCCATCTAGATTTTGAATCATCATAAAGATATGTCAGGTCAGATGCATGTTGTGTTCATTGTAGCCGCACAATGCCAGCACTGTGCTTGCCTTTGGTGATTATCATGGGAAACTAAGATTTTGTCTGTGTTGTCCCAAGCTTCTCAGTACAGCTTTTTTTTTTTCCAGGAAGGATCGCATTCGCATCAGCCAAATGACTCTAGGGTAAGATAAACCGTTTTATGGCTGGTTATGTCTCACTCACACCAGCAAATGACAAAGATCACTTGAACGGTTGCAATTGACAGCCATGAATCAAGTCATGGCAGCCGATGTTCTTGCTGGCCTGCGCAACCTGTCTTTTGTGAAGGCAGTATGCCTCGCATTTGGTCGTGTTCACATCTGTTCACATCGCCATTGCATTGTAAAGTAAGCATACATCTTGTTCTAGCACTTCCGATTGGCTCGCAAGCTTTGCAGCTACAGTCTAAGACTTGAAAAATCGAGCAGTGAGTTATTGAGCCAATACAGTCCTTTTTGACCAAAGCAACCATCTTCAATTATTTGTAAGCACTTTGGTTGTGTGACTACTGCGAGTCAACAATGCGAATGCGCCTTTAGCCTGAATTGAAATGCCCCACTTTCCCACCTGTTTCACTGGTGAATGTGTCTTTCATTTTTTTGTGCAACCTACAGCTGCCTGCAGATCTTCAAGGAAGAGTGGCACCCTTCTGTCTACAAATTCGGCATTGCTGGCAAGGAGGGGCTCTCCTTGTTTGGTGAGGTTCTGCGATTAGTACTTGTGGTTATAGCACTGTTTATGTCTTTTGGGGCTTATGTAACTGCAGGTAAGCAAATAGTAACAGAACTTTTTCAGACTTGCTTGAAAAAAAAATTTTTTTTTTCACTTGGGATTTATTCAGACTCGCTGAAAGTCTACTCAGCCGGGCGCTTTGAAACTCAGTTTGTGTCTGAATGAGTTGACCTGTTAGTTTCCCAACTTGCAATAATGACTGAATGTTTCATTGCCTAAATTATGCGAAAATTTTTACTGAAGACTTTATACCTTTTGTTAGCAGTCTGGGAGGTCGTGAGTGGGCATAGTATTGCAGATGATGTTGGGTGGTTTGGTACTACAGTACCCTGAATTTTGAAAAACTGGATTTTCTTTTGAGGTAAAGTGCAATGAAATGAAAGTTCTCACGTTTAATTGGCTGTAACTACAGTTAAAGCTTGCGAATTTGAACTAGAAGGAGACTTGGAATTGTTTGAATTAAGTGGAGTTCAAGTTATGAAGTTCATGCTAGCACAAACCCACATCGTGGCACATTGCATGCGCAGAACCGAAAAAAGCGACCTCCTGAATGATTATCAAGAATTAAGCGATGCTAGGTGTTTGGTGCTAGTGCTTTTGTAGATTAAGATCGTGAAGCTCTGGCAGCAAAGAGAATTAGTTGATCAGCCAGTCGTATGCCAGACGCAAGCAGCAACATGCGTTCATGCGAGCAGTGAGCCTTAGTGTCGACATATATGAGGCCATTTATGTCCTAAAACACAATAATTTAAGTAGGCCAATGTGATGCAATTGAAGTTAAACGTAATGAGTAATTTACATTTCCTTGCACTTCTGTCGCAACACCACGAGCATCGTTTCTAGTTTGCCCAAGAGCTCGAGCACAAAGTCTGAATTCTCATCTGTGGAGGAGTACTGCTGTTTCGTTGTTCTGCATCTTTAGTAAATTTGGTTTGCTTTCGTTTTTGCAATACATTGGTGATCAATCTAGGCTGACTTTCGGGAGGAGCGATAAAAGCTAGTGGTTTTGCTGCTCGAATTAAATGCTGCGGATGCCAACACTTTCAAATGATTGGGAGTTTTCCCCCATAGGGCTGGGGCGGGACCATAGTATCAGTTACTTATATTTCATAATCATTTCAGGCAATGATAAATAATAAAATGTACATATGCCCTGTCTAGGAGGGCGACAAAAAACCACAAATGCCTGACTGAGTGTCACTCACCTTTCTAGATGCACATGACCGAAACAACAGAGGCTGTTTCATAAGAAAATATCAATACATACACTAGATTAAATTAACTAAATATATTTTTGTTATGTCCGGTGTTGTCGTCGGCCCATAGACGTACGCGTTGGTCGCGGTAGTCCAAAAAGCTCAGACAGCCTCGAACGGTTAAAAACAAGTTTATTCCTATTCGGATGGAGGCGGCGGCCGAACTGCCGGGGGAAACGAATGGTGGCTCGTTTGCGCCGAGCGGGGAAAGGGGAGGAGTCAACATCTGGAAGCAGTTTCAGCATCCGGTCCTTCGCGGGTTCGGAAGCTCGCTCGTGACACAGGGGTGCTTGGAACACAACAATTTGATGATAAATAAACAAGATGAACACAATTATACTAGCATAGTACAGATGTCCAAGACCACTACAGAAATGTAGATACTACAGACTGGAGCAATAAAAAAAGATGATTATTCTTGAATTGGTACAAAGTTTGCAGCCATCTTTTTTTTACGCAGTTCATGTGCATCGTGTCTTGTACCATATTTATGATGGTAGGGTGACGATTTAAGAAGTCTGCAATCAGTTAAGGTTGTTCTTGCATGCCATAATTAGTCCCTGTAATACCTTTGTCATCCATGGCTCTTCTAGTTTTGTAAGTGTGCCCTTCGCCAGAAATTGTCAATGATGAAAGTTATGCTGACATAACTTTATTTTCGGAAGTATTTCAATGCCTATGTTCTTTTTCAGAATGTGTTGCATCGTTAATATAATATTTGCTTTGAAAAGTAGCACAGAGTGAGTTATATATATAAGGCAAATTTTCAATAGCTCGCAAAATATTACAGCTCATTAATATTTTTTTTATGTTATTGTGCCCCATACAAGGAGGCAGCATTGTAAACAGGAACAGTGCGTAATACAGCTGATTTTTTAACCATCATGGTAAAAAATGTCTTACACTACTTATAATAGTACCAGAGTACAGTAGAGTTCGAATCAAGTGTAAGCTTGTGTCCGCTGAGTTTCAATCAACGAGCTTTTACTGTATCATAATATCAAAAGCCTATACCGCTGTTTCATTGTGGTTTCGGAAATGTTTTAATTCTTCCTCACTTAAAAAAAGCTGCACCCTGTCAGATGTACCTGACTGAGAATTCATAGTACTATCAGCTTTAACTTTTATTGTTTTTATTCTCTGACTCCTAATAGGTCAGTTCAATCGCTGCAGGTCGAAGGTAGGATCAAGGGAGCTGAGGTGAGCATTATATCGCGAACTACTTAGTAATTATATGCATAACGCCAGATAGCCAAATATTTTCATTAGAGGAAATGGCATCATCCTAGAATATTTGAGGGGAGATGTTGAATAATCGATCAGTTATAAAGACTTTATGTACTAACCAGCCAAAGCTGTAGTTTATTGAGCTCCTGTGAAAGTGATGCATACTATTAGTTCGCTTTCGCTACCATCACTACTGTTGAGTACAGGGTGGTTGCAAATTTGGAGCATCATTGCACCTTAGCGAACCACTCACTCTCACGAAAGAGAGAAAGAAATGCTTTTATGATGTGCTGAATACGCTAGCCTAAAGAGTTAGTATGGAAACTCTGTTTGTAGGTGAAGTGTCTTCTTAGAAACGAGAGCATAACTGTTTCCAGTGTTTGTTTGTAGAATGCAACAACTTTTGTTGTTTCTATTTGGTCGCAGAAAGCTTTTCTGCCGACCCACGCGAGATCTAAGTGTCCTCCAGTCACGGCAGGCCACTGTCGCCTTTTTCAACATTCCAAACAACCAGCCCGTTGTCAACAGCTTGCGAGAATGCTTGGGAAACGTCAGAGATGTGTCGGTATGTCTGATTTGGCTAGCTTCTAATATTGGTACTGTGCATAGGAGTTACATTTTTCTTCTTGCGAGACTATCTGCCGAGCTGAAGTTGCTAGAGAGGGAGAGGCAAGGAAAATTAGGAAGGGAAATCGCAAGAAATTATGTCAAAGACGCAAGGCGTGCAGGCACGGACTCATACTCCATAAACGCCAGCGCTTGTGGTGTCTCTCTTGTGTCTGTGTTTGTACGTCCCATCTCTTTAACATGAATACTACCTAACAATCAGCCCAACTCTCTCTGTTATTGTAAGATAGTATTATGTAGTTCTCTCAGTTTCCTACAGTTTGAGTGGTACTAAATTTTCATTCACCCTAAGGGCGCGAGAATGGACATTTTATCAGGGGTGGGAAACAATACATAGTACAACGAACAAAACTATAAAAGTAAAACGATGAAGACAAAAACAGATTGAAATGCTCAATGTTGGGGGCCGCATACCATAGAAAGTTATGGACCAGAAGATGCAAGAGCACCAATAGTCTATCCTGTTGCTCAAACCGGAAAATTGTATGAGTCATGATTGGGACTATAAAAACAGTGCACAGCGTTCATGGCGACAAGGATCATCATGCAACCGTGCTTCGATTACCTGATGACAGGAAGTCCGACTCTTTTCACAATACTTTAGCAGCGAACATGTAATGTCTTCTCACTGTAAATTTTATTTATTTGTCAGTGCCAAATGTAGAACAGGTCTCATTAGTGTCTTTGTCCATCCAGCTCCACAAGTGTTAAAACCATGTTAGGGCTCTTGAAACTGGCACTTGTGAATGTCTATCTCCATATTTTGCAAGAAAGAAACATGCTCACTGCAGTGATATTAATAATATAGAACAATTCTCTACATTGTCTTTTTTTAAAGGGGATTCTCATGCGGATGAGCAAAGCTGCTGCCACCGTGAACGAATGGAAGACGTTCTACAAGGTGCATAATCAGCCTTCAATTACACTAGCACACTGTTTCCTACAGTGGCGCATTGTAGTGCATTCCAGTGCATTCTATTAAATCAATTACCTAATTTGGACAATATATCAAGCTGTTCCTATAGCATCCCAACACTCACAGACTCTGTTATAGTAGTGTCTTAAAAGTTTTCGAACTTGTTGAGCCGTGCATCTCAGATGTACAAATGGCACTATGAAGACAAAAGGGGCTGTGTTTGTGTGTTATTTCTGCTTTAATTTTACATGCAATGTTCATAGAACTGCAATTCAATGTCATCCTTCTCTAAAAGCAGGTGCGCATGTGAGTTACATTGCAACTGTTTGATAACTGGCTGAAAAAGAAGTTTCTAGTGACAGGTATATGAGAATCTACCTTTTATTCAGATTGTAAGAGTTCTATTTGGAGTGAGAAATATCATGCAGTCTATAACAACATAGAAAGTATCAGTTCATGTGAATGGCTCAGGCATCTTGCATGACATGTTGACAGGTGGTGTCAGTTTCATCTAAAATGCTGGGTGGGGCTACAATCGCCAATTACTTTTTTTTTTGACAGAGTGCTCATTTGTAACTTTTTGCTTGTGCGATTTCTATAGATACGTACCAGGTACGTATCTATAGTTTATCTTGGGAAAACCCTGTTGTTACCTCTTAACTGCTACAGTACATTGGAGTCAAAATTTTTGTTTCCTGAACAGTTTGTATTCAGTGTATGCTCTGCCCTGGCCCTATTGTACATTATCACTGAGTGATGATGTACAATGACCCATTACATTTGAGTATTGTATCTACACTGCTAGCAATGCATGCTGGAAACATACGACAGGGGATAGAATTTGCTGATGCTGTCTTTTCGAATCTTGTTTACGCTGATCTAAACATTGAAGCCATTGGTGTTTTTAAAGTGTTCTGCTCTACCTCCAAGTACGGTATCATGTTATAAATTATACATTAATGGGTGACTGATGTACGTATTACGCATTCGTGGTGTTGTTTTGTTGCAACACGACATGCTGATGTGGGCATTGGATTCCTCAAACTGTTAGTAGCCTCTACAGTATGGCTCGAGAAGAGTGTGAAACATTTGCCTGTCTTGTATAAGGATAGCTGGATGAACTTGGAAACCATGCGACTATCAGGCCGCTTTTATTATGATGGAAGACAGCTTATGAGCATTTTCAACTTAGCTTGGCTGACACATTATCTTTTCCTTTTCTTGCAGACCTTTGTAAATGTGGTTTCCATAATCGGCATTTGCCACTCCAGCATTTCGCCGGAGTGCAACATCGACATCCTCGTGAAGGTGAGCCTGACGTTCCTGGCCTTGCACTGCTGCTCACCACATCATCCAAACCCCATAATACGTTTTCTATGCAATTGCGAACATCACTTGTTTTTGCTAGTTGTGTTCACTAGTGTTTAAAAAAAAGCAATATACATTGAGGCTTGCATGGGTGCTTAATTTAAAGTGATATTTGAGGTATGCCAACATAGGCTAATGACTATAGAGTGAAAGTATGCAAGTTTTTTTTTTTAGACCTTTCTTGGTTATTTTACAGCAAAATGAACTATTCATTTTCAAAAGCTGTAGGAGATGTGGCGCTAAATTATGGTCCCATATTTGCATTATACAGACATACAGGTTTCCATTGCAAAAAAAAATTATTGTTATACTTGCCCTAGCTGCAGAGAAATGGAGGCCTCAAAATTGAACAGTCGTAAATTTACTTTTTTGAGAAAAATTGAAAAAAGCTTAAAGCACACAGCTGGTGTGTAAAAGTTTGCAGAGAAATAGAAAAATAATTGTAGAAACCAAATATGTCAATTAAAAAAAATGAATTTTTTTGTCACTTCTTGGTCCCAAAGACCAGTCTGCCCCCTTAACTTCTTTTTGGAGCATACTGTTGAACATAATTATTTAGCTAAGGGCACTACCATGTTCGACGAGCCGTTTTGCGCATTGCTTTCCGTGAGCCTTTTCAGAAGTAGTACACTCAAACCTCATTATAGCAAGTTGCATCTTACAAGATAATAAGTTCGTTATGTCTGAAATTTGTTATAAAGGTTATTCCTAACACTGTATCTATTGCAATGCTTTTTTTTTTTCATTTACTTCATTATAACCGATATTTTGTTATATCCATGATTGTTGTATATAATAAGGTTTGAATGTATCATTTTTGTTTGCTTGAAATAAACATTGCCAAAAACAAATTTACATGGTATTTTTAACCTGATATTTGCTTTTATTCAAGCAAAAAGAGAACATGGATGACTTCAGTGTAATTGTGTATCTGAGTTCAATTGAATTGAGATTGATTACTACAGAACTCCCAGTTTTATGTATTTCAACTTTATTTTTGATGCAATAGAATGATGAGTGCCTCGACATAATGTTGATTTAGTTGGGCACATTTGCAGACAGTTCTTCATAGGTCACCACAGAAATGTTAAAGTGTCTGCTGAGCCACCCAAATTTTTTGTAAACTTCAGATACTATTCTAGCTAATCCTATGATGTTAAGCATGGTTGGAAATTCGCAGTTGCTTACGTTAGGCTTGTGGAAATGGTAAATTTTTGGTTTGAAGTGAATGAAATGATTTCAGATCAAATTTGAATAATATAACATATTATAGAAAAAAATGGTAGGCCTGGCGAAAATATTGGAATGCTTTGAATATTCAGATGAATATTTTACTGTATTCAAATTTGCTTCAATTCGAATTTGAAATATTGAAGATTTCAATCTATTTAATATGAACAAATAGTTGCATACAAGTCTGCACGTAACCTCTTGTAAAGGTGGTTTCACTGCGGTGGAGGGTGCGAAGCCGTGAAAGCATTTGTTTAGGTGTATGTTACTCTGCACGCGACTCTTTATAAAGGTGGTTTTACTGCTGTAAAGTGGCGCTAAGCTGTGAAAGCACCTATCCAAGAGAAATTCGCACTGATTTAAAGGTTCGCTTTAAAGTTAAATGAACATAGTGCCTACACATTGATTCATGATTTTGTTAAGCTTAAAACCTTGTTTTACCGACTTATAAGCCCTTAGTATATGAAATATTAAAACAACATATTTTAGAGGTTATCACTTGCACTCTACGGAAAGTAAAATCCTGCTATTAGTCAAAGTCGCTCCCACTTTCTTTGAACGAAATTAAAAAAAAGGCATATCCTCAGGCCTTATTTCAATATTTTAAAGATATTGTGCAGGTTAGTTGGGTCATGACAAATATACCCATTTCCTTTTACAATGTGATATATACTATTCGAATTCGATTCAGAACTATTTGACCTATATTACGATTTGCTTCGAATTGGCTTCGAAATTAAAATTCACGATTTGTACAGGCCTGGAAAATGGTCGTATTTGTCATGACCCAACTAAACCTGCACAATATCTTCAAAATATCGACGCAAGGCATGTGCGAATGCCATTCCTTTTGGTTCAAAGGAAATGGAAAAAAACTTTGAATAGTAGCAGGATATCACTTTCTGTACAATGCCAGTGATAACCTGTAAAATATGTCAAGTTTTTAAATTCACTATACTAAAAGCATGTAAGCCTGTACAGCAAGCTTTTTAACTTCAGAAATGATGAATTGATTTGAGAGCAATATGTTCATTTAGCCCTCATGTGAGGCTTTGCGGCAGTAAGATTTTTTCATTAGCGATTTTCATGACGTAGCGCCCTTGCCGCTGCAGTGAAACCACCTTTGCAGTGGGTTCACACACGCTGACACACACGCACAGCGAGAGAAATTTTTGAAAGTGTTAAGAAAGCCATGAACAAATGTGTATAAAACAAAACTTTCATTTTCTTGATGCATACATCCCGTACTAATTTTGCACAAGAGTTGTATGGATGCCGCGTTTTTGTGTCATCCCTACTTGTTACTGCCCCATGATCCGAAATGCCTGAAAGAAAAAGGAAAGGGCATAAACAGCCCCCAGTGAAATAGCTACAATACAGGATGGCCAACAGTCTGTTGGCAACGGATGAGAGCCTAAGCCAAGCTATTAGAAATTATCCGGCCCAGCACCAGGGGGGGCTCTGCCCATCATGAACCAGTCCGAAGGTGGCCCGAGCCCCCCAGCCCCCGTACTCTCCACCTATGAACCTATTCGTTCATTTCGAATACTTCGAAATTCCCAATATTTAAATTCAAATACTGTAATATTCGTTTGAATATTCAAAGCACTCGAACATTTGCAAAAGCTAAGCTTACACTAAGCAAACGTTAGGCCTGCTCTGTCCCCTTGCAGCAAAGCAAGACACTGCACCATACGCCACAGGGATACTTGCTTTAGGCAAGTTCCTAAATAGTGTGCTATTGTGAAAAGGAAAAAAAGAAGGTGCAGTTTGCTGACTCAGCTCTGCGTTCATGACGAAACTGTGAAGTTCGTGCAGGGGTTCGAGTGCATCGCCTGCTGTGAACAGCGAATTCCAGGCGCCGCGGCCGCATTTTCGACGGAGGCAAAAATGATTGAGGCCGATGTACTTAGATTTAGGTGCACATTCGTGCACCTAAATCTAAGCACATGGGCCTCAATCATTTTACAGCGAAAGATGTTATGAGAGCACCACTTGGATCATGCGCGGTTGTCCGCCGCTGCCACCATTGTCCGTAACCACATCACACGAATTTGAAAAAAAAAAAAAACCTAGCATCAATGACACAGTGGGGCTCAAACCCGGGTCCACTGGGTGCCAGCCCAGTATTCTACCACTGAGCCACGCCGGGGCTTGGGACTTGCTGGCAAACTTGCCGTAGGCAGGCTTGATGTCTGGAAAGCAATCGCGTTAATACGACTTATAAAGCGTTTTAAGACAGCGAAAGAACAACCAGTCATCGCACAATGCGAATAGCTTAACGAGTGGCTCGTCCAATGCTCCAATCTATCACAAAAGCATGTCGTTCACCTATTAACTGTGGCACTTACTCACTTCAGGCATAATTTCTTATCGTCGTCAGCCACTGCATGAACAATTGGCACAAAATTCCTTGCAAGTGTTAAGCGGATACCACGCTTCTCAGAAAAGTGACGAAAAATAGCATAGCGAACGCCAGCCTAGTACCCTAAAATTTTTATTATTAATGCTGTAGTGGGTATCAAGCAAGTGTGCTTGCAGCAGTTACCCAATGAGTGTTTGGAAAAGGCTCTGAAAGGCCGCTCTTCTAGCTTTCGCTGTGACTGTGCTGCGCTTTCCCCGCAGGCCTGGTGTTTTTTTTGCCTAGGCAAATAAATGTAAAACTTCTGGGTGTGCTGTGAACTTCCTTTAAGACGAACTCTGTTAGAACTAATTCTTGCTTAAGACAAACAACTTGGGAGTGTTTGTTTGGTTTCCCATAGACTCATTGCAAAAAAAAAAAAAAAAACGCGTAACAGAACTCTCCTGTTAAGGCAAACTTTCACAGCAACCAACAAAGACGAATATACGGCGAAACGAACATCATAGTCTCGATGAAAAACTGAGAAAGCAAAATGAAAAAAAAAAGAGAGAGTGCGAGGACTTCTGGCGCCAAAGCTCAAAGGATATCGAAAGCTAATTGTGACGTGGATAACGAAAGCACGATAAGTGGAAAAGAAAGGTCAGCGCATAAAGCTGGTATCTCCCTCACCCCCTAGCTTGTAGGTGAAGTAAGGGTAGTGCTACAGTTTTATTGTTAAAATGTAGCGGAAATGTATTCATGAGCATATTTAGTATTAAATCGTGAAATCGAGTAGTCGCTAGATTAGTCTAAATACTCTTCTTGGAAGCATAGTTCTTATAAAGCTGAGTGAAATAAACGCTTTTTCTTGTTCCTTTCCGCCCCATTGTAAGTCTACTTCATTCAGTGTTTTCAAGCAACATATTTAGGTGTGGTTGGCATGTTAGCGTTTGGTTTTTGTGGGTACTTCTGATAAGACGAACTCCTGATAATACGAACAAATGATCGAGGTTCCTTGGAGTTCATTTTAAAGGAAGTCTACTGTATTTAGCCAATATAGATTTTCTTGGTCGTATCATCTAACTTTATGCAATATTGTAATCGTATCGAATGCAGGGAAATTCGTTGTTTTTTCAAGGGGAATTGACCGTAAATAATTAGAAAAATGTAGTTATTAGGCCATAAATTGTATTAGGCAGAATCGTGTCAATGAGATTTTATAGTATTTGTTATTGGCTTGCTCCCCCAGTCTATGTGATGCATTGCCAGGTTTGTTGGTGTCGATTGCAAGAATCCCAGGGGGCTTTGAAAGAATGTTATTAACAGTAGGTTGGTGAGGGTGCAAGTGTATGAGCGTATGTGATTAGCTAGCGAGATCACGCTGTGTCATAATGTCGCTGCTAGATTTGAAGTATAGGTGCTTTACACTTGGGCAAAGCAAGCAAGCTCGTGTGACTTGTTGGCTCGGGAAATGGTGTTTCAGCCACTGCCTCGTGCCATGCGATGCGGTTTCTGGTGAAATCATGGGACTTGCCATTTCAGGCATTGGGGTTTCAGTGAACGCTTCATTTCACGGGAATGCCTCGCATCCCATGGCCAAATCCTGCCTAGTGAGCACTCCCTGTTACCTACATGACTCTCTAATGTGCCCAGATGCCTTACCTTGGTTTATCACAATTAATTAAGGTTTCTAATTAAGGCAAATAATTGAAGTGAATTGCTTTCAGGGTATTTTGTACTTAAGGTTATCTTCATGGTCACCATTTTATCTCATTTTCATTTTATTTGTGTCTTCATTCACTCCCCCTCCCTCTAGTCATGTGACCTGCTAATCCTTCCTCCCCGTCCTTTACTTCTACTACTATTACTACTACTACTACCACCACCACCGCCGCCACTACTATTATTACCACTACTACTGCTACTACTACTACTACTACTACTACTACTTCTGCTACTACTATTGCACTCGAACCTCAATACAATGAACCCAGATGCAACGAAATATTGGTTATAATGAAGTGAATGAAAAAGGTTGTAGTATATATAGTGTCAGGAATGTACTTTTATGACAAATTTTCGGATATAACAAACATACTTTTTTGTAAGATGCTATTTTGTTGTAATAAAGTCTCAGTGTATTACGACTATGACTACTGCTACTAATCCTACTACTTCTACTACTGCCACTGCTTTGTGATCTTCTTCTTTCTCTTCTTTGTGATGATGATGATGTTGGCATGAGTAGACTTATACAGCCTCACTGTAATAATCCCTATGTCCTACGAGATTTCAAGCTCGGTACATTATCATTGGCAATAAGGAAATTTACCTTCCAGCCATTACTGATGCTAAGACAGAAAACTATGTCATATATGCAGGAATTTCAAAGGTCATTATAATAGTTGTGAAATTTAGCTAAAGCTTTTTTAGTGCTGCTATACGGTTGCTTGCTATGAGAAAAAACACTGTCAGTGACAAAAGAAAGTTCTCTAATGCTTCTCAGCACTATGGAGAGAGTACAACCTGCGTATTTTCACGTTGGAAGGCAGCGAAAATTGAGTAAGCCTCCCTTCGTTTTCCCTTTCCACTCTAGCTTGACTTTGAGGAATCGCAGGCGACAGAAAGGTTTGTCGTCAACAGGGGCATTGACAGCACGCTTGACGAAAGTAAGTGTGAAGTTACTATTATGGGGTGCAACGCTTGCTCACATTGCGAATGCTTGTTGCTGATGTTCACCTGTACCTTTCAGAGAAGCGTGTTTACAATGGTCTTCCTGACTTGCTGACCCGCATTGCTTATGGAGAGCTGGAGAAATTGGACCCTGATATCACTGATTGCCAAGTCGTTTACCTGCCTCAGGTTACCTGCTTTCATGTCCTTTAAAAGCATTGATATTTGGGCCAGTTGGTTTGATTCCTTTTTTATGATCTGGTAGTGCAACACTAACAGTGATGAAAAAAAGGATACACAAGGACAAGTGCATGTTTGTAACGGAAATTTTATTGAAAGGAAAAACACATTAATAAAAAAGTGCAATGCCAACTGCATATCACCTGAATTGTCAAGACTCAATCTGACAGATGATCACTGCAACTAACCACGAATACTGTGTGAAGCAAAAATGAAAAACCACAGGCTCTAAGGGCAGAAACAAATTCATGGCTGATATATAACTCATAATGCTACAAAAAAAAACATGTCTTGTGCTAAAAAACAATGGATTGTATGCTAATGGACATACACTCAAACCTCCTTATAACAAGGTTGTATCTTACATGAAAATGAGTTTGTTACATTCAAAAATTCGTTATAAAGATTTATAATACCTAACACTGTATTTATTAAAAGACTATTTTTCATTCACTTTGGTACAACCGGTAGTATTTCATAGTATTCAGGTTATTTATATCGCAGTTTGAGTGTATTGGCAGCTTGGTGAACATGACATGCTTCATTCATTTTTTATGTCTGCTTGTTGTAATGCTTAGACAAGACTGTGGTGTCACAAAACAAAGATGCGCAATTAGACATGCTGCAATGTATTGCTAAATGATAACTGCAATGTCCTTTCAACATATGATGTATCTCCTCGGCCCCTGTGTTGGGTTGCTAAAGACAATACAGTGTAAACGTAAGGGGCAACACTAAGCTTCAGATCTGTATCTTCAAATCTCGATTGATTTGGATGAAATTTGCAAAGCTTTATATTGCTGTGCTGATTTTCAGCATACAATTGTTAGAGCTATATGTATAGTACGTAGTTTTTAAGAAATCGGACGTTCTAGGGGTTTTTAAATGATCACTATTTTTTATTTAGATTGGCTATCTGCTCACTATCGCCGAAGACGCACCAGGAACTGATGAGCCAAGTCTCCAATTCATGGTATGCAAACACTGCATTATTGTAGTGGACATCGTTCTTGAAAACAGTAGGCCTGCCATCATCCATTTTCTGAAGTGTCGTATGATGACACCCACAATAGTTATTGACCGAATCGAACATCTCCCGAGTAAAGGCCCTCTTCAGATAGCAGCCACTCAGCCTAGCTGCGTAGCCATGCTGAAAGGGGCACATCTTGTGTGAATACTAGATGAAGGTAATGCACAACATTATTCTGATTCTTTTGTATACCTGCTTTGATTTCACAGTAATGTCAACCCTCTAGCTGATCTTTGCTAAGGTAGCTGTCGATCTTTCAAAAAAACTGAATGCTATATTAACTCCATACGATCTCATTTTTCATTTTATTTGTGTTAGTTGTGAGCTTATTTTGATGTGCTATGCAGTATGATCTCCTCCTACTCTGTCCTGTTGGAAAGTAACTTTACTCGTTTTTAGCTTGAGGAAAAATGTCAGCTCCACCTACAGCTGTCGCTTGACTCCCAGAGAGAATTCGCATAAGTGCTGTGTCCAGTAGTGCTTACTCATTTTCAAGATGTTGAGCACTCTTGAATTCAAAAGTTTCAGATAGCTGATTTTTTCATACAGGCCCACTCTTGTGTTGCTGGCTTTAGGTCAGAAACTTGAAAGTCACTCGAAGTTTGGCAATGCTGCTGAGCCAAACCTGGTGTTTCAAGTATTAGCAACGAACCTTTAATTCTTAATATCCGTAGTGTATATTAGTTGAAAAAAGTACTCACGGTTAAAGCATAACCCAGTTGGCACAACCGTCTTTCAGAGTTGAATGGTAGGAGTGCTGCAGAACTGTGGATGAAGCTGCTGTTTTTTTCTCAGGTTGTAATTGAATTCGGCCAAACTTCATTATGACAAAATTGTATCTATGCAAAATTAAGCTCGTTATATCCAAACCTTCATTGCAAGGGTATATTCTAACGCTGTATTTATTGTCAGACTATTCTTCATTTACTTTGTTGTAACCAATGTTTCGTCATATCCGGGTTTGTTACATCAAAGTTTGAGTGTAATTGAATAGTGCTTGTAAGCAAACCAGGAGGTGTGTGTGCATTCACTTCCTTCACTTCGTTGCAGTTCTCCTGTGACAACAAAAGTTATTTTAAGACGGGAACTATGAAGAGTGAGTGAGCGTTATTGTTTTTCATTTATTTATTTATTTTTGATGGCCCAGAGATTGTTTCTTGTGTGCGTGACCTATAGTGTTGGTGATTTCTTATTTTGCAGCCCTGGATAGTCTCTTGGGTGACACTCTGTATGAGATAATTGGTATGCACATTACCTCAATTCTTGTCACCTTTGAATCGATTAGTCCTGCTGCTTTGATTGGGTAGCATATAATCTAATCGCTGGCTGATGTTTCAAGTTGTCATTCTGGATACCTTTGTGATAATTGCATTGATGAAGACGTCATAGCTACACTGTTTAATTATAAAATTAGTGTAGTGAATTGACTTAAAATATTGATTGCTTTATAAATACACTGAGCTTATCACATACATATAAACAATAGAACGTGAAAAAACAGCTAGTCACCCGCTATGTGAGAAAGTCTTCTTGATAATAGAAGTATTCAGGCATTGATAGCACTGAATTTATCATGCTGCTTAGTTATTGGAGCTTGACAAATAGAACTGTATTATAGTTTTAATTGCTGGAAACAGTAGAAAAATATGTTGCCAGCATCACTTAATTAAGATTCATTCACTTACTTGCAAATGGTGTGCTACTCATTTTTGGCCATGCTTGGCAGCTGTACTGATACTTATCTGTGTTGATACTTATCTGTGTAATCCTATCTCTTCGCTTAGATCGGGAAACTGAGATCATGCACAAAGTTCAGAACATGATCCTCGAAGTGGCAGAGGCATTCCTGGAAGCTGTCTCAGCCTGTGGTGAACTTGATGCGTACGTTACCAATAGTTATTACTTGTTCGTCAACAACCACACCATACTAACTAAAGTTGAACTGCTCTAATTCTGATATGAGCAGGTTGCAATTCTGGCTACTGCCTGTAAGTCTGGAACATTTGCTTTTTCTGCTGTGTTTTCAAAACATGTCGTTTATTTTCAATGAATTTTTCTTTATAATTGCTTCAAGCTTTTTACCATACTTATTCACTTTTCTGCTGACCGAAATTGTAGTGTGTACCTCATTCTAGCATTCAGAAGTTAAAAATGTAATTCAAGTAATTGTGACTCACAATACATGTCTTTTTTTAATTTGGATGTTCGTTTTGCTGTAGTGTTACATTGTTCACATCTATTTTACTCTGATTTGCTTCAAGAAATTACGAATTTAATGGTCTTTATTATTTACTAACCAATTTTTTACGGTAAGAAAGAGAATAGTGGTGATCTGTACTGACCTTGAAGAAACTTTGAACAAACTGAGAAAAGAAGGAACAGTAGACTGTGCGCCTCTCATTGTAGCTATCAGAGGCCCGCTGATTACTGTGTCATATTGCTCAGATCATCTTATCTTCAATGCCAGTTTATGGCATTTGAAATACTGGACACTCAAACCTAAGTACACTCAGACCTCATTTTATAACAAAGTTGCATCTGACACGAAAATAGGTTTGTTACAATCAAAAATTCATTATAAAAGCATATATTAAACACTATATTGCAAGACTATTGTGAATTTACTTTGTTATAACCAATACTTCATTATATCTGGGTTCGTTATATCGAGATTTGAGTGTATTGAGAAAGGTTGTGGGATTGAATCTTAGTCACAGAGGCCAAATTTTATTGGAAGAGTAATGCCAGAGGCCTTTGTACTTAGATTTAGGTGCACGTTAAAGAACCCCAGCTGGTTCAAATTTCCAATGTTCTCTCCTGTGGCATCCCTTATAATCATACTGTGGTTTTGGGACGTTAAACCCCAAGAATTATTATGCAAATATTGAGAGCATGTTCTTATGTGAAGTTTGAAATTGTAATTTCCAGTAAACATGGCCCTAGTAACCAAACTACGCTCCAATTCACTGTAACCATATCCCAGGGCAGCACTGTTAATAACGCTCTGCAATTGAGATTCAGCCTTTGCTATATGCACTAACATGGTGAAACCTTGTGTAAAGACAGAGGAACCTAAGTTTCGCATGATAAGATATGGTAGCGCAGACAAAGGACACGGACAAGAGAAGATACAATCAAGACAACACAGCGCTGTGTTGTCTCGAATGTGTTTTTTCTCGTCCGTGTCCGTTGTCTGCGCTACCAAATATTGTCATGCTACCATACCAACGAGGCCAAATCGCCACCCTCCTTGACTAAATTTCGCATCGCATTATAAATGTCTTTTTAAAACTAGCATTTTCATAGTTCGGCAGTGGATACAATATACAACTAGTTATTGAATTTGCTACAGTGTGTATTTCCTACGACAGCTGTATTTTATTGGAGCCAGTGTGCACAAACTGTCATGCACATACCAGTAGTATTTAGGTATGCTTCAAAGAACCCATGGCAGTTAAAAATTCTTTAGAGTCCTTTCCAGCAGGTTTCCAACTACCATAGCTTCTGGACTTTAAAGGGGCCTGCAACACTTTTTGAGCATGGTCAGAAAACGCTGCCGATGAGTAGCCGAGGCTCCCGAAAAAATGCGAGCCAAATATTACAGCGCAGCACGCTGCCTGGAATTCACAATAAATTCTGAAAATTCACTAAAGATCCCTTTCTCTTCTCTCGACAAATGGCAAAACAAGCTCGAAAATCACTCTTCACAACCATGGTATCAGCCATTGGTTGATTAGAGCATGCCGCACTTTGTTGTTACTCCAGTCCGCGAGAGACTACGGTTTGTGCAGGGTAGTGCGCACGGTCCTACTGACAAGCCGTGTATTAAGAATAAAAAAAGAGACAAAGTGCTTAAGGTCATGAGGCATGCGAGACGTATCTCCTTTCCCCGCTGCATCTCTCCCTGCTTAGCTTCCAGCACTTTCGTCGGGACTAGAGAAGAGAAAATGCAATTGCAGGGTGCCACAAATCTTTGCAACTCCACTCGTAGTAGACGGATTCTAAACATTTTTGTGGTGGTGAGACAAAGATCTTTTAGTGAATCAATTTAATGGCTACTTGAAAACGTGTTGCAGGGTCCCCTTAAACCTAGCAGTGATTACATTCACATTCAGTACACACATTAAATTTTCAGATTGCTTTGCCTTGCCCTTGTGGCACGCGAGCAAAATTATGTCCGGCCCGTCCTCAACAGTGGAACTGCCATTGTCATCAATAATGGAAGGTAAGATGGAGCATTCGAACTCTAGTGTAATCAACATGTTTTTGTTCAGTGGGAACTAATGAAAGGGGACTGGTGCATGTTTATGTTGCATAATGTTACTTACCTGATGTCAGGTACGTGGAGATTTTCATAGTAATTATGCCATACATGCGTAACCATATCTGTGCTTCAGTAAGCAGTACATGACAGTCTTACTTTCACGGCAGCTTGATGTGTAATGTGGAAACCTCAGTAAGATGGAACTGGTTTACACTTAGATTTTCAGTTGGTCCACTGGTCTTCAGGTTACACCTGAGCATGGTTGACTGCATCGTTAGCAGATGTAATGTGTGTTTGTCCACGTTATCGAAAACCCCAGGCAGAAAAAGAAACATCTTGTTGGGATCGGTTTCATGTCAGTGCAGTACGTAGGCACTTGGTTCCGGGTATATGGAATGCCCAGTCCATGTCATTTACTTTGCATGAGTACTGCTCAAAGGTTGCTGTTTGTTTGATACTATGGAATATATTCATCTGTGCCTGTGTGCTTTATAAAAAAATCTTGTTGGAAGGTGGGCACTGATTAGTAATCTTTAGTAGTTTTTATAAGTATACTTTGAAACATTTGAATGCTCATGAGTAGCAGCTGATTACACCTGACACCTATGGCCTGGTTACTGTGCTCATTATTTGTTGTATGTATCGTATATTTTCTTGAAGAAAGAGGTAGAAATAAGTAAAGTTATGTTCAGGCCAGGCAGGAACGTCGCACCTGGCTTGAAACACGTCAATACTTGGGGTGAAGCAGGAAGTGCTCTGACACATAGTGTTGACGATAGAATGGTTGCTGGCGTGAGCCAAATCGTTGTCATACGTGGCACAGAGCCGGGTTCCTGAAGGGGTGTTGGGAACTGTGCTGTTGTGTTGCTGTGATGGGGAAGAACAAGGCCGTATCAAATTAGGGGGAGTCGTGAATCTTGCTTTTCATTGGTCATACTTGCTTCTAAATGAATAGTTGACAGTCGGGGCACAACAATATCAGTCGTTAATCATTTATACATGACCCTTCATACATTCCAAAATACAAAAATATTTACGACATGCGTGTTGTTCAGTTAGACAACATTCTTTTGCTATAAAATCAGAGACATCATTTTAGAAGGTTCAGTGTTTGCCGGCACATCTTGTGTGGTTGTAGCAGTGCATAGCTACTAAGAAAAGGTCAACAAAAACAGACAAACAATGTGGGCCTGTCTGTACAGGTGGAAGTCTTTGCACCTTATTATTATTGCCACGAAAAAAAAAGAAAAAAATAGGAGGAAAAGAACGGCAGGGAGGTTAACCAGCCTATAGGCAGCCGGTTTGCTACCCTGCACATGAGAGGGGGATGGGGGAGATGAACGATAGAGAGGAGAGAGGGAAGAGATATAAGCACAACGCATTAAGCAGCACACGCGCGCGCACTCAGTCATAGTCTAGTCTTGTCTTTCGCGGTGTGTGACATTGATGTTACAGCCGTTTTTTCGAGTCCGTGTCGCGTAGGAATTTCAACAGAGCTTTTGTCGCCTTCTGTTTCAATGTCTTCTCTCAGGCACTTGATAGAATAGTGTCCGCAGACATTTGGCTGTTGTCGATGCACGCAAGAATGAACGCCAGTGACTGTCTCTGGATGTCATACAGCGGACAGTCAGTCGCACAACATGTGGTGTAGCGTCTCTTTGCAATGACAGGCATTGCGGAGAGCGTTGTCGGCCATTCCTATGACAAAGGAATAAGATTTTGTAAATGCCACTCCTAGCCATAAGCGATGAAGAAGGGTGGCTTCTATTCAGTCGAGCCCAGTGGGCATGCGGAGAGCCATCAGAGGGCAGGTGGTGTCGACGATTCGTCTCGTTGCTTGGCAGGCACCATAGTGAAAACATGATTTCACGCGCAAGACGTCAAAGAATATTGCCACGAAATGGTCAATGTGCAGCATGATGTAGTCACAAAACACAGAATGCTGGAAAAAATGACACCTAGTAAAATGCTGTGTTATACAAAAGCTTGCAACCTTTTGCGATAAATATTGCTGGAAAGGTTGTTACCACTAACTCCCGGCACTCAACATGTGAAGAACTTTTGTAGGTTTGTTCGAATATTCGAATGCTTCGAATATTTGAACTAATGGTAGAATATTTGAATTTTCTTCAATTTGGATTATTTAAAATTTTGAAGTATTCGCAATGAACGAATAGGTGTGTATTATACCCATGTAACTGCTTGTAAAGGTGGTTTCACTGCAGCGTAGGAATGTTAAGCCATGAAAGGATTTATCCAGGAAAAATTTGCTATGCCGCGAAGCCTCACTTCAGATTGAAAGGGGCCCTGCAAAACTTTTTGAGCATGGTCAGAAAACGCTGTCGATCGCTCGTCGAGGCTACCAAAAACACGAGTGCCAAATATTATGGCGCAGTGCGTGGCGTGAAATTCCCAATAAATTCTCAAAGTCAGCTAAAAATTTCTCTTTTCTTTGGGCACATGACTACACAAGCTCAAAAATCACTCTTCACAGCCATTGTATCAGCCGTCGGCTGATTCGAGCATGGCGTGCTGGGTCGTTACTGGGGCCGTAGCAGGAGGACGCCACTTGTACACGCGTATGTGCACGATCCCACTGAAAAGCCACGTATACGAAAAAAAAAAGGGCTCAAGGGTCATAAGGTGCGCGTGTCGTATTTTCTTTTTCCATGCCATCTCTCCCTGCTTAGCTTCCAGCGCATTTGTAGGGACAAGAACAGAGAATGCAATTGCAGCGTGCGACAAATTTTTGCAACTCCGCTCGCACGGGACTGATTCAAAAAATTTTTTTGGCCGTGAATTTGTGGGGCACTAAACTTCTTTAGTGAATTCATCCCATAGCTAATTAAAAAAGTGTTCCAGGACTTCTTTAAATAAATATATTATCATCAATTCGACTCATCATTTTTTTTCAAGCCTAAATGTTTGTTATGACAGCTTATATCTTTAAGTATAATAAGTTTTAAAATGTTACATATTTTAGTGGTTATCACTGATATCCTACCGGAAGTCAGATTCTGCTACTACTCAAAGTTGTTTTGAGTTTCTTTAAACAAAAAAAAAAGGCATTTGCATAGAAGCCTTACTTCAATTTTTAAAAAAATATTGTGCAGATTAGTTGAATCATGATAAATATGTGCATTATTCTTTGCATGTTACATATGCTATTTAAATTCGATACGAAATTATTTGACAGAAATTCTTATTCACTTTGCATTCGCTTCAAACCTAAAATTCACTGTTCGCACAAGCCTAAACTTGTTTCTTATTTCGTGCAGACATCCTCTGGTAGAGAGTGCAGGAAGCAGCTTCGTGCCAAATGCATTCTTCAGCGGTGGGCCTCACTCCAAGATCAAAATCATCACCGGCCCCAACAACTGTGGGAAAAGCATCTACCTCAAGCAGGTCTGTTTCCTTAATGCTTGCATGAAGTCAATTGAGTTCTAGACTTATAGGTTTTAATGTGATGCCGAAGTGAGACAACAAACCAGTGTAGACTGATAAGTTGCTCTTTGAGGACTGTACTCTTTTTAACCATCTTGGGTTCATTACTAGAAGAGAAAATTGAAGTTATTGATGGAACTTTTTCTATTTTTCACTGAAACCTCTGAAACGGAATCTCAGTGAGAGGTCTATTTTTTTTTCATATTTTAGCCATATTGGCTTGACTGCAACTTGTAATGTTAAAGGGACATTAAAGTCAAATAAAAATTTACGTCAGAGTGAAAGCTCAACGTCTGAATGACAAATTATCAACAGCAGTTTCCTACTTACCGAGAAATAAAGGTAAATTCACGAGAACACGTGCTCTACGCGTTGGACATTCGCAACATAATTCCGATGACGTCAGAGTTACAGCCTACAATTAATCATTAGTAGTCGAACTAGATGTACTAAATAAAGAACCTTCCGTGCATCAAGAGATGTAATAAAATGCTGCTTGGTTGTTTCTGTTTGATTTATGGAAAAAAGAACCGCCGGACGTTACTATTGGGAATGTTGCAAGTGAGTGAAAAATTCAATTTTTGCCTGGTTAAACTGGACAGGCGCCATCTAGTGGGGCCCAGTTGAACCAAGCATGTCTAACATCTAGGAGGCCATGGCAGGAAATTGTTCAATGACCGTTGTTGTTGCTGTGACTCCCTCTACTTTCGTTCCGCTGCTACTAATGTCTGCGCCCGCGCATTTAAAGCCGGGCAATGCTCTGCACGGCAACAGTGATGTTAGATGGCCCGTTTTTTGAGGCGGGTAATTTGAAGTGCGCTAACCCGATGCTGACTATGAAAATGTGATTTTATTTAAAAAAAAACACTTCCTTGGCACAAAAGTAACACTACAAGGTTTCTGGAGCACTATTTCAACAATCATCATCGACTTAATACTTGTCTTTAGTATCACTTTAAGCATGAGTGTAGTCAGGAAGGTGTTGGAGGAATTTAATCCCCCTTCCTCTCAGCTTTTTCAATTTTACTTGTGCATATATACACGTAAACATACAAATGCATACACAAACATACATAAACTATAGTTGACCCCCCCCCCCCCCCCCCCCCCCGAAAGAAAATCTCACTGCACCCCTGATGTGAAGTCAATACAGTTTTCATATTTGCTTATGAAAAAATCATGTACTTCTAGATATTGTGTATGAAAAATCTGTAAAGAAGGATTGTGTGCTCAAGCCTATGTTTCAACTAGCGTACTTGTCTTCTTCAAGGGTGCAACTAGGCAGCCTTGCAGCGAACTTGAAGATGACAAGTCCGCTTGTCCCAACATTGACTCCAGCACACACCTCCTGTTTACGAATTCATCGCAAACCCCCATCTTCCCCTTTCTGCCTTGTTTTTTTTATATATTGTATAATACTCTAGTTATTTCACTTGATACTGTATACTATTTCTTATACTGCATATAAATGGTGATCTCATATTGTGCTTTTTTTTGTTTTATTTGCACCTCCCTCTGCGTAATGTAATGCCCTAACCGGTCTCAACTCATGTGAATAATTCAACCAGTCAATCAGCGAATGAATGAATGTGTGGTGGTTCTAGAGGATACAATCAAAATTTCAAGTCATCAGGGTGTTTAGTGGGGCAACTTCATGAGGCATCACCAGCTGTACTTTATTTTTAGGCATTTTCTGGCCTATCAAGTGACCTCTTGTAGCGAGCGTTGTGTTTTTGACACTGCACAAGAATGTAATAGGGAAATTCAGGTTCAAAGCAAATTCGAAGAGGAATAGGGATTTCTGCCGACTAATCCTGAATTGAGTTTAAGTAGCATATAATGCATATTATAAAGAAAAATGGGCATTGTTGTCATGACCCAAGTAACCTGCACGAGTTTTTCAAAATTGAAACAAGGCATGTGCATCTTCTTCTTGGTTCTGAGGAAGTGGAAGCAATGTTGAATAGTAGCAAGATTTGTTTTTGTGTAGAAAGCAAGTGGTAACCTGTACAATATGTTGCATTTTAAAATTCATGATAGTTAGAGCATATAGGCCGGTATAACAAGCTTTTAAAATTTAAAAATTGGCCCGAATCTGCATGTTACACTGTAAATGTCGTCGAAAGACGATAGTCTTGCGTCAGGAGACAGTGAACAAAACGTTTATTTGATGTTCTGCGCAAGAAAATCGGTGAATGGTATTCTGAAGGCGCTGTGTTAGAGTGCCTCGAGCGTGTAGCGGAGGCGAACAAGCGCATCTAGGCACGTTAGACACGAGCGCCATTGGCAGTTATCTTCGAAAACGAAGGCGTGCGCGACTGCGAAGAAAGATGCGCGCCAGTTTCGGAGGTGATAAGGTCTAGAATGCAAAGAGACGGGCAGGTGCCACCACCGTGTCGTTGTAGCAAAGCGTTGGAAACACCTTCTTGAGCATCACGTTGCACTGTCAGCGCAGCGCGATACACTACAGTCCTTTGAGTTACTTGTTTGTGCCTCTTCTAGTATAAAGGCAGACATACAAAACATAAACGTGTTGTTATGGCGCCTCAGATATGTGCAATATTTGCTTTTTTAATTGACAATTGCACAGTTATGAACGCTAAAGCTTGAGCAATATTTGTGGGCGCTGCGGATGGGGTTGGCCGTTTAGAGCCATTTGAGGTATCGTTAGGGCGGACAAACAGACAAATGTACAGACAAACAGACTAAAATTTTTTCGTTGGTAACAAACGGTAACATGTTCATTTAATCTTGAAGCGAAGCTTAGTGGTGGTGCGTATTTTGCTTGGAAGGGTGTATTTACGGTATAGCACAACTTCACTGCGGTAAAACCACCTTTATAGGAAGGGGGTTATATGCTCATTGATATACACTTATTTGTTCATTTCGAATGCTTCAAAATTTCTAATAATTTAATTTTGAATCAAAACAAATTTGAATACTTTAAGTGCTCGAATATTCGCACAAGCCTAGTAACCAATTTGCTAATATAATACAAGTTCTTTTTCTTGGTAGCTTTCCTTTTTTAACCAAAAACGTGCTGTACTTGAGAGTCTATTTGATTACGGTGTCTGCTTCTCTGCACAGGTTGCTTTAATAGTTTACATGGCCCACATCGGAAGCTTCGTGCCAGCCGAGTCTGCACAGATTGGAGCCGTGGATGCTATTCTGACTTGCATGTACTCAGAGGAGTCGCTGCTGCATGGGCTTTCATCCTTTGGGATGCAGCTCAATCAGGTATGAAGTGCAGTCTATAATTGCGACAAGGATTGAGATCTAAGTAAAGTACCTCAGTAGGTTTTCTTAGAACAGGACAAGGGGCATTTGAAACACGCCTGTGTGATATTTGTTAAATTGCAAGCATTTGTCACTAGACATATCTTTCTGCTTTGATATTGTATCTTCTGGCAGCGAATTTGCACCAGGTGTATGAAACTTCGTTGAGACTTCAGGGAAAAAATTAAATGGGGCTGCTTGCGTTAGACGCCGATGGGATAACTGATAGTCTGTCAGAAATTGAAATGGTTTAACACAGCTGTGATCAAAGTGAGCATAAGATTATGATGCAGTGTGTTTAGAACAGGGTGATTCCAAATACTCGAGAAATGTTTGGATATGTGCATAGACCTGCCAAGGTGGTCCCGTAGCTGAGCCACTCAGCTGCGGACCTGTCGGTTGTGGGATGGAATCCCAGCTGCCGCGCACCACGTTTTCGATGAAGCTGAATATGCTAGAGGCCCGTGTGCTTAGATTCAGGGTCAGGTTAAAGAACCCCGGGTGGCTAAAATTGTTGTAGCCCTCCAGTACGGCGTCTCTCATAATCATATGGTGGTTTTTGGACGTGAAACTTCAACAATTATTGTTATTATTATGAATATGTGCATACTTCTATGGAGTGTTAGGTAGTAGTACAGATTGCACACTATCAGAAATCACTGGGAAAAAGTTGCAATACATACATCAACCAGGCAGCTCTTACTCCACGAAGCAGGTTTAAACGTCTTTTACAGTTAGATTGAGAAAACTGCTCAAAGTTTGCTGCTTTTTCTGTGTTGCTTGAAACAATTACAAATCAAGAAGTGTACATGTATTTACATATCTGCATGCTATCTTAGTATACAGAAAACATTTTGACTGCGCGCGTGATAAAAAATCCTGAATCATTTGATTTAGGGAGACAAGGCATGAAAGAGGCCCTTCTTGAGTTTTGTTGACTTGACCATTATATACCCTTATTGCTGAGACAGTGCACGCATGTGAAAGATTATCTGCTGTTGGTTCCTACCATCTGGTCACAGTTAGCATACATTGGAGTTTGTGTCTCTCAGTTTTATTCATAATGGAAGCATTTTAGCTGCACTGTTCACATACCTGCTGACTATCACCATATTTTTCGTGGGTGTTTAATTATGGGGCCGTGCCAGTTTGTATTAAACTTCCATTGCTCGCGCTGTCTTTGGAGTATGAGGGGGGGAATTGGGGTTACCATATTTACAGTTTACCGAGATTTCCCACGATTGCAGGAGTAGTGCTGAAAATGCTGAACATTCTGTCAACTCTTCACAGAATTCAGTACATGTTCAGTATACTGTGAATGCGACATGAAAAAAGCTTTGTTAACTTTAGTTCTAACCACCCCATTAAAAGGTCTACACTCAGACCTTATTATAACAAATTTTCATCTTTCACGAAATTGAGTTCGTTATATTTGAAAATTCATTATAAAGGTCTGTTCGTAACACTATACCTATTGCAAGACTGTTTTTTGTTTACTTAATTATAAGTGATATTTCATTATATCCAAGTTCATTATATTGAGGTTGGAGTTTTAAAATGGTCCCAGAATTCGTTTGCTTGTAGTATGTTGGGCCAAATTGGCGAAGCATATGAAGGAAACCGCTGGAAAGTCACAGTAAAAGTTTGTGTGATTTAAAGACAATTTGCTTTCTTATTACTTGGTCTCTCCAGTTTGCTGCGGTTTGTATGCAGCTTCTGAATACAAGTCATTGATAACGAAGTTGTTGTACGCCTCACAAATCTTGTGTTCTTGGTAAAAATGTCCACTTCATAAAATTTGCATCATCCCATCCCCTCACTCCACTTGGTTTCGCCCCACCCCTCCCTGCTTCCTTATGTCTACCCGTTTCTATTTGGAGACTCAGAGTAACTTAATTTGTTTCTATTTATTTATTAATTTATATATACTTCTTGTTCCTAAAATTGCTCTTAGATGTCCCACATCTTCCAAGAAAAAAGTGGGAAGTCACTTGTCATAATGGATGAATTCGGCAAGGGCACGAAAGTGGTAAGCAGTGTTGACAACATATATTTCAATTATTGTACCTGATGTACCGAGTCTTGCATGTTAATAAATTACAAATAACTGTTACCTTTATTATTTATATAGTTACTATTAGTACTGTTTAACTTGTTGCTTACTGTTTAACTTGTTGCTATTACTACTCTGTCTAGTTCAGTGACTATCAATCTTGCATCTTTCTTTTGGAATTGGGAGGAAGTGTCTCTTCTAAGTGTTCACCACAGCTGCCTACACTGCTATGTCACTCTCCAAGTCGGCTCCTAGAAACTGAAACTAAAAGTTGTCCACATAAATAAGGCAATATAAAAAAAAATCATCACCCAAGCACTAATTGCTTAAGCAGGGAAAGCTGAAGGATTCGGCCCTGGTGTTTAGCACTTAGTTCCACCGGACGCCGCACTGATACCTTTCACCATTGTTGGTTACATGTTCATGCTTTTTAATACGTTTCACTTGGGTTTACCGCAGTGTTTATTTCACTTGCCACACATTGTGCCTCACATGATCACGATCATGGAAAAGCGTAATGAGCAGTTAAATGCGTTTTGCAATACATTAATAACCGTGGTTGCTCTCGAACCACAGGCGGTCACAGATGCAGTGATGGAAGTGCTGCTCCGATTGCTCCGAACTGCTCTAAAAGAGAAATGTTGCTCCATGCTGCTCCAAACAGTAATTTTTGTAATTGCTCCAAAGCTGCTCTGAAATGACACTGAAGGAATGAGAGTGGCAAATTTTCGCTCTTTGATCTACCCACAAGTCCTTAACAAACTTCAAAGGATCGACGTACTTTCACCCCACTGTGCTACTAGCGTGCAGAATTATCAAGCTCTGATCCCATTTGTGTGACAGGACTGTCATATTGACCATATAGGTCATTTGACCGTTCTTTTTCCTCAGCTGGACATGCAGGCTAGTGTGGTGAAATGTAAAAATGAGCTGAATTACTTTTATCTCATACCTGTTATCTACTGCTCATTTGGCAGCACATTTTTAGAACCTGCTATTGTATGCTTCATGAAATTTACTTTGATTATTATCTGGTAAATATATCTCATAATAAAAAATATTTACGAGATGTTTCGACAATGCTCTGAACTCCAATTAATGGATGGAAAATTTAATATCTGGTTCTAAAGCACTAGTAGCTGCTCTAAACTAGTATTTTTTTATGCTCCGAAAACTCTTACAGACTCTCCAAATTAGGACATTTCCTTCTTCAAAGTATGCTGCAAAAAGTAAAATGTCACTTCCATCACTGCAGATGTCGCAGCCGAAGTCCAAGTGCCGCTGTAGAAACTCCCACCGAAAGCGGACATTTGCCCCAGCCGCAACGCCGCGTTGTTGCAAGCGTTTGCCATTGCGAGCTAACTCACAATGCAGCCAGTGGTGTGTGCTTGGGCATGACTCTGTGAACGATGTAACTGATAACATAGCCCGTGATGACCACTCATGACACCGCTGCCGGACGGTTTTTCGTTTCTCCTAGCCGTATACAGATTTCGCTGTAATATTTAGCGAGAATACACGAGTCTTGGTGTGTGTATCATGCCTCCTGGAGCTATAAGAAATGCTTGCAGCTAAGAATACACAAGCTACGAATTTGGTGACACTACCCTTTTAACATTGGGTGTAGCTGTACAAAGGGGAAACTACTACTTGTCTTCAATGAAGAAGCTTTCCAGTGAAGATTTTAAACTTAAAAATAAATTGATGTGAAGATAATACTTTCATTTAGCCTTGAAGTGAGGCTTTGTGGCAGTGCGTGTTTTTTATTTTTATTATTATGTGTTTTCACGGTTTAGCACTATTTCACTGCACTGAAACCACTTATACAGAACATTGCATGCAAGCTAACATACATTTGACAAGGTGCTTTTGCTGCTTAGCACTCCTTCACTGCTGTGAAACCACCTATACGGGGCATTATGCGGAATAATATGCATGTATTCGTTCGTTTCGAGCAATTCGAAATTTTCAATAATTTAAATTCGATTCAAAGTGAATTTGAATACAGCATTATTCTTTCAAATATTCGAAGCATTCGAATATTCAAACAAGGCTAGTTTTGAAGTTTTCACACACATATCTTGCGAGTAGTGTGTAGCATGTGGAAGATGAGTAATGTGAAACTGTTGAATGTTATTTTATTTATTTGATACTGCCAAACCCGTGCTTGGGGTCATTACAGGGAGGGTGTCACATAATACATAGTATTTACACAATAAAGCAGTATTCAATAGCACATAGGAATAACAGATGAATAATCATCATCAGGAAAAGAGGAACAAATAGCAGCAACTATGCCGATTAAAAATTGAGAAGCAAATGCTGGCAGCAGAAGTTATTAATTATCACTGCAGAGAAAGCTGTCTAAGGCATATTCAATGTTAACTGACGTCGTTTGTTGCTCAACCAAATCGGGTAAGCTATTCCACATTTCTATTGCACCTGGAAAAAAGGAGTGGCGGAAAGCATTCGTGTGTGCAAAGTAGGGTTGAATAGCTCTGCTTGTATTAAAACGATCACATCGCCTTCGGGAAGAAATGTCTCTTCTAAGCGTTCACCACAGCCGTCTACACTGCTATGTCACTCTAATAATGTTTAGTACTTAGTTTTCAATATGTCTGTTCAGCAGTTGGCTGTTTAAAATCTATTGTGGCGGGATGCAGCTCGTACACTGTTGCCAAATGGCAGAAAAACGGGGGTTTGACTTTGCAGGCCAACGGCATTGGTCTTGTGGTTGGCACAATCGAGAGCTTCATTAGCAACTCAGCTGCTTGTCCCCACACTCTGCTGGCAACTCACTTTCACACGGTGCACGACCACCTCCCAGCCACACCACATGTCACATATCTGGTGAGTATTGTCATGTGAGCACGGCTTGCATTTTACATGAGAATCTGTGCACTTGCGGAAGGTTGCCCTTATCCCAATTTATCTTGTGATAGTACTACAGTCGAACCCCGCTATAACGAAACTCACGGGGCGGGACAAATATTTCGTTGAAGCGAGATTTTTGTTGTAGTGAAATCGAAAAAAATAATGCTGAACTGAGCTAGCTAAACAAGAGAACGTCTGTTCTTAAAATTAAAAAAGTGTCCGCTGCTTCTTATTCTTTTCCAGCAGTGTCACGACGCGATTCACAGTCATGCATAGCGAGGCCGTGGTGAAAACCACTGAAATAACGCCTACAACCACATTCGTAAACGTACCAAAGAGTTGCATTAACACGTTAGCACCAGCAGCCATCCGCCATCAAAGTGTATCCGACAATGCCGAGATGGAGGCATGGTATCGTGGAGCAGTGACGTTTGCCTTATTCTATGCCGTTCTTATCTTCCAAATCTCGCGGCTGGCTGATTTGGTTGATAATACGGACGAACAGCCCGCTATGAGTAGGTACCACACTGGCCAAGCGCGAATAAAATGATAAGCATTGGGATCGGAAAAGGCATCGCTCCGCGGTTGCACGCAGCAGCTGCGTGATGGAAACCATGAACTGAGCAACTGAGCTTCAGCTTTGGATTGTCTGCAGCTCGAAAACAAGCCAGTGGCAAAAGCAGGGCCATTCTCCATGAGCAGGGCAGTCTCATTGCCATCGCTATCGAGCAATGGCAGCGCCCATGTTTGCCATCGCTAAGAATGAGGAGGTGTGAAAAGCGGCCGCTGAAACCGGTCCCCAAAGCGCGCCGATACCGCTTGGAGCGCTGCACGCAGAGGCGTGGGTACCCTTGCGCAGGCGACATACGAATGAGCGTGCGCTGCGCTCCGCAGAAATCTTTCTCACGTAGTTAGACGCAGGCCCGTAGCTGGGGGGGGGGGGGGGGGGGGAGGAGCTAGGGGCCCTTTTCCCTCTAGTTTTTAGCAAGTGCCCCTTCCCCAGAAAAAAATTTCTGGCTACGGGCCTGCTCTCACGCTATAAGGCGGTCACCTATTTTCGATGAAAACCTTTTTTATTGAGTCAATGTACGACAATACTTAAGATGCTTAAGCCACGTAATGTCTTACGTGGCTTAAGTATCTGTATATTTTCTCGCCTCTGAAAACAATTCTCGAGAAGGCATATGAGCGAGACCCGACACCAACTTTTGTGGATTTCGTAATATTGTGGTTACTCATGGCAGAACTGCAGGTGTGTTACGAGACGTTGCAATTACTGGAAGGCTTCATATTACTTAGAGCATGTTAAGTTCCTTCATCCACGAGCACAAACGTCGGTACAAGAGCCTCGTTTTGCTTTTCCGCCGCAAACGCACAATCTTGTGCGAGTCGCAGTTTAAATTCTCACTTGGCATTCAATTATCGGTTTCCGAACGTAGAAGTTTTAACAGCCTACAATTGTTCATTAACATAGACGAATAACGAATTAAGAGTGCTAAAACTTACGTATGTCGCGAAGCCTCTGACTCGAGAATCGTCCCCAGCAGCAGAAATAGAGGAGACACTTTTTTAACAAAAACATAAACTTATTTCCATGCATGCCGAGGTATTCGTGCTCTGCCACTAGAGTACACATGGCTTAACTCTCCTCCCTTTCTTTTTGTCTTCTTTTTGGTTCATGCCTTTTAAAAAAAAAGTGGACACGAGTGAGGCAATAAACTCGCACCACACTTTGGTCAAGAGAGCACCATGCTTTGGGCAGCCAATTTGTTGTGTCTCGCCAATCCCCTTCAGCATCTTTATGGCCGACTTTGCGTGAAGACGTGCTGAGCTCAAGAAACGAGTGATTTTGTCCTCATGGTTCAGGATGAGGGTATAAAGGGAATTTGACGGATACGAAAGTCCGCCCAGATCCCACAGCTTGCTTGCCTGGGCTGGGAGATTTCCTGGTACATTTTCTCTCGAGACGAGACAGGCGTTCTTGCACTCATCACAATTATTGCTAAGTATGCGCTTTCTCGCAACGTAGCCTGCGACATAATATACAAGGCGGGAGTCACTTCGCTCAGCAGTGTACGATGCATGATCTATCGACACTATCGGCACCCAGGCACAAAGCACCAACGCTGGGTCTTTTTTTTACCATTGACATCCTTGGGTGTTTCAGAGGGACCTAGCGCAAACACTGACTGATGGCATACGTGCAATGTAGCGACTGCTTGCAAAGAAAATCCCAGCGCACCTGCAGCAAACACAGGGAAGTGCGCCGCTCCCTACCCGCGCCGCTGCCATCAGCGCCCCTTGCGGCATCGGCGCGCCGAGTGACCCTCTCCGACAAGCGAAAAGCGCCCCGCTCATCACACCTCCCCAATCCAACCACCCTACCATCGCTATCGAGCAATGGCGGCGCCCATGCTTGCTGAAGAGCGGCTGTTTCTGGTGGTGCCAACGCGTGTTTTAGACTTCGTTGACGTATTTTCAGGTTCTCAAAATGCATCGAAGTGTTAAAGATTGAGTTTCCTGATTAGCAATAAATATCTGAGCCTGGAATTGCATCGGGAAATTTCGATGAAGTGGGACAGCAGAAGGAAAAGCGTTTGTTGTGGCGGCAATATTTATGCATTGACTCTTATGGATTGCCGACGGGGAACCGTGAATTTTTCATTGTAGCGGAAGTTTCATTGAAGCGGGGTTCGACTGTAAATGCAGTACTATTATTATTCATGAAAATTAACTGCACTCATAGTATCTTGCACATGAAACCCTTCAAATTACGTCTGCTTATTATATGAGAGAGTCAAAAATATAACTGAGCATGTTTGAAAAATATATTTCAAAAGCATTCAGTTTGCATGGATACACTGGCATTACTTAGTTCAAGAAAAGAACATTTACATCCATTATCTTTCTGTCAATAATCTGTTGGCTACAAAACTTATGAAATTTGTTTTTGCTATAATAATCCATTGTAAACTTATTTGGTATTTGTGTTTACTGTTTCATTTAGCTATGCCACAATTTTTTTTCTTTTTTTCATAACTGCTGACATTTTGAAGTACTATACCTTACACTACTTTTAACCCTTGATACAGCAAACCCAAAAATAACGAAATATCGGTTATAACGAAGCAAATGAAGAATAGTTTTGCACTAGACATGGTGTTAGGAATATACTTTCATAAGGAATTTTCAGATATAACTAGCTTATTTTTGTGTAAGATGCAACTGCGTTATAAAGACATTTAAGTGTAGTTTAATTGAAATTTTCGTCTTTCGAAACAAGCTGAAGCCACTTTTCGGCTTCTTGTTTTTCCCAAACATTGTGTACTAAAACCACCTCTATGTGAGCAGCATGAAATCTCTTGGCATTTGCACCAGTATGTTTATGACTTTTCATGAATCGCTCCTCTTTGTGCAGAAGTTGTTGAATGTATTCGAGTGTAACCACAAAACTGTTAGTATGGGTGGTCGCTACATGAGTTTCTTCACACTCCCCGCAGACATTCGAAACCCTCCGTCATGAAGGTGAACTCGTATACCTGTATCAGCTGAAGGAAGGCCGTGCTTCCAGCAGCTATGCCAGCCTGGTCGGCCAAGCAGCGGGCCTCTCAACAGACATTGTTGGACGACAGCAGCAGGTCGAGCATCCTCACTCAGGCAGTTGCTGCGTAGTTATACTAATCACGTGTTATTAGTAGCGGGTACTTCTCTTTGGTAACTTAGCCGCCATGGCGGTACAGTGGTTCGTTGCGGTGCTTGGCTGTTGATGTCGTTTCGACATCGGGTAGATCATGATACCATGCAAGACTTGTGAAAAGAATGTAGTTTCTGCAACGCCGCAAAAAACCTAATCATGCTGCATGAAATTATTGCTTTAAGAATTTATGTTTTAATCTCGAGAATTCATTGAAGCGGGGTTCGACTGTAAATGCAGTACTATTATTATTCATGAAAATTAACTGCACTCATAGTATCTTGCACATGAAACTTCATTATGTGAAGTATTCTTTCCCTACTTTGTATATTATCATCAAAAGGGTGGTGTGATTGCTTTCACCCATGTGTCGCAACTTTTAACACACTTGGCTGAAGTTGGCTGCCTTTGGTAGATTTTTCAATTCCTTGGCTAACTTATGTCTTTTTGACCTGGAAACCCTGATCCTAGCCACGACGGCTATACAATAATGAAGTTCGAATGCTATACTTTGATTTAGGTGCATGTTAAAAACCCCAGGACGTCAACATTTCCCGAACTCTTCACTAGAGCCTCATAGTCACATTGTGGTTTTGGCACTTGTAACTCTAGCAATTTCTTATTTTTTCTATTCTTTGGGTACCGCACGCGCCTAGTGCTACTAGCTGCTGGTTCGGGTTCCTCGTTCTTGTAATTAAAAAGGTGGCAGCAAATCTAACGCACCTTTTTGACTATAAATATAGCAACACTGCTTATGTTAAATTCCGATGGCGGATTCACACTGCTCCTTTTGGAGAAAGTGTGTTCCAATGGCAGAGTGAGGGTGGGAGTTGATTGTTTCGATGAGAGAGTCAGTGGATTTAGAGCGGGAGTGACTCTGAGGAGCAGGAAAAGTCGCTCCACAGACTTTGGCGAACTGGACCAGTATTCGGCGTGACGCGCTCCCCCTAGCAGCGGCGGCACCTGGGGCGTGTTCTGGCAATAATGGTGGATGACATGGCAGACTGGGCAAAATTGCTTCCTCTGATCGATAGCGAGAGTTCTGAGTCAGAAATCTCCAATTCACCGACACTGAAACTACTACATACGAGCGGTAATTCAACGGGAGTTGACAGTGGAATTAGCGAAATGGAATAACTATACACAAAGTATTCTGGGTAACTGAAGCAGTTCCGCTTCCTCTTTGCTTCCATGCTTGCTCCGGCGGCGCAGATTTTGTTCCAATCGCTGATTTAGAGGGGCTGCTCTATGCCAGCGTGAATCGGCTGCTCCGACTCTGCCAATTGAAATTCAGCATTAGTTAATGAGAAGGAAAACTCGCACAAGGAGTCTTTTCCCATCTTTGGCTTTCAACGAATGCTTTGATGCATAAGATGCCACTTACCTTCCTGGGCCTTCTGACCCAGTTTTAGTAACGTGGGCATGATGTTTGCAATCTTGCGATAATTTTTAGCCAAATTTGGCTATAAGGCATTCCTCTGTTGGCTATAAGGGGGTGGGAACTGGAAACCGGAATAAGTTAAAAGACCACCAGTCAAAGCTGGTAACCTTTAACATTGATTTTGAGACAAAATGCACTTGCTCATGTCATTTCCGTGACGAAACCCACATAAGTAAATTTTCAGACCCTGATGTTTTTTCAATAACTGATGTCATTTTCTTGACAGAACCCCCATAGGTAAGTTTCCAGTGATTTCTCATTTCCGTGATGGAACCCACATAGATAAATTTTCAGTTGCAATGTCATTTTTGTGACAGAATCAGCATTAGTAAATATTCACTGACTGGTGTCGTTTTCGTGATGGAACCCACAGGAAAATTTTCAAGTGACTGATGTCATTTTAGTGACGGCACCCACACTGGTAAATTTTGAGTGGCACTCATCAAGCAAAGCTTTATTGTTAAACAGGCACTAAAGAAAGAAATTCTTTTTCTCAGATTAGTGAATAAACCTTTCACAATACCAAGATTAGCACACTTGGTGCAAAAAGTCAGTTGGTAAGTGAGAAAAGAAGCAGAAAGAAAATGCAAGTGTCACTTACAGGTCCTGCATAAGTTTCCGTGACATCATAGATTGTGATAGTGTTCACTAGGGCCTACGTAGTTCCTAATCTGTAAAGGTAACATAAATAGTCTTCTCAGGCAGCCCAAGACAACCTACCAAAGTTCAGGAAATTTCGGTGAGCCAATGTGGCCCAAATATGACGAACCACTTTGAAATTTGTGAAATCACCTCCAGATATTTCGGCAGGAAATTTGAAAGTGAGATGTCTGACAGTGGTATTTACACCTATTCATGAACTGATGGTGGTGTAACAGATAGCTGGGCAAGTTGGTATGTATCCATATAACAGACCATCTGTCTTTTTCTTGTTGTGTGTTTTGTGCGCTCTAATAGAAGTTTTAGTATGGTGGTGAAATTAGCAACACGAGAGCTAGCATACTAAACTAATTAATTGCATCATCCTAGTGTGGCTTTGAAGAGCAATTTTTGCCGCCTTGACCGTGAGGTACTTCCTTTGTTGTCTTTGCAGATCATGCACGCCTTCAGTTCGAAGAGGAAGCTGCAGCCGCAGCCAATGACTCGGAAGGAGCCCGTGTGGAACAAGTCAGCGAAATTTCGTCAAAGCCTTTGTTCTGTGTTGGGCTCTTTGAAAATGGCCAAATTCAATCTTTCTTTTCTTCCTTTTGAAACCTATGTGCAGGGCATTGCCTCTGGTGCAGATGCTCCTGGAGGCCGACCTCTCCACTCAGGAGGGAGCCGAAGAACTCCTCAGGAATATGCCTGCAGCCCTCAAGTGACGTGAAGTTCAACGGAACCCGCATATACGTTTAGAAACTTGTCTCCGTAGCCTCTGACAGGATGCAGAGTCTCTTCACGTTTGCTTACAATAGCAGCTGCGCAAAGTATTTTTGTTTGTTATGTAGTTTCGGGACACATGCTCGTAAGTGCTTTAAGGGTTTCTGAATTGAAATACTGGACTGCCTCACCTTCTGTAACATACTACTTCTGGCAATAATCCTTCAATAAACTATTGGAAGAACAGTGTCTAGATTATTTGCATGAATTTTCTTACATGTTACTTACGGTGTGCTTCAATGACTTTCACTCTTTCACGATATTGCTTACATGGGATATCAGTATGAAAATTTTGCATAATCAATGGTTTTTTGTGGCTTTTCTTCTTTCATGTGGACAAGGACCATTCTGCAAGTGTTAGCTTTGCATTCTGCAATTGCATTCTGCAATTTTGCTAGCTTTCTCATTGTATTGCTAATTTTTCTCTGCTTTGTATATGATAATAAAACACTGCACAGTAACATTGCATATTTTGGAGTGTTTTGTAGGGCTTAGACCATTCATTCGGCTGGACAGTGTTCATGGATACCAGTTATCCCTACAACTCCCCAACTATTTTTATGGCGCCGCTTTTGCAGCGAGTGGTCGACTAAGTTCTTCTCCCGCCCTTCCGCAGTGGTTTAGTGGCTAAGGTGCTCAGCTGCTGACCTGCACGTTGCGGGATCGAATTCCGGTTGCGGCGGCTGCATTTTCAAGGGAGGCGGAAATGCTGTAGGCCCGTGTGCAAATATTTGGGTGCACGTTAAAGAACCCCAGGTGGTTGAAATTTTCGAAGCCCTCGACTATGGCGTCTCTCATAATCATATGGTGATTTTGGGACGTTAAACCCCACATATTAATCAAGCTCTTCCCCTCTCTCTTCCTGCAACTTTAGAAGACACCACTTTCGTATTGCAGTACCTTCTGTTTTATAAAGTTGGCATTTTGACTACGGTATTTAGGCATTAGATGACTGGTTTCTGATTTGAAACATAAAACGTATGTCACATCTGAATTAAAACCCAACCTTGCAACATTTGTGCATTTGTTTTTTGTGTGTGTGTGTGTGTGTGCATGCGTGCATGCATGCATGTGTGTGTAAAAACGCCCCAAAGTCATGCAAATGCAGCAAAACTCTGTTGTCTCGCTGACACTAATGACTGCTGTTCGGCTGCAAAATTTTAGAGAGGGAGTTAGGCATCAAATATTTCCCCTGTCATAACAAGCCCCTTTCTACCAGAGTACAGGGCTTAAACAAGTTTCAAGATTTGTCCCTCAGACTGAGTTGGCTCTGGTTGACTATAACAATCTTGTGTGATTCTTGGGAAAAGTACCATAGAGATAATGTGAAATGCTAGCAGGACACAGATGTCACACACTGCACTTGCTTATCGCCCATTCTAGCCCCGCCGCGGTGGTCTAGTGGCTAAGGTACTCGGCTGCTGACCCGCAAGTCGCGGGATCGAATCCCGGCTGCGGCGGCTGCATTTCCGATGGAGGCGGAAATGTCGTAGGCCCGTGTGCTCAGATTTGGGTGCACGTTAAAGAACCCCAGGTGGTCAAAATTTCCGGAGCCCTCCACTACGGCGTCTCTCATAATCATATAGTGGTTTTGGGACGTTAAACCCCACAAATCAATCAATCAATCGCCCATTCTATTGGTCATGTCTGTGGTTACATTTCATTGGTATATTGAGACTGCTCAAACATCATGACCATGGTTCATTTTATCTTATGCTGGAACTGCATATGCTAATGTGCGACTGACAGCAGGTGAAGGTTGACTTGTTTATGATTATTTTAATGTCTTCATGTTCTGCTACTGCTAGGCGTGTGCTGATGTTGGAAAATTTCGAAAATAGAATCGAATATTCTATTTTATTTTGTACTTGAGTCGAATCAGAAAAACCGAACACTTTTTGACTAGTTTTTAAACAATAAGTGCAAATGAAAAAGACGTCATATGAATGAAGCATTGGAACAGAGAGGTGTAAATTTCTTATTTCTAGCGTAGAGTTACCAGAACACAGCCCAAGGTTTTACAGGACTATCGACACTAGATTGATCGCAGAAGGAAGGAATTTTCGCTTAAAAATCCAGTATCTCTGAAGTGACATAGTGATCAATCTACTCTCTTCATCAAGACATTCATGATGATGATAACACATGAATATTGTTTAATGTTTATATGAGTTCTATTTAAACTTTTTTGACCAAGTGCTTCCGTGAACAATGCCCCGCTACGGTGGTCTAGTGGCTAAGGTACTCGGCTGCTGACCCGCACGTCGCGGGATCAAATCCCGGCTGTGGCGGCTGCATTTCCGATGGAGGTAGAAATGTTGAAGGCCGGTGTACTCGGATTTGGGTGCACGTTAAAGAACTCCAGGTGGTCAAAATTTCCGGAGAGCTCCACTGCGGCGTCTCTCATAATCAAATGGTGGTTTTGGGAGGTTAAACCCCACAAATCAATCAGTCAATCAATCAGCCTCCGTGAACACTGTAGTCACTTTAGTATTTAATCCTGCAGTTACAAAACACCTCTAAAGCTCTAGTTGCTTTATACGAGCCTGTGTTAGTTTATGCAATGGTGGAATAGATTTCCGGTCAAAAGTAATTATGTTATGTTCCTTTGTTAAATCTTTTGAATATCTGTTTCAAGTAAAATGTGGAATTCTTGGGCTTTTTTTTTTTTTAAATGATTACATGGCCATTTTAGGGCTATATTGAGTATGGTTGTTTCACTATTCGAAACTATTCGAGTGATAATCAATGTGGTGTCATTGCTGTGCAACCCCTAGCAACTGCTATTGTTTTTGATGAGAGCCCACTTCAGTTCTTTTCTTCCTTTCATGTTTTTGTTTAGTTGCTGTGAAATGATGCCTTGGGGCAACGCAAGGATGTGTAGACGATTTAATCTTCTTCCTTTGTTTTTGGTTCGTGTGGCGGGCATCAGAACCTGACTAAAAGAATCTTTGAAGTATTTGTTATCTACAGAAGGATGCCATCTAGAAATACAGAACGCAACTCCCTGCACAGAGCACAGGGAGAAATCAGTACGGCGCCCCGCCGCGGTGGTCTAGTGGCTAAGGTACTCGGCTACTGACCCGCAGGTCGCGGGTTTGAATCCCGGCTGCGGCGGCTGCATTTCCGATGGAGGCGGAAATGTTGTAGGCCCGTGTGCTCAGATTTGGGTGCACGTTAAAGAACCCCAGGTGGTCGAAATTTCCGGAGCCCTCCACTACGGCGTCTCTCATAATCATATGCTGGTTTTGGGACGTTAAACCCCGCATATCGATCAATCAATCAAAACTGGCCCGCTTCGGGCTGGGACACTAGCGCGAGGCCTACTCGACATTAATAAAGTTATTCCATCCATCCATCCATCCATCCATCCATCCATCCATCCATCCATACATCCATACATCCATCAGATTAGAGCCGATGCTCCCGTGTGGATGCTCCTCGCGTTCCGTTGTGTTCACCCTTGGCGCTGCTGGAGAACAGAATAAAGCGGGGACTTCGTGCCCTTCCTTGCACTGACACATTCTAATTAGGTAAAAATGGGGGACCCTTAAGCTTCGTTAAGAGTTGAACAATATATAGCGTTATTCTGTTCCTAGTGCGTATACTTCAAACACTTGGTGTATGAAGTCTCTCCGAACTAGCTATGAACCCACTACGTGGTGAGTGGTTCTTAAGAAAGAGAAAGGAAGAGAAAAGTGAGCCCCGTTATTGTCTGCTTCAGTGAGCGACACCGCCACAGAGCTCACAAGGAATGGGGGTGAGAAGGGATAAAACGGGTAGAAGTAGAGGTGTAGAAAAGAAGAAGAAGAAGCAACAACAAACTGAGGGGATAGGAGAGACAGGAAAGATGGAAGCACGGTCACTGGAGTCCGAGGACGGGGTACACTTGCGAGAGCTCTTGTCGGCGTCTGTAGATGGCGTAGAGCAAGTCCAGTAAGTCAGAGCTACACTGTCGTCGAAGGTCGTCGGCGGCAGGAGGTGACGTAGCTAGGGCGAGCCCAGTCGGCCAGAGCTACGCTGGCGCCGAAGGTCGCAAGCGCGCGGAGCGCGCGGGCGCACAACCGGCCGGCACGGAATCCAGCAAGCGACTCCCACCCACTACGTGGCTGTAAGGGTGCAGTATAACGTGCGTGCTTTTTGTAGTGGGTAACTGACTTTAAAATATGAAGACATGAGGATAATTCCATGTTTTCACGCTTGACGGCACTGTACGCTTGTACCACGCATTATTACGGACATGTTTCATGTTGTATTGTGAAGCACGCATACAGGACGCGTGTGTTTGTCAAGCATGAAAGTTACTTTCATTTCATTTCCAAGCGGATCAAGTTATTTTCGGGGTGTTCACGCAGAGGCGTGGCTGTGTGGTGGAACTCCCGCCTGACCCGCAAACGACACGGGTTCAATCGCCACTCGTGCCTGGAAATATTTAATAATTAAAATATTTGCTCCTTTGCCGATTTTTCGCTCACAACCTACAACACCAACGCCGGAATTTCTGCGAAACAAACTCTTCAACGCTACCGCGTTAAAAAGTTGCAGTGGCCGCCATGCCTGCAGGTACCCGGCCCCGAGAACTTGTCGGCGGCGTCACGTGAACACTTCGATGGTTTGGAAATAAACTTCGATGGTTTGAAATACTTCGATGGTTGCTGTGCTACGAGTTTATTGTTCTTGGAGAACTAGAAAATCAAAAGAAAAAAAAGGCATACTTGCAAGGTGACAATAACTGTACGATTTTCCGCCACTGTTTAAGTCTCATCATAAATAAAGCGGTATGTATTTCAGCAAGGGAAATAAAAACATTGTCATTAAATTTAAGCGATACATTCTGGCGCTGCAGCAGGCATGTGATTCAGCATTTTAGCTTCCACAGTGCCTTTAAAAGAAAGAACATTGACGCGAGACACATTTTTGAAATGCGCGCGCTTACACATGATTGGTCAAAGCGAGATAAATTAATTTGTTGGCTCAATCAATCACCTTTTATTACTACCACTAGTTCGAAATGCGAGCGCTTACACATAATAGGTCGAAGCAATATCAAGGTGACCTCCGGACTCATCCACTTGCGTTTCATTGGGCGTCATTTCATGTCGTGAAGCCTCTGCTAGATTCGAAATACGCGCGCTTGCAACTGCTTGGTCAAAGTGACATCACGTGGCCTGCCGTTTTGGTCAA